ATACCTTGGTTGTGGTTCAGTCCCTGGCCCTGGTCCGGGTCATGGGAGAGGAAGATGGTCGCTATGTCTATCTCACATTGTTTCTCTCTCTTGTGTCTATCTCTCCCTCCCATTCTGTCTGAAAATAAATAGGAAAAAAATATATATCCTCAAGTGAGGATTTAAACAAACAAACAAAAAAAGAATAAAAATGGCAACAAATAACTACCTATCAATAATAACCTTAAATGTAAATGGTTTAAATGATCCAATCAAAAGACATAGGGTAGCTGAATGGATAAGAAAATATGAGATAGATAGATAGATAATTTCTGCAAGAGACCCACTCAAGCCCTGGCTGGTTTGGCTAAGTGACTGGAGTGTCGGCCTATGGACTAGAGAGTCCCAGGTTCAGTTCCCAGTAGGGGCACATACCAAAAAAGAAAAAAAAGAGAGAGAGAGAGACCCACCTCAAAATACATAGACTCACTCAGGATGAAAGTGAAGAGATGGAAAAAAAAATGTTCCATGCAAATAGAAATGAAAAGAAAGCTGGGGTAGCAATACTAATATCTGAAAGAATAGACTTAAAAATGAAAGCCATAACAAGAGACAATGAAGGCCACTTCATAATACTCAAAGGATCAATACAAGAGGATATAACCCTGGTCAATATATATCACCCAATACAGGAGCATCCAGATATATTAAAGAAAACTGCTGGAGGACATTAAGGGAGAGATCAACAGCAATACAATTATAGTAGGGAAGTTTAACACCCCATTGAAATTACTGGATAGATCTTCTAAACAAAAAAATCAACAAAGAAACAGTGACCCTAAATAACATACTAGATCGGATGGATTTCATTGACATTTATCAAACATTTACCCTAAAGCTGCAGAATATACATTCTTCTCAAGTACACATGGAACATACTCAAAGACAGACAACATGTTAGGACACAAACTAAGTCTCTACAAGTTCAAGAAGACTGAAATAATATCAAACATCTCAGATGACAATGGCATGAAACTAGAAATCAACTACAATAAAAGAACTAAGAAACATTCAAACACCTGGAGACTAAATAGCATGTTATTAAACTAATCAATGGGTTACCAATTAGATCAAGGAAGAAATCAAAACTTTCTGGAAACAAATAAAAATGAACACACAGCAACCCTAAATCTATGTGACACACTGAAAGCAGTCCTAAGAGGTAAGGTCCTAGCTGAAGAAACAAGAAAAATTTCTAATAAAGTATCTAATCCTACAATTTAAAGAATTAGAAAAGAACAACAAGAAAAGCCCAGAGTAAGTAGAAGGAAGGAAAGAAAAAAGATCAGAATGGAAATAAATGACATGGAGACTAAAAACACAATACAAAAGATCAATGAAACCAAGAGCTGGTCCTTAAGTAAGATAAACAAGATTGATGAACCTTTAGCCAGAGTCACCAAGAAACAAAGAGAGAGGACCCAAATAAATAAAATCAGAAACAAAATAGGTGAAGTAACAACTAACACCACAGAAATACAAAGGACTGTAAGAAAAGACTATGAACAACTATATGCCAACAAAATGGACAACCTAGACAAAATGGACAAATTCCTAGAAAAATACAATCTTCCAAAACTCAATTAGGAAGAATCAGAAAACCTGAATAGGCTGATTAACTACTAATGAAATTAAAGCAGTAATAAAAATAAAAACAAATTCCCAGCTAACAAAATCCTGGTCCAGACGGCTTCACAGGGGGTTTTTACTAAACATTCAAAGAACTAACACCTATACTCCTCAGACTCTTCCCACAAATCCAAAAGGAAGGAACACTTTCAAGCTCTTTCTACAAGGCCAGCATTATCCTAATTCGAAAACCAGATAAAGACACTATAAAGAAAGAGAATCATGAGACAATAACGTAGATGCTAAAATTCTCAACAAAATTATTAACAAATCAAATCAAGAGAATATTAATAAGATCATACACCATGACCAAGTGGGATTTATTTCAGGGAAGCAAGGCTGGTACAATAGTCACGAATCAATAAATGTGATACATCTCATAAATAAATTGAAAGATAAATTTTACATGATTATAACAATAGATACAGAAAAAGCATTTGACAAAATACAGCACCCATTTTTTGATAAAATTCACAGCAAAGTGGGAATAGAGAGATCATACCTCAACATAATACATGCCATATATGACAAACATTTACCAAACCTCATACTCAATGGGCAAAAACTAAAAGCATTTCCCCTAAGAACAGGAACAAGACAGGGATGTTCACTTTCACCACTCTTATTCAACATAATACTGGAAATCTAAGCCACAGCAATCACACTAGAAGAAATAAAAGGCATCCAAATAGGAAATGAGGAAGTAAAACTGTCATTTTTCGCAGATGGTATGATATTGTACATAGAAAACCCTAAAGACTCCACCAAAACCTTACTAGATTTAATAAATGAATCTGGCAAAGTAGCAAGATACAAAATTAACACCCACCAATTGATGGAACTTTTATACACCAATAATGAACTATCAGAAAGAGAAACTAAAGGAACAATCCCATTTACCATTGCAAAAACAAAATTAAGATACCTAGGAATAAACTTAACCAAGGAGGTAAAAAACCTTTACTCGGAAAACTACAGGATATTGAAAAAAGAGAGAGAATAAGATATAAACAAGTAAAGAATATACCGTGTTCATGGATTGGAAGAACTAACATCATTAAAATGACCATACTGCCCAAACCAATCTATAGATTCAATACAATCACTGTTCAAACACCAACAGTATATTTTATAGACCTAGAACAAATACTCCAAAAATTTATAGGGAACCCAATAGCCACAGCAATCTTGAGAAAAAACAAAGTTGGAGAGATCACAATACTGGATATTAAATTATACTACAAACGTATTGTAATGAAAACATCCTAGTATTGGCACAAGAACAGGCATATAGATCAATGGAACAGAACAGAGAACCCAGAAATTGACCCAAGCCATTATGTTCAATTAATATTAGACAAAGGAGGCAAAGCATACAATGAAGTAAAGAGCATACATTCAATAAATGGTGCTGGGAAAATTGGACAGATACATGCAAAAAAAAATTAAACTAGACCATCAACTTTACCATATACAATAATAAACTCAAAATGGATAAAGGAGTTAAATGTAAGTCATGAAACCATAAAATCTTAGAAGAAAATGTAGGCAGCAAAATTTCAGACATCTCATGTAGCAGAATTTTTACTGATATGTTGCCTGGGGCAAGAGAAACAAAGGAAAAAATAATAAAGGGGACTACATCAAAATAAAAAGCTGCTGCACAGCAAAAGAAATCAGCATCAAAATGAAAAGGGAACCCACTCTTTGGGAAGAACACATTTGCCAATGATACATGGGATAAGGGACCAAGTTCCAAAATATATAGAGTACTCATACAACTAAACAAAAAAAGACAAACAATCCAATTAAAAAATGGGCAGAGGACCTGAAGAGACACTTCTCTAAACAGGACATACAGATGGCCAAGAGACATATGAAAAAAATGGTCAACGTCACCAATCATCAGAGAGATGCAAATTAAAACAACTATGAGATATCACATCACACCTATCAGAATGGCCACCATCAACAAGCCATCAAACAAGTGTTGGAGAGAATGCAGAATGGTGCAGCCACTGTTGACAGCAATATGGTGTTTCCTCAAAAAATTAAAAATTGAGCTGCCATTTGACCCAGTAATTTCACTTCTGGAAATATATCCTAAGAAGCCTGAAACACCAATCAGAAAGAATATATGCACCCTTATGTTCATAGCAGCGCTATTTACAATAGCTAAGATCTGGAAACAGCCAAAGTGTCCATCAGTAGATGAGTGGATAAAAAAAATCTGTGGTACATATACACAATGGAATACTATGCAGCTGTAAGAAAGACCTCTTACTCTTTGAGACAACATGGAATAACCTGGAGAGTATTATGCTAAGTGAAATAAACCAATCAGAGAAAGACAAATATCACATGATTTCAGTTATTTGTGGAATATAATGAACAAAATAAGCTGATGAACAAACTAGATCCGGAGACATGAAAGTAGGGAATAGACTGAAAAACCTCCGAGGGAAGGGCGTTAAGGGGGATAGGAAGAGATAAACCAAAGGACTTATATGCATATATGTATAACCAATAGTCAAAGACAACAGTACAGTGAAGGTGGGGGGTGGGAGAGCGGGAGCAGGTAGGAGAGTGTCAACGGGGGGAAATGGGGAAATCTGTAATAAAAAAAAAACTATTAATAAATTAAGTGTTAAAAAACAGAATTTGAGCCCTGGCCAGTTTGGCTCAGTGGTTAGAGCGTTGGCCTGCGGTCCGGAGAGACCCGGGTTCGGTTCCCGCTAAGAGCACGTACTTTGGTTGCAGTTTGTCCCCGGCCCTGGTTGGTCATGCGGGTGGCAGCCACTCGATGTGTCCCTTCACATCGATGTTTCTCTCTCTCTCTCCCTCCCACTCTATCTGTACAAAAAATGGAAAAATATCCTCTGGTGAGGATAAAAAAATAAAAATAAAAAAAAAACAGAATTTGCCCTGGCCAGTTTGGCTCAGCAGTTAGAGTGTCGGCCTGCGGACCAGAGAGACTGGTGTTAGGTTCCCGCTAAGGGCACATATGTCGGTTGCAGTTTGCCCCCGGCTCTAGTTGGGTCATGCGGGTGGCAACCACTCGATGTGTCCCTTTCATATCAATGTTTCTCTCTCTCTCTCTCCCTCCCACTCTATCTGAACAAAAAAATGGAAAAATGTCCTCGGGCGAGGATAAATGATAACAGAATTTATGCTTTTTTCCCTAAAATATTATTAAAATTCAAACACATAGAATACCTAACACTCCTACACAAATATCCAATTCTATCAAATCCAAACATTATGCCACAAAAGCGTCATGTTAAGAATGGAAATATAGACACAAAGGAAGTGTTCTATATGCTTACCTAACACTAGATTGCTTCTACCCGATAAGGGTTAAATCTTGTGGTATTTGCAACAGAGTTGTTTGAAATAAACCTAAAGAGAAATTTGTCCTTTTTAAATCCAACATTATATGTACCCTAGGCTCCCAGTTTTTTTGTTTGTTTGTTTTTTTAATCCTCACCTGAGGACATTTTCTTTGCACTTATCTTGATAGAGCGGGAGGGAGAAAAGGGGGAAGAGAGAGAGAAATATCTATGTGAGAGAGACACATTGAGTGGTTGCCACCCACACAACCCCAACCGGGGCCAGGGACAAACTGCAACTGAGGTACGTGCCCTTCGCGGGAACCAAACCTGGGACTCTCTGGTCCGTAGGCCGACATTCTAACTGCTGAACCAGACCAGCCAGGGCAGGCTCTCAGTTTTTAAGTAACTGGGTCCCTTCCCTTGTACTTTGTGATTGTCCAACTTCTACACTGAGGTCTTCAGTTCCTCCAGTGCTCAGTCACTTTTTCTTACTCTTTGAACCTCATTTTCCTTACAGTAAAATCGATGTTCTGTTCTTACTTTCCCTACAATTCTGACAACTACCCAATAATGTTCATAAAGTACCACAGAAAAAGTCTTCAAGGGGAAGTAGCTATTATAATTTTATTCACTGTGTGAGCCAAACCCTTGGCCTCTCCTTTTGCCCTCATCCATTAGCCTCTGCGTTTTCTTCTTTTCTCCAATTCCCTACATGAACTTCAAATTACTCGTGGTTACCACCAATACATGTGATTTCTGGGCTTTGTGCACTTCCTTGTGCACTTTCCCCATACCTTACTTGGTGAACTATTAATCCTTTAAAATCCTGCTCGGACATCACAATGCCCCACCCAAGGTTACTCTTCCCCTCCTATGTTATTTCTGCACCACGTCCATGTCACAAGTGCCACTGATTGTCACCAAAGCACACCGTATCTGTACCACTGCTGTCAGTGTAAACGTCTTGAGGACGAGTTCTATGTGTTGTTCTTTGCATCCCAGTGTCTTGGAGGGTTTGAATTAAATCCACTGTTTTTCTTCTGGCAAGAAAATGAAAGTACTTCTAGTTTAGTTTAAAAATCTACTTACTGCCCAGCCCACATAGCTCAGTGGTTGAGTGTTGACCCATGCACCAAGGGGTTGCCAGTTCGATTCCCAGTCTGGGCACATGCCCAGGTTGTGGGCAAAATCCCCAGTGGGGAGCATGCAGGAGGTGACCAATCGATGTTCTCTCTCATTGATGTTTCTATCTCTGTCTCTCCCTTTCCTTCTTCTCTAAAAATCATTAAAGAAAAAAAAAATCTATCTACCCTCAGGTATGGTAAATGGCTAGTGTGAAAAGTTGTTTCCATTCTGGCCTTAGTACACCTCTCCCTCTAGAGGTAGGGACCCCAACTCAAATGTTTGTAGAAGTTGATGAAATAGACCAAGTGTAGACAGTTACAAAATGAAGTGAAAGGAGAAAGAAGATGCTTAGCCCCAGCCTACTGTTCTTGTACTGAAACAAAAATCTATAATGTAATTGTTCAGGAAAGTCTGAAAACGCAGACTATGAAATCTTCTTCCCCAATCTAAATATGTTGACAACTAATCAAAGAAAGGGGGGAAACTGCTTAGCCTAAAGAAATCTCTCACAGGCCAAACCTTGCAGTTAATTCTTTCTCTTATTGCCCCACCCATGGACAGATAGTGAAAATTTCCTAGAGCTAAGGCCCAACCCTGTTCAAAATACACCAACTGAAGTCCTACTGGTGTGACTCAGTTTGTTGGAGTGCCATCCTGTACACCATCCCCAGTTGGAGTGCATGCTGGAGGCAACTGATTGATGTTTCTCTCACATCAATATTTCTCTTTCCCTTCCTCTCTCTAAAAATCAGTTAAAAATATTTTTTTTAAATACCAACTGAAAAATGATTATAGAAAACCCCAAAGTATATAAGAACAAGAGGTCATCTAAATAATCTGAAATTTTGTCCAACAGAACTACCAAACCCAGTAGAACAAGGACATGGGTCAGCAGCCTTGGGAGGTCATGGCAACTATCTAGTCGGTTCCATCCATTTACTGAACACCTATTATGTGCCTGGATGCCAAGATGAATGAGACAACATTAACTCACGCTCCATTAAGAATCACATTCTTCCTCCACTTAACATCTGTGCCTCCCCACCCTCCTCCATGTCCCATACACTTTTACTCACCTTACTAGTTCCAGAAATGCACCACACATAAGCACCCTCCCATCTAGTCTTACAATCTAGAGTAAAAATAGCCATATTTTCCCCAAAAAATTATAAATAAAAAGGAAGATTATTTTATTCATAAAAAAAGTCAGGTCCTTCTTTGCTTGTGGCTTTGTACAGGAAATGCAAAAGGCCTCTTTAATCTCATTCACAGTTGTTCTCAAGTTTCCTACATTAATTTAGTGTCTCATCTCTGAAGGATTACTCTGAGATTCTTAGATTCTCATTCTCACACTTTTTCAATCAATTTTCCACAATGCCACCAGCACAGCCTCCCCAGAATGAAATTCTGATCACATACTTCAGACTCGAACCCTTCTTCGTCTCGCATTCCCAATTAATAACGGTGGCCAGGCTTTTGATTTGCCTATGTTTAATGCTGACACCTTACTTCACCAAAAAGTTACAAAACATGGAGGACATGTAAAATACAGATTTTCAGAACTTCCTCTCCTTCATCAAATAAAGAGAGGAATCCAGGGAAAATTTTGCCCTCATTGCCCCAGAAATGAAAAAGGGAAAAGAGAGGAAGGGGCTAGCAGAGGACCGAGGAGGGGGAGTGCCGACTCAGCCTGCCAGGGGTCATCGCAATGCAATGAACTACAAGCAGACACATCTTGGAATGAGAGGAAGCATTGCAAGGGAGCAAATGCTCTTGATCTCAGGATACAGTCCAATTTATTCTCTTAGCAGTTCCCTAGGTTACACAATGTTTTAGGTAATTAGGTCCTTGAAATAGCGTCTCTGCTGACCTTTCAGCCAAGCCCAGCATTCTTCCTGTTACAGCTGCCCCTCGCTATTTTCAGCCAAGATTCTTAACAAATTCACACTTGTAACTCATTTTCAAGGTTCTTATCACAGCCACTTCCCTGGGCGGTGTTCCAAGTCACTGACACTCTCTCTTGGGCAGTGTTCCAACCCACCATGCATACTTTGTCTTTTTTCATGTATACTTTTGTCCTTGGCTGGCCAGGCTACAAGAATGCATACCCCTCAAGGTTACATTTTGCTCATCCACCAAACCCCCAATCCTACAAGAAGGACAAAGTTCACCTGGAAGTTGGGTTTCCTGAGTGGGTGGGCATCTCCCTGGGTCTGATTGCTCTTTTTCCAGGAGAGGCATTTTCCTCCCTCAACTTGTCCTGCTGCCAGAGTTCCTCCTGCCTGACCTGTTGTGACCTTGGCGTTGGTGGTGACTTCTGTTGCTGCTGGCTGGCCTCTAGCAGGACCTGAAAGCACCTTGCTCTTCTCATCTTTCCTGTCCTTCCCATCCTTCCGCAGGTGTATGAAGCCCAAGGCCCATCACTGGTGAATAGCCCTCCCAGGCTGGCAGAGGTGGACCCAAAAGAACAGCTGCGCAGGGTGAGAGGGCCCAGCGAGCACTGCACAGACAGGAATACACACAGGCTCATTTACACACCCACCTCTTTGGTATTGACCTTGCACAGCCACAGGCTCAGGCAGGGGTTCATTTGGGAGAGAATGGCCTTAAGCTGTGCCCTATTGTAAGGGTCAGTGCAGTAGGCCCAAGCGTTCGTGGGTACCACCAGCTCTGTCCTGGCCAGGAGAGTGGGGGCACCAGTATTTTGCCTCCAGTAGGGCTGTTAGTGGTCATAGACTCACAGCTGGCCCAAAGGCAGGATGTTCCCATAGTGTGTTTCCTGGTACAGGCCTTGAGGAACACAGGCACATCACTCCCCGCTGGCCAAGCTTATTGCAATATCCTGGTAATTTGTTTGTGTCCTGGCTCTGCCTTCTAAGTTCATCCACCCCTTATTTCCCTTGGTCAAGCTGGTTCAGGTTCATCCCTATCTTTATCAGATTCTGGTGGGAGCTACTGCCTATTACCCTAATTGAAGAGGGTGGTGGGAAGAGAGCTACCTACCTCAAGGCCTAATTTCCACCTGATTCGAATTGGTCTTTCCTATCTGTTCAATTTCACTGCTCCCAAATCTTTTTTTCAAAGCTGTTTTTCATTATTGACTTATTCACACACATGCTATAGTTAGCCATTCATTTATTCCCATAGTAACATACCGTTTTAGAGATCCTGTTTTAAATCATATAGTAAAACAAATATAAGGAGTAAATTATTTGAGCAGCCTTATATTAGAAAAGTGTAAGGAAGAAGTACATTATTATGGCAGGGCTAATGAAAATAAAGACCAGAGGAGCAGCGGGGAGTAAAAGTTATGGAAGGACAAAGGGTGTATACAGGGAGAGAAAATACATTTCAGAGGGTTGTACTGATACGAATAACCTGATTATTAAAGGAACAAAGGAAAGATTAGATGATATAGATATGCCATTTATATAACTTTGCCAGAAAGCTGCATTTTTATTACCCGCAGGTCAATGTGGGGACTGAACAAAGGCAGTTTAGATGAATGTCCAGTAAGAGTTGGGTGACAAGAGAAGATGCTTACCTGCCAATCACCCTTGGAAACAGGTAATTGGACAAAATAGGCATGGCCACTGCAAGGGCGTGAAATCTGAGATACATAAGCTCCTGAACAAAGGAATTCCCTCTCTTGGTTCTTGGCTCTCTTGTTCTCCTGACACTCCTGTTGCAGGGGCATACTCCCTTGGATTCCACTCCCACACTCATGGCCATGTGGGACCCACACAATGGACTGATGGACTGGATCTAGTATGGTGCTCCGCCTCTATGGAATGGAAACGCTGGACACTGGCTCTGCTTCTAGCTCAGCTGAAACCCCAGCTGCATATCTTCCATGACTGGACTAAGGGAAACCAAGGGATATAACTCTACACAAATAAGTCACTCATTCTCCCGAGCGAGTCTTAGAAAACTCTTTTTCTCAAGATATTACAGGAACTCCACTCCCACTAGTGACAGAGAAATTCCACGAGTGCAGTTATCCAGTAACAGTATGACATGCCAAAGGTCCACTCCCAGTGAGGACCCCTCCCCCCAACAAATTGTTCTGATTTAGAGGGTAAATTCAGATTTAACAGCAGGATAGTTAAGTAGCTTGAGGTCAAACCCAGCTGAATTGAAACCTAGGCCTTGTTACCAGGCAAGTTATTTAACCAATTCAGTTAAATATTTGACAGTACTAAGCATATTGTTATAAGATTAAATAAGCTATTGCTTGTGAGGCACAAAGCACTCCCGCGTTCAGTAAGCAGCTATTGTTTGTTAAGGATCCCAGGCCTGTGTTCCTTTGCTCTTCAGACCTAGGTGATCACAAGCTTTGATAACTCTCTGTATTAGTCAGGCTTCCTGCTCCGGCTCAGGGTTATGATCAAACTGAAATGACACCTGAGGAACCAAGTAGAGCCCACACTTTCTCTAATTCAAGGTCGCTCCTGCTGTTTACTGCCGGAGCCTTTCAGAAGCAGCAGAACCCACGGGCAGCTCCCACTTCCAGAACGCAGTGGGAGGCTTTCCAGGCCATAAACAAACCCGAATTAAGGTGGGGCATGTCAGACCCTGTGCCTGATGAGGACAGAGTCCTGCCTTCCAGGGCAGTTTGGAGGGGACGGCAGGCACACACAGGGTGGGTCGGTACCCTAAGAATATAAAGGGCACAGGGCAGCCTGCAGAGGGCAGCAGCTGCCACCGCAGGAAGGGTTACCATATGTTCCCCATTTCTCGGGCAGGGAGACAGGCTCAAAGGTCTTGAACGTGATCCCTAAGAGCACCACAGGCCTAGAGCTGAAGTCCTCTGGCTGCAGTGCCCGCCGGTCCCCTCCACAGAGAGCAGCGGCCGGAAACGGGTCTTCCTCCACCAAGGACCACCCTGGGCGTCCAAGTTTGGCGACTTCGGGGCGGAACAGAGGCCTGTCGGAGACCACGGGCCGCGCGAGGCCCCCGAACATGAGACGCGCGAAGGGGCGGGAGTCGCGGGGTGGACACGGGGCGGCCCTCCGAAGGCTCCCTCAGAAGCCGCCGCCCGTCCAGCTCCCGAGCGCCTGCTGAGCAGCCCCACCAGGCCCCGTGCTCGCAAGCCCAGCGCGGCGGCGCGGCCAGCCTGACTTCCGGGCGGCGCGCGCGCTGCGTGCGGCGTCATGACGTCACCGCGAGACTTGTGGGAGCGCGGCTTTGGCGCGAGCGTCTGAAAGTGCCGCAGGGACCTGCTGCCCCGGGTGCGTCGGGGAGGAGGGTTGCCGCCGGGAGAGCCTGTGGGTCCGAAGAGCGGCGTCTTGGAGGCGGTTAGTGCTGCGGAGGACGCGGGCCCGGCCGCCGGTGGTCGCTGCCAGCCCCGCGCGGATGGGACGACGGACCGGCCCTCCCGGCCGGAGGCTCGGCTCCTCTCCTGGGACTCGGGCCGCGCCACCCGCTCGGGGGTGGGCTCCAAGCTGCCGCGGGGTCCCAGTCCGAAACCTCCTTGCACACGGTTGAGTTACTTTTCTGGAATGTGGTGTGGTGGACGAGGTTTCCCGCCTCCGCCACTGTGTCCGCCCCACTTTACCCCAGCTGGTGCCTGTGGGATGGGGGCGTCCTGATTCGAACCGGCGTTCACCTCTACTGGGAGCCCTCGCCACTCGTGACTAGTTAACGTAACTAAAATGCATGTCAGAAATGCTGCTCCTGAGTCGCACTTGCCACATGTCCAATGCTTGATGTGGCCGGTGGCCACTGTGCTGGCAGCACAGATACACAAGGCTCCCACCATCGCAGCGAGTTCCTCTGCAGTCCCAGAAGGTGGGGCCGAGATCAGTCATCAGTCGCTTTAGGCAGCTGTACCCTCCTCTGTACCTCAGTCACTTAAGGACCCACCCGGTGAAGTGTGTTCTGTTCTCTTTTGCAGACTCCTTTTCCAAGCGTTGGAGTAATATTATAGAGGAAAATGCCTATTGGATGCAGAGACAGGCCAACTTTTTTTGAAATTTTTGAGACACGATGCAGCCAAGCAGGTATTGACAAATTTTATATAAATTAATCACTTACAGTGAGCAATGTTTCCAGAAAAATATGTAAATATGCATATGGAAAGAATCCAATACTTCACATTTCTGTTTACATTATAAATTGTTCTTTATGGAGTCAAATCCAGTCAAGAGGATGAACTTTTACAGTTACCATTGTTTCATTGGCTGTTGTTTTCCCTCAGTGACAGGCTCACTTCATTCATTTTCGAAAAAATGTCTCCCAAATCATCCAACTCAGAATGACTTCGTTTGTCAGTCATTCTTTCGAGTAAAAATGACTTCCATGAAAAAGTGCTAATTCAGCTCACAAATCATATGAGTTCTTTTATAGACAACTACTATAGTTAAATATGCAGGCATGCTTTATGCATACTTTTCATTTTGTCAGAATATTTTTAAAATGTTTTTAATATTAATATTGGGCTTTAATAAAACTAATTTTTACTGCCTCATTAAGGATATTTTAAATTAAACTGGCTTTTTGTTATTTGGTGGGTTTTTTATTTTATTTTATTTTTTTATCCTCACCCGAGGATATTTTTCCATTTTTTGTACAGATAGAGTGGGAGGGAGAGAGAGGAAGGGAGAGAGAGAGAGAAACATCGACGTGAAGGGACACATCGAGTGGCTGCCACCCGCACAACCAACCAGGGCCGGGGACAAACTGCAACCGAAGTACGTGCCCTTAGCGGGAACCGAACCCGGGTCTCTCAGGACCGCAGGCCGACACTCCAACCGCTGAGCCAAACTGGCCAGGGCATATTTGGTGGGTTTTTATAACAAGTGCATGGTGATGAAGATTACAGTGACTACTAGTACCATTTGTTGCCACTGCCTTGACTCACACAAAGGTGTCATCAGTTTCACTCACCAGTGGTACAGTGTCAACATTGTGAAAAAGACAAATGATGCCTTCGTATTATGAAAATAGGTTTGACCTTATGGACCCCTTGAAATTGTCTTGAGTAACTTTCCCCCATTTGGTCCACAGATCACACTTTTAGAACTGCTACTTTAAGAGTGGATAGATTCAGAGTAGAAGTTTTGTCATTTCTCTTTAACAGAGAATCTTCTTACTCCCTTTTATTTGTGAGTCTACATGTTCTTTATACCTATGGATTTATCCCATCCACTTGCGTAGTTTCTATAAACATTTGAATTGTGTCTGTGGAATGCATTCTTACTATGGTTTTTGTTTCTGAGTCATGAATATAAAATAAAGAAAACTTTAGGAGAGCTAACATAGTTAAGAGCTTTCTTCTTGTAACTTTTGCAAACTTGTACCTTACTACAGATTCACAAGAGAACAGACAAATGATCCTGTTTGATTAATATGCTTTAACAAAAGTCATCCACAGTTCAAATCTCAAGCATCCTTTTCTTTATTATGATCTTTACTGGCTCTCAAATTTTTCTGTGTCTCTGATTAAAACCAAGATGATGTTTTTATTTTTTTACAGATTTAGGACCAATAAGCATTAATTGGTTTGAAGAACTTTCTTCAGAAGCTCCACCATATAATTCTGAAATTGCAGAAGAATCTGAATATAAAACCAGTAGTTATGAACCCAATCTGTTCAAAACACCAAAACGGAAACCTTATCATCAGTTGGCTTCAACTCCAGTAATATTCAAAGAGCAAGGTCTGACTCTGCCACTATGTCAAACTCCTTTTAAAGAATTAGATAAGCCCTGGCCAGTTTGGCTCTGCGGTCCAGAGGGACCCGGGTTCGGTTCCCATTAGGGGCATGTACTTCAGTTGTGGTTTTTCCCTGGCCCTGGTTGGGTTGTGTGGGTGGCAGCCACTCAATGTGTCCCTTTCACTTCGATGTTTCGCTCACTCTCTCTTCCTCTCTCCCTCCCACTCTATCTGAACAAAAAAATGGAAAAATATCCTTGGGTAAGGATAAATAAATAAAGAAATAAAGAATTAGATAAGGACAGATTAGATTTAAATAAGTAATAAGATGTAGAGTAGGGAAAAATATGAAGTAGGAATGCAGACAAACCTGTGTTAAGAATCCCTGGTCTGTCATTAACTATGTCATGTTGGTCAAATTAACCTCTCTGGCTTCACTTTACTCACCTAAAAAATGGAGATGAATGCCCTGACTGGTTTGGCTTAGCAGTTAGAGCATGGGCCTGCGGACCTGAATAATGTTCTATTGCATGGATGTACCAGTTTGTTTATCCATTAACAAATTAGGGACATCTTAATCACTTCCAAATTTTGGCAATTATGAATAAAGCTGCTATGTGCAGGTATTTTACGTGGACCTAAGTTTTTAACTCATTCGGGTATTTACCAAGGAGCAAAATTGGCTGGATCCTATGTTAGAATTATATTTATTTTTGTAAGAAACTACAAACTCTTCCAAAGTGGCTGTACCATTTTGCATTTCTACTGGCAGTGAATGAGAGTTCCCCTTCTTCCACATTCTCACCAGCATTTGGTATTGTCTTTGTTTTTGATGTTCATTCTAATAGGTGTGTAGTGGTATCTCATTGTTTGGTTTATTTTTTAAGTCCTTTTTTTTCTGATTAGGATCTTTTTTTTTTTTAATCCTCACCTGAGGATATTTTTCCATTTTTGTTTAGATAGAGCGGGAGAGAGAGAGAGGAAGAGTGAGAGAGAAACATCATTGTGAGAGGGACACATCGAGTGGTTGCCTCCTGCACAACCCCAGTCAGGGCCAGGGACGAATTGAGGTACATGCCCTTGACCAGAATCGAACCCATGACTCATTGGTCCGCAGGCCGATGCTCTAACCGCTGAGCCAAACCTGCCAGGGCTAATTAGGACCTTTTCAAAGTGAACAGAGTAAAGGTGAACTTTTAAAATACAGGTTTAGATATTTTTGAACATCTTTAAAACTTTCATAAGAGAAGGATGTTGGGTATTTTGTTGAAATGGGGTTTTGTTTTGTTTTAAATATGTTTTTAATTCCCTGGCCAATTTGGCTCAGCAGTTAGAATGTCAGCCCAAGGACTGAAGGGTCGTGGGTTTGATTCCTGGTCAAAAGCACATATCTGGGTTGCAGGTTCCATCCCTGTCCCTGGTCAGGAGGCAACCAATTGATGTGTTTCTCTCACATCGATGTTTCTCTCTCTCCTTCCTTCCCTGCCTTCTACTCTATCTAACTCAATGGAAAAATATCCTCGGGTGAGGATTTAAAGTAAATATGTTTTTATTGATTTCAGAAAAGGGAAGGGAGAGGGAGACAGAGATAGAAACACCGATAATCATTTGCCTCTTGCACGCCCCCTACTGGGTATTAAGCCTACAACCCTAGGCATGTGCCATGACTGGGAATCGAACTGGTGACCTCCTGGTGCACGGGTCAGTGCTCAATCACTGAGCCATACCGGCTGGGCTGAAGTGGGGTTTTTAACTTACACGTTCTTTTGCTTATTAGTGATTATGTCTATTCCCTATTACTTGAAAAATGAGAATATAATGCAGTATGTTGTATATACTACTACACATTTCAGTTTGGTCTTTGCTTGATTTATTAACACTGGTAATGGCTTATTTTCCCCAAAGCTTCTCTAAGTTAGAGATTGTAGGATTAGTTAAAGCAACTCTTTTTAAAAGCAACTTTTAAGAGTAATAGTAAGTGCCTTGAGTGCCCAATTTATGATTAAGAAAATACAAATATTGAAAAACTATAGATTGGACTTGATAGAGTCACAAACAGCTTTGGAAACCCTGTCTGAGAAAGTAGATGTGTGCAACAGGAACCGGAGTGTTACACATTGCTATCTACAAACCACTTTTCTAATCCTTGCCAATTCATTCAGCCAGTATTGGTGGACTGACTGTAACATATCAGGCAATTATTGTGATTGCTAAGGATACAGTGATAAGTAAGACATGATCTCTACCTCAGGGAACTCATAGTCTAACAGGAAATGGGAACAGTGTGTGATGAACTCTGCAGGGAACACATAAGAGTGCACTCACTTAGTCTCACCCTAGGGACCACTGAAGTATTCTGGAGGAGGTAGTTTCAAAATGGGAACCTGAAAGAGGATGTTCCCAGTCAAGAGAAATAGAGTGAAAGAAACAGTTTGTACAAAGGTCTAGATTGAGAGAGACCATTCTTACAGGATAGTATGGCTGAAAAGAGTATAAAAAATGTCATCGTAGAAATTAAGACATCTGCCCTGGCTGGTTTGGCTCAGTGGTTGGAGCGTCGGCCTACGGACGAGAAAGTCCCGGGTTTGGTTCCTGCTAGGGGTATATACAAAAAAAAAAAAAAAGAGAGAGAGAAAGAAATTAAGACATCAGATCATGAAGGCCTTGTTACCAGGGAGTTTTGTTACAGAGTTTGAACTTAATAACAAGTTAAAAGGTTTTCAGTAGAAAAGTAATATGGTCAGATTTAGTACCTTGGTGGGTTTTCAATAAATGTCTTTTCTTTTACCCTTATCTTCCATGATGCCTTAGTACTATCTGTGACTTAATAATGAGACATATCACATTCCACTTTGTCTTCCATTTGGTGCACATTTCAAAAAATTTTCCACTACAGTATTCTGAACTCCTTGAGGTTAAACCTGTATCTTGATTGCATTATCCAAAGTAACTTTTGTGTATTATATGCTTATAATATGGTTGTTGTAATAGGGGCAGACATCCTTTTTGGGAAGAATCAGCAAACTGAGAAACCAGTTCAGACTGAACTGCCCATACGTTCTCCTTCCCAGTATAGATGAGACTTTGTTTTTAAATACTTCCGGAGAAGGAAAATTCACAATACAGAGCATATATATTCTCACTGAATTATTGTACTCTTTCAGGAAAGCATATCACCAATAGTCAGCATAAAAGTTGTTGCATAATGAAGGCTAAAATGGATCAAGCAAATGATGTTATCAGCCCATCTGTAAATTCTTGTCTTAGTGAAAGGTATGATGAAACTATTATATTAAAATAATTAAATGAAACATTTTCCTGTATATGATATTTGTTTTATAGAAATGCATCTAATTTTCACACTAATATTTTGACTGAGAGCCTGGTAGAGGATCTTCTATTTTTAAATAATTTCCTTTTATATTGAGTTCCTTGCTACAATAATTTCTATAGTAGAAATATTTACTTTATTTTTCTTAGAATGTTGAATTCACTGGTTTTTCTGTATAGTCTATGAAGTTTTTAAATAACAAAAATACTAATGATAAAAAATGCCTTTGAAATATCAGTTTAAATTTGCATGCTTTGAATTACTGGAGAGAATATGATGCCATTTTATTCACTTTACATAATTTTTAAATTAAAAATATATATAATTCTTAGCTGAAATATTTGAGTACTTTATACATTACTTTCAATGGACATTTGAAAAATAACTTAGTGGTTATTTAATTCTTCATGAAATAATTTACTTTTTAAAAAGTAGTATAGAAATAATACAAAGTAGTATAATTCTAATAATTGATATGACTGAGAGTTCTTTATTTTTAATAAGATCAGTATATATATTGCAATTTGTTATTTCTTGAATAATCTGAGGGATTTACTTTGTTTTTTTTTAGTCCTGGTGTTCTACGATGTACACATGTGACACCACAGAGAGAAAAGTCAGGTATGATTAAAAACATAGCTTTTTATTTTTTGAATATTCTAAATTTTAATAAATATAAAACTTAGTAATTTTTTCCTTGTTTTACTCCCAGTGGTATGTGGAAGTTTATTTCATACACCAAAGCTCATGAAGGTAAATATTTGCCTAGTTTATTTTTATTGTGTAGTAATTGAGAATTTGACAAAAATGTTATACCTTTGCCCGGAGATTTACAGATATATACCTATGATCTCACATAGGCATTCAATAAATGATAAATGAAAAAAAGTGAATGAGAAAATATTCTTAAAAATATTCATCAGTGTCTTCCTATGAAATAAACTATTTTCTTTATTGCCAGGGTCAGACACGGAAACATATTTCTGAAAGTCTAGGAGCTGAGGTGGACCCTGATATGTCTTGGTCAAGTTCTTTGGCCACACCACCAACCCTTAGTGCTACTATGCTCATAGGTAAAACTATCAGATGTTTCTTTATAAGAAGGTAGATGGTGTTGGCAGATAATCACCTCTAATGCTTTCTGTTAAAAAGAAAATATGAAAAGATAAATAGTAATTAGATTAGATAATCCTGTCTTTGATAAGTGTGTTAGTTCAGAATAGTTTTATCCTATTTAGTGCAGATTGGTATAAATCTGAGGTACATTAGGTTGGGATTCTATAGGAGTCAGATTAATTTATATGCAAACCAGGAATCTTTTTTTTATTCTAGCAAATATGCATTCTATTTTGATTCCTCTTTAGCTGAAAATTTAATTTTGCTCTGTCGTTGCTCTCATGCCATAATACCGGTAAAAGCATGTTGAAAATTAAAAAATGTTTAACATGTAGTATGCCTTTAGACTGTATTATTATCTAAATAAATGTTGAAGTTTACACTTACAAGTTTTCTTTTTTTTTTTTTAATCCTCACCCGAGGGCATTCTTGCATGTATCTTCAGATAGAGCGTGAGGGAGAGAGGGAGGAAGAGAGAGAAACATCGATGTGAGAGAGATACATCGTGTGGCTGCCATCCACACGACCCCCACTGAGGCCAGGGACAAACTACAACCGAGTTACGTGCCCTTAGCAGGAACTGAACCCGGGACTCTGGTCTGCAGGCCGATGTTCTAACTGCTGAGCCAAACTGGCCAGGGCTGACTGACCTCTCTCAATACTATACTCAGATCAATTCATTTTCTTTCAAGTGTGTCATTTAATCCAATAATGTATGTGTGTCTTTTGATATCTGACCAAAAAAATGTAAGTTTTTGCATTAACTTTGGTGTACGATGTACAGTACAGTATAGGTTAATTGAATTTGTTTTACAGTCAGAGATGAAGAAGCACCTGCAGCTGTATGTCCTAATGATACTACTGCTGTAAGTAAATATGATGAATTGATTATCCTGTTGCAGTTGCTTATTATTTTAGGATGTCTTGAAAAATTACTTATCTTGCATTTTTTATTTCTTAATTTGGTTTACCTAAGCCTTTGAGAAAGTCTCTAAACCTGTTTCTATAGGTGATTTTCTTTAAATTCCTATGAGAAACTCTACTGTCTCTCTGTTTAAGAAGAAGTTGAATATTTATGAATAGTGAGAGTTTCTATATTAGTAATTTTAAAATATAACTTTTGTAGATTTTGAAAAGCTATTTTTCTGACCATGATGAAAGTCTGAAGAAAAATGATAGGTTTATCCTTTCCGGGCCAGACAGTGAAATAAACAATCAAAGAGAAACTGAAAGTCATGGTAAGTTTTTATGTTTACTTGAATAACAGTTTTTAACTGACATCATTGAAGTATTGCTCCTCTCCTTTCTTGGTGACTGAAGGTATTAAGGGTAGAAACTTGATTTAGATGAAAATGTTAAAGCACCATGTTAAAACAAGACTATTCAAGATACTGCTGTGACAAAAACAAAACAAAACCCATTACTCAAAGCCCACAAAGATGAAGAGTAATACTTAAAATTAACAAAATGTGAAGGTCTTATTTTCTCATTAGAGAGTAAATATGGTTGCACATATATCAAAAATTACCTAATCATGCCATTGGAATATTGCATGTTTCTTAGTATGTGTGTATGTCTTTATAAATGTGTAGGATTGGATATCTGTGAGTGTGTGTGTGTATGTATGTGTATAAAATCACATTTTACTCTCAGTTGTTGTAGGGTCACAAATTTGGACCATCTGACTTGATAAATATTAGAGTATTAAACTGTATTTATAGTAAGACTGGATGAATTTTAATTGTGTAAACCTGGTAAAGAAAGGTTATTTATGATCGGAGTAGGAATAAAAGGTTTTGAGTACATTGAAATTAGTCTTTATCAGAAGAACAGGAGGAGGTTGTGTGCCGTTCCCCTCCACCAAAATAGTGAAGACTCATGATAACCCTTTAAAGTTTCAATTATGTGTTATTTAGTACATACTGTTTTCTATGAAAAAGGTTGTTAGAATCATAAACTCTATGATTGTATTATAAAATGTTATTGATATGCTTCTCTCTTAAATTTTAACAGGATTGGGGAATTCATTTGGTAAAGTAAGTAGCTGCAAAGACCATTTTGAAAAGTCAGTGACAAATGTCACAGAAGATGAAGTATTCGAGAAGGTGGGAGATATTTCTGAAGAAGATAGTTTTTCATTGTGTGTTTCTAAATATAAAAAAAGAAATCCACAAAAAATAAAAGCTGGCAAGACTAGGAAAAATATTTTCAACGAAACAAAAACCAATGAATGTGAAGAAGCTAAAAAACAAATCAAAGAAAATAAACATTTGTTTGTATCCGAAATGGAACCAAATGACAGTGATCCATTAGATACAAAAATAATGAGTCAGAAGCCCTTTGGGAATGGAAGTGACAGAATATCTGAAGAAGCTGTACAGTCTCCAGCCTTCGAATGGTCTCAGCTAACCCTCTCAGGTCTAAATGGAACCCAGGTGGGGAAAACACCCCTACTGCATATTTCTTCTTGTGACCAAAATAATTCTGAAAAAGACCTCATAGACACAGAGAAAGAATGTACCAACTTTATTACTTTAGAAAATTATTTGCCACATATTTCAAGTGTACCAAAGACAGAGACGATATTAAAGGAGGAAACGGTGGCAGATAAGACAGATGAAGGGCAGTGTCTTGAATTGCGTGAAGATTCTATTCCTGTGGTAAAGCACACGGTATCTGAAACTTCCCTAATAGCTTCTCCTCTTCAGGGTATCAAAAAGTCTCAATTCAGGGTAAGAGAATTGCCTGAAGAGACACCCAGTGCAGTTTTCTCAAATAATATGACTGATCCATACTTTAAAGAAGAACCTGAAGTCTCTGAAAGTAGATTGGATATAAGTACTATTTTCTCCCAGAAAGAGAGTTCTTTATGTACAAGTTCAGTTGATAATGGAAGCCATCCAGCCACTATCAAACATACTTCCATAGCTTTGAAGAATACAGGTTTAATATCTACTTTGAAAAAGAAAACTAAAAAGTTTATTTATGCTCTAAGTGATGAAACATCTTATCAAGGACTAAAAATACAGAAAGATCAAGAATCAGGACTCACTAACTATTCTGCCCAATTTGAAGCGAACACTTTTGAAGGACTATCTACAGTTACAAGTGTTGATTCAGGTACCTTTTTTTGTGTGTGAATAGTATATACAGTTATATGGATGGTGACAAGTTCTCTAATTTGAATATGTGAACCTCTTTAATCTTTTAGAAAAGCAGACTGACTGCTTTCCTTCTATAGTTTTTTGTTTTTAAAAAATCTCTGTATCTTGTACAGTTGATTGAACAACACAGACATTAGAGGTTCCAATCTCTGTGCAGTTGTAATTTAGAGTATAACTTTTGACTCAGTCATCCTTTGGTATCTGCAGGGGGCTGGTTCCAGGATACCAAAATTTTCAGATGATCAAGTCCCTTATATAAGATGGTGTTGAACAATTGCATACAGTCAGCCCTCTGCATCCCTAAATTCCTAAACACAGATAGAAAATACTATTTTCCATTTGTGGTTTGTTGTATCACTGAATGCAAAACCCAGGGATACACACAGTTCACTAACTGTACACATGACCAACTGTATGTTTATTGAAAAACATCCACATATAAATGGACCTGCTCAGTTCAAACCCAGTTTCAAGGGTCAGCTGTAGTCAGTATCACACAATGTCAACATATGTTGTTATTTTTTTATTGACATTTTTATCATTGTTATAATTTCTATCTTAAACATTGTTTAGGCCTTTTATTACCAATGTTCAAAACCATTTCATCAAACTTCTTGGTCACTTTGCATCATATATGTATAATTATCACTCTTTTTTTTTTTTTTTATCCTCACCCGAGGACATTTTTCCATTTTTTGCACAGACAGAGTGGGAGGGAGAGAGAGGGAAACATTGATGTGAAAGGGACACATCGAGTGGCCGCCACCCGCACGACCAACCAGGGCCGGGGACAAACTGCAACCAAGGTACATGCCCTTAGCGGGAACTGAACCTGGGTCTCTCCGGACCACAGGCGGACGCTCTAACCGCTGAGGCAAACCGGCCAGGGCTAAAATTATCACTCTTAAGACAGCATGTGATTTACAAACATCAAGAGATTCACTGTGTAATTCCTGCTTTAATTTCCAGTGTTTATTATATGCAGATTGAACAGTTCTGTAAATATGTTGTGCTATTTGCTATGTATTTTCACTAAAGCAAGTAAATAGGAAAAAAGCTAATTGCTAGCTAAGTTTAATAAGTAGTGATTTTTGTTGTTACATAATTTTCTTAAATATTTAGAAATTGCTGAGAGTTATTGCCATATCTCTGGGCATCCAGTGTGTGTACAGCGAAACTCATTTTTTATTTCAGCAACAGTTCATTAAATCAGTAGCTAAACTCTGGGGGGGTGTCTTTTATTGTTGTTGTTGTGTTATTTTTTTTTTTTAATTCCTCACCTGAGGATATTTTTCTATTTATCATTAGATAGAGTGGGAGGAAGGGGGAGATAGAGAGACAGAGAGAAACATCAATGTAATAGAGCCATATCGACTGGTTGCCTTCCGCACAACCCTGACCAAGGCCGGGGATGAACCGCAACCCAGGTTCATGCCCTTGACCGAAATAGAACTTGAGACTCATTGGTCTGCAGGCCAGTGCTCTAACCGCTGAGCCAAACTGACCAGGGCAATAGCTAAACTCTGTTTCAAAAGTTATTTTAGTTCCATCTGAGAAGATTTTAGTGGGTTGGAATATCTCAACGAATAAAAGGTTTGGTAGAACTGGAGTACAGAGGGAACTGTTTGAGGTTTGGGTTTTCAGGAAAAAAAGCATTTAATGCTGTATGCATAAGAGTTAAAACCAACAAAACAGCTAATCTGTAGTAGAGGTCACTGATGAAAGAAAATGAGATTAATAATTTTGACTTAATAGGAAATTCAGAGAGCCTTTAAAATTAACTGAACGGAGCAATTGAGCTCATTTTCCTTTAAAATTGAGACTATGTCATCTTTCACGCCTTCATATGTAGAACTTGGATTTAAAAGTTGACTTTTTTTGTATGTTTTCAATGTGAAAGACTGAATTAATTAACTGAAGGAAATGGTTACTTTTCTAATTCCTTTGCTTTGCTTTTCCATCTTCTGTTACACCAATATTGACAACGAATTTTTTCACAATTTTATTTTTTAATAAAATTACTTTGAATTTTACTTATGATAGCTACCTAATTTTGATTAAATTGATATATATTACAAAAAAGTAGTAGGTCCTATTTATCTTTAGTTGGAAAATGTAATAACTTCAAAATAAAGAATATGTATAATTCTTTTTGTTTTAAACTTGACATTCATTTCTTGCTTTTTATGTAATTCTTATTTTAGATACTACCTTTTTAGCTTTGTAGAAAATATTTAATGAATGTGATTGATGATACTTTAATTTTATTTTCTTACTTTGTCTCTTTATGCGTAGGTTTTTTGCATTCTTCTGTGAAAAAAAACTGTTTACAGAATGATTCTGAAGAACCAACTTTGTCTTTTGGGACAATTCTGAGAAAATGTTCTAATAATGAAAGCAGTTCTTCTAATAATAAAATAGTATCTCAGGATCTTGATTATAAAGAAGCAAAAATTAATAAAGAAAAACTGCAGTCCTTTATAACCACAGAAACTGATTATCTGTCATGTTTGCAGGAAAAGTATGATGAAGAAGATCTGGAACACCAAAGAGCTTTAGACGTAAAAGGAAGGGTATTGCCTGCAGTATATCACCCTTCAGTGTCACATTTAGAAATGGAATGTAGTGGTATTCACTTTCAATCCCAGGAAAGCATTTTATATGACCTTGATAATACCAGCATTTTAACTCATGGCTTTAAGGATCTGCCATCAAAATCAGTTGTGGTTTTTGGTGAAAAAGAATCATATAAAATGTCAGAGAAAGTAAAATATAAAAACTGTGAAGCTGGTTTTGATTTAACCAAAAATATTCCCATGGGAAAGAATCAAGAAATAGGTGTTTTAAATGAAAATTCTAAAACTGAGCTATTGTCACCTGAAAAGGACATAATAGTTTCTTCACCTTCTATGAATCAAACTACAAATCTCACATTAACCGAAAAAGAACAAGAAAAGACTACTTCATTTTTAAAAACAGCTATCAATTCAAACTCTGAAGAACTTTTCCAAGACAATGAGAATGAATTTGTCTTTGAGACAACTAAGGAATGGAATATTCCTCTTTCAGAAAATACTGAGGAACTTCAAGAGGCAGACGTCACTTGTATCAGGGAACTTGTTCCCAAGAATTCTTCCATGGTGGCAGATGCAGGCATTAATGACGAACAAGCAACCAAAGTGTCAACTACCGAAGATTTTGATTCACTGAATATAATTCATGATCTTACAGAGAAGAGTAAAAAGAATGTAATGCAGCAAATGACTCTAGGTGAAGATTCAAAGTTCGACATGTCCTTGGCTATAGATAAGAAATCAAACCAAAGTAATGAGTATATGGACACCTGGGCAGAACTCTCAGATCCCATTTCAAATCACAGTTTTGGATGTGGCTTCAGAACAGCTTCTAATAGAGAGATAAAACTCTGTGAACACAACATTAAGAAAAGTAAAGTGCTCTTCAAAGATATTGAAGAACATTTTTCTACTAGCTTAGCTTACATTGAAATTGTGAATACCTCATCATTAGAAAAGCAAAAGAAACTAAACAAACTTCACACACTTGATTCCCAGTCAACTGATATTGTATCTGGATGTGTACAGAATAGTGCATTTGCTTCTGATAATGAAAATAGTCACACACTTCTTCCAACTTTGACTTTGAAGCAAGATTTTAATTCAAACCATAATTTAACAGCTAGTCAAAAGGCAGAAATTACAGAACTTTCTACTATATTGGAAGAATCAGGAAGTCAGTTTGAATTTACACAGTTTAGAAAACCAAGCCACAGGATACAGAATAGTCCACTTGAAACACCTGCACACCAGATGCCTGTCTTGCAGACCACTTCTGAGGAATGGAAAGGCACTGATCCTCCTCTCACAAGGAATCCCCCAGCTCTCAGTCAGGTGGTGAGCAGCAGGGGGTTTGAGGGTAAGCAAAAGTATGCTTGCTCGTTGCAAACCAACTGTAAGGCTTCTGGGTATTTAACAGATAAAAATGAAGTGGAGTTTAGAGGCTTTTATTCTGCTCGGGGCACAAAACTGAATGTTTCCAGTGAAGCACTGAAGAGAGCTGTGAGACTGTTCAGTGACATTGAGAATATTAGTGAGGAAACGTCTGCAGAAGTAGATCCAGGAAGTTTCTCTTCAAGCAAGTGGAATGATTCTGGCGTTTCAGTGTTTCAGATAGAAAAGTATAACAGTGATAAAAATTATAATGAAAAAATAAATAAATGCCAACTAATACAACTAAATAACACTGAGATGGCTGCGGGCATCTTTGATGAAAAAAACAGTGAAGATCAGAAGAAAAATACAGAAAACAAAGATAACAAATGTATTGGTGCCAGTAGAAATACTTGTAACTTAGGAGAATCTGATGACAATGATTCAAGTAAAAATGATACAGTTTGTGTTTATAAAGATGAAAATGGCTTTCCATGTGTTGATCACAACATACATCTAAAATCATCTGACCAGTTTATGAAGAGGGGAAATACTCAAGTCAAAGAAGGTGTTTCAGATTTAATTTGTTTGGACGTTGGGAAGGCTGAAGAAACATGTATTCATACGTCAAATAAAGAACAGTTAACTGCTAGTAAGATGGGGCAACACATAAAGGATTTTGACATTTTTGATATATCCTTTCAGACTGCAAGTGGGAAAAATATCAGCATCTCCAAAGATTCATTAAATAAAGCTGTAAATTTCTTTGATCAGAAATGTGCAGAAGAATTGAATAACTTTTCAGATGCCTTGAATTCTGAATTACCTTCTGGGATAAACATCAACAAAATAGGTATTTCAAGATATAGGGAAACAGATGAGGTTAAAGACAAAACATTGAAAGAATGTGACTCAGTTGGTATTGAAGATCAATTACTGACTTTAGAACCAGGACCAGAATGTGAAATCGAAAAGATCAAAGAACCTACCATGTTGGGTTTTCATACAGCTAGTGGGAAAAAGGTAAACATTGTGAAGGAATATCTGGACAAAGTGAAAAATATTTTTGATGACAAAAAGCAAGGTAAAAATAGTGAAACCACTAATTATAGCCATCGAAGGGCAAAGATACCAAAGGACAGAAAAGAATATAAAGAAGGGCATGAATTAGCATGTGAGACCATTGAAATAACAACTGTCCCAAAGGATGAAGAAATGCAGAATTCTCTAAAGGAGAAAAAACTTGTTTCTGATGAGTTTGCCACGCTGCCCAGGCTCTTAAGTGATAATTTATATAGACAAACTGAAAATTTCAAAATATCAAATAGCATTGCTCTGAAAATTGGAAATGTCGGAAAAGAAACTGCAAAAAGTTCTATAACTTGTTACACAAATCAGTCTGCTTGTTCACCAATTGAAAATTCGGCTGTAGCATTTTACACAGGACATGGTAGAAAACTTGTTGTAAATCAGACTTCCCGACTTGAAGGAGAATTGGATGATCAATCAGAAAAAATAAATGCTGCCAAGATTATATGTTTAAAAGACTATCCTGAGGATTATGTAGAAAATCCTTCATGTGGAGATCACTCAAACAGTATTATAACTGAAAATAACAAAAATAATCGCTCTGAAAAACAAGATTCAGCTCATTTAAGTATCAGTGGAATGTCTAATAGCTATTCAGATCACTCTGATTTTTGTCATTCCAGTGGGGTATATAATAAATCAGAATCTCTCTCAAAAAATAAAATGGATAATTCTAGTAGTGAGCCAATAGTGAAGAATGTCAAAGACAGAGAAAACACTAGTTTTTCTGCAGCAATAGCCACCGTAAGAAAAGCAGACACATACCCACAAACTATAAATGAAGATACTTGTGTTCAGAAATTTGTGACTAATTCTTCACCATACAAAAATAAAAACATAGCCATGGAAGTGGCCATATCTGATTCAAATAGTTTTGAGATAGGACCTCCTGCATTTAGTACAGCAAGTGGTCAAATGGACTTTGTTTCACATGGAATGAAAGTGAGGAAGAGGTTTGCAGACAACAGCACTAAGGTCATTTGGATGAACACTGAGAGTAAATCAGGCACTGGCCACACAAAAATTTTGTCAGGTTGTCGTGAGGTGGTGGGTGATTCCGAGGATTTCACTTTTCCTAAGTCTCTGGGTAGTGAAGAGCATAGCATGCATTCATGTAAGGTTTTTGCTGACATTCAGAGTGAACAGATTCTACAACATAGTCAAAGTATGTCTGGATCAGAGACAGTTCCTGAAATGTTACCTTGTCAGATTAATTTGAAAGCTTCTGATACATGTAAATTTAATGCAGTCTCATCTAATGGGATTTTTAGCACGGCAAGTGGGAAATGTGTACAAGTGTCAGATGCTGCCTTGCAGAAGACCAGCCGGGTCTTTTCTAAGCTAGATGAGAGTGCCAAGCGCTTCTTTTCCAAGGTATCCTTTGAACCTAATGAACATTCAGTCAGGGTCTCCAGAGAAGAAAATACTATGATACATACCCCCCAAAATTTACCATCATCTGCTTTCTCTGGATTTAGTACAGCAAGTGGAAAACAGGTCCCAGTTTCAGAAAGTGCCTTAAACAAAGTTAAGGGGATGTTAGAGGACTTTAATTCACTCAGAACTGAATGTGGCCTTTGGCATTCACCTACATCTGGACAAGGTGTGTCAAAACTACTTCCTCTCTCCTGTATAGATAAGAGAACCCCAGAACACCCTGCAAACTGCAAAATGGAAAAAGCCTGCAATGAAGAACTTAAATTATCAAATAACTCTAACACTGAAAGTGGTTCTTCAAAAAATGCTCACTCTCTTGAAACATCTCCGTGTCTCTCTCAGTTTAAGCAGGACAAACAACCGTTGGTATTAGGAGGCAACACATCACTTGTTGCGAACAGTCATCTTTTGGGAAAAGAACAAGCTTTACTGAAAAATATAAAAATGGAAATTGGGAAACCTGAAACTATTCCTAATCTTCCCATGACAACAAATACAGAAATATGTTCTACTTACTCCAAAGATCCAGAAAACTGTTTTGAAACAGAAGCAGTGGACTTTGCCAAAGCTTTTTTGAAAGATGGGGATCTGACAGATTCTGAACTGCCAAGTCATCCCAAACACTTTCTTACCTGCCGAAATGAGGAAACGGCTTTGTTAAATTCAAGAATTGGAAAAAGAAGAAGAGATGCACTCGCCTTGATTGGTAAGTGTCTTATTTTTTCCTTTTGGTTTGCCAATCACTTTTAAAATTAAAATTCCTTAATAATCTTGGTGTGCTAACTTATAGCAGCTAGGATATTATACACTAAGCATGTTTTTCCAGACTTTTATGTGTAATTTGACTTCACTCTTGATATCTCTGAGCCTGTGTACCAAGAAATCGTGTTTTGAGGTTCTCAATATATTTTTAGAGGTTTTATTATAGTCGAGAAATTACTTTTTAAAATTTATATTTCTCTAGAAAAGCTGAAACTCTTCATGTTATAACATAATACTGTTGTAACCCAGGAGATCGACCACACTCAGATTCAATTTTTTCAGTTTTTGGGGATGCTTTATTACCTGCACAGGGACTGCAGCCAACCTACACAGAGGAGAACTGCAGCCCGGAGCTCAGGGGGAGGGTTGCTTATATAGGGCAGGGGTCATTCAAGAGTTTAGCAGAGCAAGCAAGCTGCGGGTACAGAAGCGGAGGCAGTTAGCGATAAGCAGGAGGGAACGGAGGTGGGAGGGAGCTGAGGCGAAAGGGAACTGGGTGAACTGGGTCAGCATACATCTATCCTGCTATTCATTCCATTATCCAAGTTTTAAAAACTAACAAATTTGAGACGGATATCAGCAGTCAGTCTGCAATACACACATGTTTAACAGTTACAGTTTTATGGGGTAAAGGGAGCTTCAGTTTCTCCCTATCAGTTTCTTTACAGAGCATACAGGACACTCTGGCCTTGGGGCCGTTTCTGTCCTCCCTTTTCATGAAGGATGTTGCTTTTCAAATTCCCAGTGAAGGTCAAACTCTGGTTAATTTTTATGGGGCTAAAGCCGTCTATAACATTCCCCATTGTTCATCTTGCTGTCCCTGAGGTTGTTAATTAGGGCAACTCAAAGACAAGTTGTTTTTCTTTATTGGATTCTAAGGACAGTGAGCTACAACAGTACCATTGCATAATACCACTTATTAACTATTTTCATATATATATAAATATAGATAGCAGAGGTCAGACTCTGGCTGTTATTAACTTAAAAGATTGGTTTGTAGACCCATCCCCCTGGGTCTTTCATAGCACCCCATGCCAGAGCAAATTGGCCTCGAACCATTGCCTAGCCTCCGCTTGTTAGGCTGCAGGATTGAAGCAAGTTGCACAATGGGAAAAGAGAAAAAGATTGGTTTCAAGTTATTGCTTTTTTTCATCTAGAAAGTGTTCTAAAATCAGTTAGACAGTATTCTGGTCTTAGTGCCAATCAGAATATATATCTAACAACTTTGTTTAACTACTAGTATAGTTAGATGTGATTTTCTTTTGTTAATATCTCTGACTAGGAATAATATTAAATAATTTAATCTTTTGATCATTTTAAGTGGTTGATCTTCCATAACTAGCTCCTTTTAAAAAAAACTATAGACTCAGAATAGTTTTCACAAGTATTCTTGTCCGGTCCCTGTATAATACAGAGAACAACACTGAAGCCAGGCAGCCAGGCAGTTCATTCTTCCCTTGGTGCCTTTGACCCTAAGTTATTCTTGTGGATGTAGATTTGCTTAATCGAGTGTTATCCAGGCCTCCTTCCATACCAAGTTTATGTTTAGGCAGAGTGGTAAGTTTGTAATCCTTACCTTGAACTATTGCTCTTGACTAGTGCAGAATGCTGAATTGCTGGTGCTTAAAGCTATTCATAATTCTTTTATGGGAAATAATGGCTTTATTTATAGGGACCCATTTTGTTCATATGTATACTGGAGTGGGTTGGCTTTCTGCTTGCTTAGGGGAAAAAACAACTTTTTCCCCATTTTTTAAAAGAAATCCTCACCTGAGGATATTTTTTCATTTACTTTCAGACAGAGTGGGAGGGAGTGAGAGAGGGAGAAAGAAACATAGATATGAGGGAGACACATCAACTGGTTGCCTCCTGCATGACCCTGACCAGGGCCAGGGACCAAACTGCAACCATGGTACGTGTCCCTTGACCGGAATCAAAACTGAGACTCTTTGGTCTGCAGGCTGATGCTCTAACCACTGAACCAAACTGGCCAAGGCGGAAAAAAAAACTTTTTTTTTTGGTACGTGCCCCTAATCGGAACTGAACCCAGGACTCTCTGGTCCAGCAGGCCGATGCTCTAACTGTGGAACCAAACCGATCAGGGCGAAAAAAACAACTTTTGATAAATGTTCCCAACAGCATCACTATTTAATTTTCCTCACTTCTGTTATATATTTATATGTAAATTTATACAGCTTAATCTGCTTCTGGTTACTTGACTAGTACAGATTCCTGTTAAACAATTAAATCACATTATAATCTAATACTTGGTAAAGCCTTGTATGGATATTTTTATGTATTAAATACTATAAATTTATTCTTTAATAAAGCACAAAAAAGCAAAGCACCTGTTTTATATTATCAGAATGACATGGAAATGCATATCTCGAGTTGTGGTTTAATTTTACTTTCAGCCTTTGTAGAATTTTTAAGTACTTCTAATATTTTAATGTAATTTTGGTAATTTAAAAACTCTTTTCAACTTCTGACTGACTCTGATTCAATGACCTGTATAATAAATTTCTCTTGAGTTTATTGCAGAAAAAAAGTTTATTTAAAGAAATGTTGTCCTTGTTTCCAGTAAACCTAGAATTACTTTCAGTGCTAGTTTATTAAAAAGTAGCTTATAGCCCTGGCCAGTTTGGCTCAGCGGTTAGAGCGTCCGCCTGCGGTCCGGAGAGACCCGGGTTCGGTTCCCGCTAAGGGCATGTACCTCGGTTGCAGTTTGTCCCTGGCCCTGGTTGGTTGTGCGGGTGGCAGCCACTCGATGTGTCTCTTTCACATCGATGTTTCCCTCTCTCTCTCTTCCTCTCTCTCCTTCCCACTCTGTCTGTACAAAGGATGGAAAAATGTCCTCGGGTGAAGAAAAAAAACAAAAACAAAACAAAACAAACAAAAAAAAGTAGCTTATATGTGGTATTTGGTAATGTCTGTTTATCCCTAGACTCATTAAAATAGTGGTATGTTAAATGGTTAAAAGTAATAGAAATTAACCTGATATCGAAAAAGAATATTCTCCTTCAAAGTAGAATGGTTGCTATTTAAATTATAATTATGTATGTTTTGCTGGATATATTGTACATGTCAGTACTTTAGTTTTAAAAAACTGACTGTAGGCTTTTTTATTATTTGCTTTTAAAAACCTATATTGAAATTTTTTTTAGGAGAGCCCCCAATCAAAAGAAACTTGTTGAACGAATTTGACGGGATAACAGAAAATCAAGAAAAATCTTTAAAGGCTTCAAAAAGCACTCCAGATGGTAAAATTTGCTTTTTGTCCATATTTTCTCCCCGTATAGATATATTCATAATATTCTTGTAGTTATTTTTTTCAGCTCTTTTGATTATATAGATAATTGGACAAGACCTTACAGTTTGGTTTGATAACCTTGTATCTTGCCTTATGTGAGCTTTTTCTTCATAATACCTAGTATGATGCAATTGGTATTCTGTAATTGGGAAATGTGCAATGATGATACAATAATGATTTTTTAAATTTTTTTAAAAAGCTATAAAAATTTAGTAAGAACTTAGTCTAGCCCTGGCCGGTTTGGCTCAGCGGTTAGAGCGTCGGCCTGTGGTCCAGAGAGACCCGGGTTCGGTTCCCGCTAAGGGCACGTACCTCGGTTGCAGTTTGTCCCCAGCCCTGGTTGGGTCGTGTGGGTGGCAATCACTCGATGTGTCCCTTTCACGTCGATGTTTCTGTCTCTCTCCCTCCCACTCTATCTGAACAAAATATCGAAAAATGTCCTCGGGTGAGGATAAAAAAAAAAAAAGAACTTAGTCTAAAAATGTAAAGCTTAGGTTCTGGAATTCGGTCAAGTTTTTTGGCCTTCACCATTCCACCAAAATCACTCTTTCCTAAGTCACATGGTGATTTCTCTGTTGGCAAATCTAGCAGGCATTTGTATACTCATTTGACTCCATCTTTCAGCCATAGTTGATCACTTCTGAGACCACCACACTTTCTTGGTTCTCTTCTGACATGGCCACTCCTTTGCAGTCGTTTTTGTTGGTTCTTCCCTATTCTTTCCTTACTCTGTCCTTAGATCTCTTCTCTGCCTAAACTTACTACCAAAATTATATCTAGAGTCTTTAGCCTGTCCTGAAACTCCAGACTTATTTATTCATTTGCCAGTTTGTTACTTTTCTACTGGTATTGTTAATATGCATCTCAGTTAATATGACCAGTTCTGAATCCCTGATTTCATCCCTGCCCCAGATCTGCTCTTGGTTGTTTTTCTCTTCTCACTGCCATTCTGCTAGCTGATCACATCAGTGCCTTGACATCATCTTTCACCCTTGTTTCTACATACTTCACAGCCAACCCATTAACTAGTCCTACAGGTTCAACCTTCAAAATATAACAAGAATCTGATCATTTCTTCTCACCTCTATCCCTACAACCTTTTTTTATTTTTAATCCTCACCTGAGGATATTTTCTCATTAATTTTTAGAGAGTGAAAGGGAACATCCATGTGAGAGACACATTGATTGGTTGCACAGTCCCCACTGGGGTTTGGGGATCAAACCTGCAACCCAAGTATGTGCCCTTGACCAGGAATTGAACCCGAAAACCTTTGGTCCCCAGGCTAACTGTCCAAACTGGTTGGAGTGTCCCTACAACCTTTATACAAGCCACTGTCATAGCTTCTAACTCACGTCTTTGTTTTTGCCCTTTCCCTTCCTCCAAGCTATTTGCAGCACAATAGCCAGAAACACTTTTATAACATAGAGGTCAGATTTTGTCACTTGACTGCTTAAAACTCTTTGTGGTTTCCTATCTCATTTAGACTGAAATTCAAAGTTCTTACCATGAAATGCTTGAAAATAAGTAAAACATGTAATTATTGTTCACTATATATTTTGGTTCCTGATTTGGAAAGGAAGAACTGAGATGAGAGAGAAATGTATTAAACTGTGGAGGCTTAGTTCTGAAACACATTGGATAAGTCCCACAAGAGGCAGGAACACTGGAATATTCTAACTCATGTCTCCTTTAATGATAGAGACTATTTTCAGTGTCCAGAAAACTATATTATTTCTGTTGTTCTTTTCTTTCTCCTAACTTAATGGTTCCCAAACTTTAGCCTACACAAGAATTCTGAATAGATTTGAAAACGAAAACCATGATTACTATTCTTTATGAGAAGTATAAATAATTTCTAGAATAATTTTTACCATACTGAATTATTATTTGATAAATTGTCTTTAGAACCTGTATAAGATTTGACTTCTTTCTACTCTCTAGGTATTAAAAGAATAGTTAGATAGTATGCATACAGGAAAATCTCTTTCTAAAACCATTGGTTTTGACATAGTTTTAGGAGAAGTAAATGGAAGAACATGTGTGTAATTCTAACAGTGATGCTATTGCATAAAATATTATCATAACTCTTTTTGGGATTATCTTAAGCCTGTATGTATTCAGTATTTATTTGATCACAAATTTTTTTTAATGATTTGTTTTCAGCGTGATCATCATTCACAATTCGCCAGTGAATGATTCTATTCCTTCTAATTTTATATTACGAACACTTTTACACATACAAAAGTTGAGAGTATATGCATATAGCCACCACCTGTATTCAACAGTATTGTTATTTTGCTACAATTGTTTGATCTAATTACATATAATATGTGGATATAGTAATAGATCTATGGGGATAATATACATATATATGTTTTTGCTAAAACATTTGAGTGTTAGTTTTAGACATGACATTTCATAATGATATAACCATAGAGCCATTATCACCAAAGAAAGTTGCCTAATATATCTGATAAAATCTAATTTACAGTCATCTTCCTACTGTTTTTATATTTATTTTATTTTTTATGACATCACTTTTAAATGACCAAGCCAGTTGTTTTGTAGATTGTTCCACATTCTGGATTTGTTTTTTGCCTGGTAGTATCATTTAACTTTTTGTTCTATTCCCTATTTGGATCAATGACTTAATTAGAATTAGGTTATGCATTTTTGGCAAGAATGCCTCATAGAAGTTCTGTGTACGTGTTTGCATGGGGCACACTGTGTCAGATGATTTGATCACTTGGTTAAGATGCTAACCACTAGATAACTTCATTAAAAAAAGGATATATTTTTCCATTTGTAATTAGTAAGTAATGTATGGAATGATCCTTTGGTACTGTGAGAATATCCAGTTTACCAAACAGTCTTTCACTCAAAATTGTTACATCCATTGATAATATTTACTTGAATCAGTTATTTAATTAGATTTTACTTATAATGCATGTATAGAGTTTAAAAGTAAAATATACATAATATACATTTTCACAAAAAGAAAACTTTCTTTTTTATTTTAAATTATAACATTTCAATTAGCAATAATCGCGCCTCGGATAAACCTCATTGTCTAAGTAAGATACTGCCACTGCACAAAGCTCATAACAAATTTAAAAGTGGAACCTTCTTTAAAGTGTTTCCCAAGGGTTAATTTTTTAATGTGCCCTTATTAAACTTTGAGTACTTTTGTGCTTTTTATCATAACAAGATTTCCTAGGTTGTCCTTGTAATTCCCTGCCCTACTCCTAGAATCACCATTTCTCCAATGATTCTTTCAGTGGTTAATAGTTTTTAAAAAACAAGATTGGGGTTCTAGCTATTCTCGTTGTTGCTGCTTTTTTTTTTTTTTCCTATCTTTATTGTTGAATGTATTACAGATGTCCCTCATTTTCCCCCCATTGACCCCCTCCTCCCCACTCCTGCACCCCTCCTGCCTTTTCCCACACTGTTGTCTGTGTCCATTGGTTATGCATATAAGTTCTTTGGTTTATTTCTTCCCACCCCTCAACCCCCTTCTCTTTGAGGTTTGTCAGTCTAACAACCAATTTGTTCTTCTTAATCTCTTCATCTTTTTCACCCATTCCCCCAACCCCCCTCCCATCTGGCAACCACAAAATGTTCTCTGTATCTATAAGAATATTTCTGTTCTTCCTGTTCATTTTGTTTGTAGATTCCATTGTCGATAGATATGTATTCATTGCCATTTTGTTTGTTCATATATATATATATATATATATATATATATATTTTTTTTTTATCCTCACCCGAGGACATTTTCCCATTTTTTTGTTCAGGTAGAGTGGGAGGGAGAGAGAGGAACAGAGAGAGAGAGAGAGAAACATCGATGTGAAAGGAACACATCGAGTGGCTGCCACCCGCACGACCAACCAGGGGCGGGGACAAACTGCAACCAAGGTATGCCCCCTTAGCGGGAACTGAACCCGGGTCTCTCAGGACTGCAGGTCGACGCTCTAACCGCTGAGCCAAACCGGCCAGGGCCATATATTTTATCTTTTTCTTCAAAAAGACCCTTCAACATTTCATATAATAACGGTTTTGTGGTGATGAACTCCTTTAACTTTTTCTTGTCTGGGAAACTCTCTATATGGCCATCGATTCTAAATGACAGCTTTTGCAGGATAGAGTAATCTTGGTTGTAGGTTCTTGCTTTTCATCACTCTGAATATTTCTTGCCACTCCCTTCTGGCCTGCAAAGTTTCTTTTGCGAAATCAGCTGACAGTCTTATAGGAACTCCCTTGTACGTAACTAACTGTTTTTTCTCTTGCTGCTTTTAAGATTCTTTCTTTGTCTTGAACCTTTTGTGTTTTGATGATGATGTGTCTTGGTGTGGGCCTCTTGGGGTTTATCTTGTTTGGGACTCTCTGTGCTTCCTGGACTTGTATGTCTGTGTCCTTCACCAAGTTAGGAAAGTTTTCTGCCATTATTTTTCAAATAGGTTTTCGATGTCTTGTTCTCTCTCTTCCCCTTCTGGCACCCCCAAGATGTGAATGTTGGCACGCTTGAAGTTGTCCCCGAGGCTCCTTACACTAGCCTCATTTTGGGGGGTTCTTTTTTCTTTTTGCTGTACTGTTTTGCTTCCTTATATTCCAAATCGATGGTTTGCTTCTTGGCTTTACCTACTCTACTATTGAATCTGTGTAAATTATTCTTTATTTCAGTTAGTGCCTCCTTCATTTCTTACTGCTCCTTTTTTATGCTCTTGAGGCCCTCACTAAGTTTGCTGAGGTTCTTACTAAGTTCATTGAGCATCCTTATAAGCAGTATTTTGAACTCAGCATCTGTTAGGTTGCTTATCTCCATTTCGCTTAGTTCTTTTCCTAGAGATTTTTTCTGTTCTTTCATTTGGGACCTGTTTCTTTGTCTCCTCATTTTAGCTGCCTCCCTGTGTATGTTTCTATGTATTACTTAACGAGAGGTATGGGGCTAGCTGAGACCAGATGCTGCTTGTTTGAAAGAATTTAGGAAAACCTGAAGCAGGATCCAAGACAAGCCAATCTTTTGTTAAAGCAACTGGCAACAACTTGGGTGGGCTTGAAAGTTGGGTGGGGCAGGGCCTCAGGGAGTCACCAGGGCGGGGCTACCAATGTGAGCCAGGTTGCTGGAGTCCCAGATATGGCAGCTGTCTGCTGCCCCAGGGAAGGGCTCACCAAAGGAACAAAGACCTCTGACAGCCCATTTGTCTCGGAGAAAGCACCCTCTCCAGCCCTCGCTCCAATGCCAAACAGCCCAGTTCTTCCCTGTATGTCTCTGGCGCCCCTCGACCTGCCTCTCCTCTATGCTTAGAGGAAGTGAGTCTGATAAGTCCATGCGCAGGGCCCTTTAAGAGGAGCTGCCTGGGGCTCCAGCCAGTTTAGCCTCCCTGAGCCTCAGTTCCTGCTGGTTTTTCCAGTCATAAGTTATGGGGACTTCTCTTCCTGGTACTGGAACCCTGAGTGGGGCAGCTGGTATGGGACAGCGTTCCCTCAGTCCTCAGAGAGGACCTTCCCAGTTGAGGTGTCCTCCTGATTTTTATCCACCACACCTGGGTGTGGGACAATGGCTGGTGTTTTTTATGCCGCAGTTCTTGGTTCCTAATAAAAATACTATAGTTACTTATTCTGCAGTGGTGGTTCTCAAACTTTTTGGTCTGAAGACCTTTTTATACTCTTTAAAAATTATTGGCCCTGGCCAGTTTGGCTCAGCGGTTCGAGCATCGGCCTGCGGTCCAGAGAGACCCGGGTTCGGTTTCCGCTAAGGTCACATACCTCAGTTGCAGTTTGTCCCAGGCCCTGGTTGGTTGTGCGGGTGGCAGCCACTCAATGTGTCTTTTTCACGTTGATGTTTCTCTCTTCCTTTCTCTCTCTCCCACTCTATCTGAACAAAAAATGGAAAAAGTGTCCTCGGGTGAGGATTAAATAAATAAATTAATTAAAATAAAATTATGAGGATCTCAACACCTGTGTATGTGGATTACATTTATTTGTATTTACCATATTAGAAATTAAAACTGAAAATTTTAAATATTTGTAACATTGTGCACTGGTCATTTTGAAAATATTACTTTACTTAGTTATGTAGTTCTTCCAAATATTGGCATATTTTTAATAGAATATTAAACAATTACTTTTTGTCACCACTGATCTAATGTGAAAAGTTTTAAGTATTTGGAAGCTGTCAGGCTAATAGAGCCAGATGAAAGCTTTCCAAATTCTAATTTTTGTTTAAAAACTTATATTTTACCACTGGCAAATGCTGCCACTTGTTTTCCTTGTAGTGACAGACTCATTTCATTCATTTCAGAAAATGTGTGCTGACTATCCAAATTTAAATAACTAGTATTGTGGTTATTATTATTATTTTTTTGCATTTCCTTGGGACAGTCATCGCACTCAGGTCTACAACAGGATGCATCAGCAGTGCAAATGTCAAAACAGTGAAAAAGCCCTGACCGATTTGGCTCAGCAGTTAGAGTGTTGGCCTGTGGTCTGAAGAGACCCGGGTTTGGTTCCCACTAGGGGCATGTACCTCGGTTGCAGTTTGTCCCCGGCCCTGGTTGGTCGTGCAGGTGGCAGCCACTCGATGTGTCCCTCTCACGTTGAAATTTCTCTCTCTCCCTCCCACTCTATCTGAACAAAATATCGCAAAATGTCCTCGGGTGAGGATAAAAAAAAACAAAAAAAAAACAGTGAAAAAGACATATTTGACTTTATTGTTGTTATTATTAAGATAGCTTTGACAGCTTGTGGCCCCTCCCCCAGGGATCACCCTTTGAGATCTGCTGTCTTACAGTATTATACATAATAGTTTCAATTTTACTACACACACAGACACACACACTCATTAGCCTTCTTTCTTACAAGGTAGTATATTATACACTGTTTTATGCCTTCTTTGTCTGTTGGTGTTGTTTACTTTAGAACATATCTGGACATCACTCCTAAGGAGTATGTAGAGATCTTCTTCATTCTTTTCATGATTGCATAGTACTTGATCACATGGCTCTAACAATGTATTCTAGTTTTTTCGACCAGTCCTTTTCCACTGGGCTAGTTGGAGGTATAAGAGTACAAGTTACATTCTGAGAACAGACAGTATCTTAAGTTTAGCTTCTAAACCTCTACAAGACTAAATCTTAAATTTGATATTTGCATTGGCAATAAGCTAACACCTTTGAGTTTTGATTAACATTGGCTAAGTTTATACTGATTTATTTTATATTTGTACTATGAGTTATTTGGAATATAGTCATCAATGTGTGAATCAAATATTTCTTTTGATAGTTATTTACTGAGCATCTATTATATGCATTGAAAATTATAATCTATAATTATATAATTATAATTTTAATTAAAATCTATAATTATATCAAGTTTTGTGTAAATATTTACAATAATGTATAATAAATAGACATAGAAAATAAAATCTCCCATTAGGCTTTCATTAATAAATATAAAATGCATTTTCATTAAAACATAATGTAAAATATTATTTTCTAGGCACAATGAAAGATAGAAGATTGTTTATGCATCACATTTCTTTAGAGCCTATTATCTGCGGGCCCTTTTGGTAAGACATGTTAAAATTTTTTTTATTCTACTAATACATTGTAAGAAAAATATGGGTATCTTTACATAAATATTTCTAAAATAATGGCATGAACATGCATATAGGAGTTAATCTTTTCCTCGGTATGTACTTGGGTCGTACTTTATAGTGCTATCCATATACTAGCTCATTTTTTCGTCATAACTTTATAAAGTAGTCAGACAGATTTTATTCCTATTTTATGGATGAAGTACTGAATGAATGAGGTTAAGGAAATTACTCAAAACTCATTATCAAAAAGATGTAATATATGGAAACTATTTTATCTCTCCTCTTAAAACCCTACTAAAAAGACTAAAATTTTTTTTAATGTATATATCCATAAGGACAATGATAAGAAGAAACAAAATTTTGGAAGCTAAAATGTATGAAAGATGTGGAAAGCTGTAGAATGTCAAAATCTGACATTAGAACCAGCAGAGAAGCTACTCACTCAATTTGGTTTCCCCTAAAGAACATGTGAGAGAGACTCAGGTTGGCAGCAATATGAACTTCTGAAAGTGAAGTAGACAGTAGGAAAATTCATTGAAAATCTATTTAAGAAACATCTATATCCCTTTTCTCATTGCAGATAGGCAGTTATTCCTCTTCCAGAAGGTTATCCTCAGGAAAAGAGGAATTGGAGGGATTCTGAATTGGGGGGAAGGTACTGAACATAGAGATTAAGTAAAAATATATATATTGAGTAGTGAGACTCCCTAGCCTCCTTCCCACACTTGGCTTCTACCGATAGCCAGGCTTCCCGGTAGAAGACTGGAAGATTTTTTTCTGGGGAATATGACCAGCTCAGTAGAAAAAAACTAAAAATACTGATAGGTGCAGGTACTCAAGTGAAATAGCATAGCTAGGTCACCAGGCAGGGAAGTCAACAATGGACAAGCCCACCAGCACACAGCTTCCAGTTGGCTTCTCACTGCCTCTCAGAAATAAGCACTGCTAATCAAGGAACACCTGTCATTGCAAGAAAGCCTCTGTAAAAGATAGTGTCCAAAGTATAAAAATAAGCAAAGAAAAGGAACAGAGGGTATAGACTATGCAAGGAGAAGAAAGCTTTAAAAAAACTTATTAATATTCTCAGGAAAGAGAACATATTGTATCCTTCAAATACATACAAAAGAGCTTTTAGAAATTAAAAATAATGATAGAACAAACAAATTAACTCAGCAGATCAAAGTTATGAACATTCCCAGAATGTAGAACAAAAAGAGAAAAAAATGATTGAAAAGATCATCAGAAAAGTCTGAAAACTTGGAGTTTGAGAAAGAGGAACAGGAAAAATGAAGAGAAATTTCAAAGAAAAACTTTATTTTATCAGTACTGAGGATGAGAGTTTTCTTGATTAAAAGAGTTGTCAGTACAATGATGATAACATAGTTCAGCAGACTAACACAGATGAGCAATACTGTCTTTCATGCCTATCTGAAAGGTATCTGGAAAAACTTTACAAATAAAGAAATAAGTAAGTAATCAATAAATAAAAAGGGTTCTCAGAGTGAGCACATGAATAAAATGACCTACAATAACAGGCATCATTGTGAAATTTTAGAACACTACGGGCAAAGAAGAATCTTCAGTTTTCCAGAGGGCAAAAAAATCAGATTTCAAATAAAATTTCAGGAATTATATAGTATAAGTTCTCTCATCATTAATAATGAAAGCTAGAAGAGTATAGATTCCATAATGTATAATACAGAGCAATACCTTTAAAATTCCAAGAGGAGCCTTGGCCGGCTTGGCTCAGGGGTTAGAGCATCGGCCTGCAGCCCAGAGAGTTTCGGATTTAGTTCTTACTAAGGGCATGTACCTTGGTTGTAGTTTGTCCCTGGCCCCAGTTGGGGTCGTGTGGATGGCAGCCATTTGATGTCTCTCCCCCCCCCCCCCCCCTCATTCCTCTCCCTCTCTCCCCCTCCCCCACCCTCTCTCCCTCTTACTCTTTCTGAAGATAAATGCAAAAATGTCCTCAGGTGAGGATAAAAGATAAAATAAATAAAATTCCAAGAGGAAATAATTTCCACTCCAGAATCTTATCGCTGACCAAAATATCAAATAAGTGTGAGCATAGATGTTTTTTCGGATGCCAATTACCAGAATTTATCTCCATAACATTCATCACCATGTGACGTTTTTTGTGTTTTCCTCCACTAGAATGTAAACTCCATGGTGGTTTTGTTGGTCACTCTGTCCCCCAGCCAGAACAGTGCCTGGCACAGAGTAGAACCTCATTAAATACTTGATGGATAGCGGAATGGGTAACTAAATTCATTCTAGGGTAACTTCAAGTTCCAGGGGTTTAGGGTTGGGTAAAAGGAAGTATGCAGTTTTCACAGGATATCAAATATTAGGAAGAACATGTATGCTAGGGAAGGTGATACATTTAGTTTTGGCCATGGTGAGTTTGAGATGAGTATGGAGCATCAGAGTAGGGCTATTTGTGCCGTATGCAGTTCAGAGTGTAGGAATAACACCTAGGGGAAAGTCAGGCATGAGATACAGGTTAATATTTTTATTAGGTAGGTGATAATTTTTTTTTTTATACTCACCTGAGGACTTTTTTTTTTTTTTTTTTTGATATTTTGTTCAGATAGAGTGGGAGGGAGAGAGAGAGAGAGGGGGAGAGAGAGAGAAACATCGACGTGAAAGGGACACATCGAGTGGTTCCACCCACACGACCCAACCAGGGCTGGGGACAAACTGCAACCGAGGAACATGCCCTTAGCGGGAACCGAACCCAGGTCTCTCCAGACCACAGACCAACGCTCTAACCACTGAGCCAAACTGGCCAGGGCGGTAGGTGATAATTTAAGCAATGGTTAGACTCACCTTGCCCAGGAAAGTGTCTAGGAAAGAAATCTAATTTTGGAGACAGGAATATTTTGAAGAGTCAGAAAGAAGAAAAAACGGCAAAAAAAAAAAGAGAGGAACGAACACAGGGACAATGGTGGTGTAAATAGATATTAGTGGTAAGAATTTTGAGAAGGAGAAAGTCAACTGTCAGAGCTGCCAAAGCTCTAGTAGAATGAGTGTACACACAAAGCAATATATTTTTGGCATTTGGGAGGTTATTAGTAACTTTATTGATAATTTCTGTAGAGTAGTGGGAGAAATGAGAGTTCAATAAATGGAAATTGAGGAAGTGAAAATAGCTAGTTTAGATGACCTATTTGGGAAGGTTGGCTACTAGGGGTAGGTAACAGTGAGTATGAGCTTGAAGGGGAGACGAGGCTGGGGAGAAAGTGTTTTGAGAGTGAGCAACGTTTTCCAGCTAAATGAAAGGAGTACTGAAAAAACGGTATCAACAAGTGGTAGAAAGAGAAAGGAGGTGGAATAATGACTAGAAGAATGGGGCTCCTGAAAAGACAGAGTTATTAGTCGGGGTCAAGAGTACAGGCGAAAGCACTAACCAAGAGAAGATAGATAGCTCCTAACTCTGGGTAAAGAGGTGAGTAAGTTGCCAGGCCGGTGTGGCTCAGTGGTTGAGCATCGACCCATGCACCAAGAGGTCACCAGTTCAATTCCCGGTCAGGGCACATGCCCAGGTTGTGGGCATGCAGGAGGCGGCCAGTCAGTGGTCTCTCTCATCGATGTTTCTGTATTTCTCTCTCTCTCTACCTACCTCTCTCTCAATAAAGAAAAAAAGAAGAGGAGGTGAGTAAGGAGATAGACCTGGAGGAGATAGACACAAGGATCTGTGTTTGACTCTATTATGGGAAGTAGGTGGTAAAGTCAAAGGCTGGTGTCCATGTGTGAGAAGTTGTGATGGACTTGAAAAGTGGTATCATTTTGGGTGGCAACCATGATAAAATGCAAAACAGTTACTAGAATAGTATCACCATGTAGCAGTGAGGGTCTCCCCCAAAATGCATAGTCCAAAACTTTTATATATGAGTATATGTATACATTTACTGGTAACTGATCAAACAAATGTTTTCTTCCCATTGTAGCACAACTAAGGAAAGGCAAGAAATACAGACTCCAAATTTTACTGAACCTGGTCAAGAATTTCTGTCCAGATCTCATTTTTATGAACAGCTGACTTTGGAAAAATCTTCAAGCAATTTATCAGTTTCAGGGCAGCCATTGTATAAGGTTCCTACCACAAGAAATAAAAAAAGGAGGCACTCGATTACTACAGGCAAACCAGTGAAAGTTTTTGTCCCACCTTTTAAAACTAAATCACATTTTCACAGAGATGATCAGTGTTGTGGCAGCAGTACTGATTTGGAAGAAAACAAACAAAACCAAAAAAACGTAGGTGAACATGGCTCTGGTGGTAGTAAAAATAATATTAACGACAGTGAAATTCGTGAGCCTACCAAAGATAACTCCAATCAAGTAACATCTATAATCTCCACAAAGTGTGAAAAAGAACCTTTAGGTATTGTGTGAGAATTTGTGTTGCCAGTTTTGCCTTTCAGTTAGATATTTCTCAGATTAAATAATGCCTTGAGGATTTTCCCCCACTTTTGATGATTAATAATTTCAAAACCTTCTTTACTTTTTTTAAATTTAATCCTCACCTGAGGATATTTTTCTGTTTATCTTCAGATAGAGTGTGAGGGAGACAGAGGGAAAGAGAGAAACATCGAAGTGAGAGGGACACATCAACTGCTTGCCTCCTGCACAACCTCGACCAGGGCCGAGTTTGAACCGAAACCGAGGTGCATGCCCTTGACCAGAATCAAACCCGCAACTCATTGGGATGCTCTATCACTGAGCCAAACTGGCCAGTTTGGCTGAGCGGTTAGAGCATCGACCTGCGGTCCAGAGAGACCTGGGTTCGGTTCCCGATAAGGACATGTACTTCGGTTGCAGTTTGTCCCCGGCCCTGGATGGTCATGTGGGTGGTGGCCACTTGATGTGTCCCTTTCACGTCGATGTTTCTATCTCTCTCTCCTTCTCTCTCCCTCCCACTCTATCTGAACAAAAAATGGGAAAATGTCCTTGGGTGAGGATAAAAAATAAAATGTTTTTTAGATTTTTCTAAGTCCAAAGATTATGTTTAAGTTATTTTAATATTTTCTTTCAAAGGTAACTACTTGTGGACTTTCTGTTTAAAAAAAGTTATTAGACACACAATCTAGGACTGCTATTACTGGAATGTATTTTTTATCAGGCAACTAATTTTCTTCCAAATCTGAAAAAATAATATATCTATTTCTATTCTTTAGAAGTTGAAACATTTTTTATGCTTTAAGGTTTAAAATTAGAGCTAATTGATATGTATAATTTTATAAAGCAAGGATTGTGCTCTTTAAAATTTATACTTATTTTTTGCTAATTATTCCTTATAGATTTAATTTCAAATCTTCAGAATGCCAGAGATATACAGGATATGCGTATTAAAAAGAAACACAGGCAACACATTTTTCCACAGCCAGGAAGTCTGTATCTTGCAAAAACATCCACTGTGCCTAGAATCTCTCTGAAAGAGGCAGTAGAAGGCCAGATTCCCTCTGCATGTTCCCATGAACAGGTACACTTTTGTCAACAATGTTAATAGCTTTTATAGCAACGTGTAATTTTATTTTATTAACTAGTATGTCCAAACTGTTAAACTATTCTTTTTAAAGAAAGAACCAATTGACGCAGGAATGGATGGATGAAGGAAATCATCATATTCCTAATCCACCTACAGGGCCAGCCTTGTCCTCTGCTGCCTTGTCCTACAATGTGATCTGTGCTTCAGACTTAGTATTTCTCTTGCTCTTTCAAAAAGTATTTTATTACTGTAAGTGCTCTCGGCTAGGTGTTAGAGGAAAGTAGTCTCATTGAATTTAAATTGTGAATAACTCATAGTCTTTAACTCACTAAGAGCTATTCACAGTTATAAAAGAGGGTTTTTATTTAAGCCAGTACTATCTAGTTAGTATGTTAGGCACTTGAGAGGTGAAAATATTGGTAATATTAGTAGGTAACATTTATTGAGTATTTTCTATGTGCTAGGCCCACTTCTAAGCTCTGTGCCTGCTGGCTATATCTCAGTTAACCTTCACAAGCACCTAAAAGCAAGGCATTATTTTGTCCATCATTTTACAGGTGAAAGGACTGAAGCACAGAGAGGGTTAAGTAACTGCCCCAACGTCACTTAACTGGCAAGTAGCAAGAGCCACAATTCTAAAGTAGGGAGTCTGACTCCAGAGTTAAGTCTGAACAAAGGAAAAGATAACTCCGGGGTCAGGCCTCTGGGGTGAAAGTGAGCACCATGAAAGTAGAACAGGCCTGTGTAGAAACTTGACTTCCTGAGGTCATACTCCCTGAAATACTTACATGTTTTACTGTTCTCTCCCTTCTAAATTTTTTAACTTAAGAGATTTTATAAAACATTAAGTTACTTTATTATCCCCTCAATGACTTCTGATGGCAGACACAGTAGGAGGCATATACACAGGGGAATGAAAAAGGTGCAACAGACTCTTGAATGTGGAGGTCATTTATAGTATATCAGCATATAGTGAATATTTTAATATTTAAATGAAAATTTTAAGTAAATTCAATTTTGATTTGTTAATTGTTTTTATTCTGTGAAACATGCTCTTTTGTTTGATTTGTTTTTCATTCATTATCATATTTTTCTATTATTTCTTTTGTGCAGCTGTACATGTATGGCATCTCTAAACAGTGCATAAAAGTTAACAGCAAAAATGCAGAGTCTTTTCGGTTTCACACTCAGGATTATTTTGGTAAGGAAGGTTCATGGGCTGGAAAGGGAACACAGTTGGCTGACGGTGGATGGCTGGTACCCTCCAATGATGGGAAGGCTGGAAAAGAAGAATTTTATAGGTATTCTATGCAAAAAGAGATTTGTGTTAACTTGTATATATTCTGTCATCTCTCTTCCTTACAAGTTCCTCTTTTTTCTCTTTCCTTATCTCTCTTGAACTGAAAAAGTTGGCTAGGAATCAAATTTTTATAAATTGAATCATTTTAAATGCATTATGGTTCAACTGACATTCTGTTGAAATTTTTTAAAAAGTGAATTAAGGTTTGTCTTAGGATTCAAAGAATTGGTTTTTCTTTAAATTTGGACTTTTTTTTTCAATGTGTTTACAAAATAAAGACTGATAGAAGAGTTAAATTTGAACTGGCCTTATCATAGACCCCACACATGTACACTTATGTCATACTCTGTTTCTTTTTTTTTTTTCCTCACCCGAGGACATTTTTCCATTTTTTGTTCAGGTAGAGTGGCGGGGGGGTGGGGAGGGGAGAGGAACAGAGAGAGAGAGAGAAACATCGATGTGAAAGGAACACATCGAGTGGCTGCCACCCGCACAACCGACCAGGGCCGGGGACAAACTGCAACCGAGGTACATGCCCTTAGCGGGAACTGAACCCGGGTCTCTCCGGACCGCAGGCCCACCCTCTAACCGCTGAACCAAACTGGCCAGGGCTGTCATACTCTGTTTCATTGTGTATTTCAATAAATATGAAATAGAAATACTAAACATTAAATATAAGTACTTAAATATCGGTAATGCCAAAAATTAGTAAATGACACTGCCTAAAACAACAATTTAGAAACTATATAACCTCCTGTGATTCTCATGTTTATATAAAATAGTTTAAAGTTTTTGCTATCAGGGATGGATGCATTACCACATGCCAATGGCAAGAGATGGAAAACCTTTCTGTAGTGCCCTTATATTATTTTTATTTCTTAATCATCACCTGAGGATATGTTTGTTGATTTTAGAGAGGGGAAGAGAGAGCGAGAGCGAATGAATGAGAATATCATTGGTGTGAGAGAGAACATTGATCGGTTGCCTTTAATATGTGCCCCAACTGGTGATTGAACCTGCAACCTAGGTATGTGACCTGACCAGGAATCAAATTCACAACCTTTCCTGTTTTTTTTTTTTTTAATTAATTAATTGATTATTGTTACAGATGTTTCTCCTTTTCCCCCCACTGATGTCCCCTCCTTCTCCCTCCCCGCCCTGTCCCCAGCTTTGTTGTCCATGTCCATTGTTCATGCATACATGCATATAAGTTCTGTGGTTTATCTCTCCCCCTCCACTCTCTCTTCTGGGGATTGTCAGTCTGTACCCCACTTCCATATCTCTGGGACTACCCTATTCCTCAGACTTTTATGTTCATTATATTCCACAAATAAGTGAGATCATGTGATACTTGTCTTTCTCTGCTTGACTTGTTTCGCTTAGGATGATACTCTCCAGGTCCCTCCATGTCATCTCAAAGGATAAGAGATCTTTCTTTCTTACAGCTGCATAGTACTCCATTGTGTACATGTACCACTGCTTTTTTATCCACTCATCTATTGATGGATACTTGGGCTGTTTCCAGATCTTAGCTATTGTAAATAGTGCTGCTATGAACATGGGAGTACATATGTTCTTTCTGATTGGTGTTTCAGGCTTCTTAGGATATATTCCTAGAAGTGGGATCACTGGGTCAAATGGCAGTTCAATTTTTAATTTTTTGAGGTAACACCATATTGTTTTCCATAGTGGCTGCACCAGTCTGCATTCCCACCAGCAGTGCACTAGAGTCCCCTTTTCTCCACACCCTCGCCAACACTTGTTGTTTGATGATTTGTTGATGGTGACCAATCTGACAGGTGTGAGGTAATACCTCATTGTTGTTTTAATTTGCATCTCTCTGATGATTAGTGATGTTGAGCATTTCTTCATATGTCTCTTGGCCATTTGTATGTCCTGTTTGGAGAGGTGTCTATTTAGTTTTTCCACCTATTTTTTATTGGGTTCTTTGTCTTCCTTTTGATGAGTTGTGTGAGCACTTTATATATATTGGAAATTAACCCCTTACCTGATGTATCATTGGCAATTAGCTCTCCCGTACAGTGGGTTGCCTTTCCATTTTGATGGTTGTTTCTTTTGCTGTGCAGAAGCTTTTTAGTTTGATGTAGTCCCATGTGTTCATTTTCTCCTTTGTTTCTGTTGCCTTAGGTGATATATATCAGTGAAAATTCTCCTGTGTATGATGTCTGAAATTTTGTTGCCTACATTTTCTTTTAGGATTTTTATGGATTCACGAGTCACATTTAAGTCTTTTATCTATTTTGAGTTTATTCTTGTATATGGTGTAAGTCGATGGTCTAGTTTCATTTTTTTTTGCATGTAGCTGTCCAATTTTCTCAACACCATTTATTAAAGGGGCTGTCTTTACTCCACTGTATGCTCTTGCCACCTTTGTCAAATATTAATTGAGCATATTGTCTTGGGTCCATTTCTGGGTTCTCTATTCTGTTCCATTGATCTATCTGCATTTACTTGTGCCAGTTCCAGGCTTTTTTGATTACAGTGGCTTTGTAGTATAACCTGAAATCTGGTAATTTGATCCCTCCAACTTTGTTCTTCTTTTTCACTATTGCTGTGGCTATTTGGGGTCTTTTTTGGTTTCATATGGACTTTTGAAGTATTTGTTCTAGTTCTGTGAAGTATGCCATTGTTATTTTGATGGGGATTACATTGAATCTATAGATTGCTTTGGGTAGTATGGACATTTTAATGATGTTAATTCTTCCAATCCATGACCAAGGTATGTTTTTCCACTTTTTTATATCTTCCTCTATTTCTTTTTTTCAATGACCTGTAGTTTTCTGCAAATAGGTCCTTTATTTCTTTGCTTAAGTTTATTCCTAGGTATCTTAATTTTTTTGCCATGATGGTAAACGGGATTGTTTTTTCAGTTTCTCTTTCTGTGAGTTCATCATTGGTGTATAAGAATGCCGTCGATTTCTTGACGTTAATTTTGTATCCTGCTACTTTGCCAAATTTATTTATTAAGTCTAGTAGATTTTTGATGAAGTCTTTAGGGTTTTCTATGTATAGTATCATGTCATCTGCGAATAATGACAGTTTCACTTCCTTCTTTCCTATTTGGATCCCTTTTATTTTTTCTTCATGTCTGATTGCTGTGGCTAAGACTTCCAGTACTATGTTAAATAAGAGTGGCCAAAGTGGGCACCCTTGTCTTGTTCCTGTTCTTAAGGGAAATGCTTTTAGTTTCTGCCCATTGAGTATGATGTTGGCTGTAGGTCTTTCATATATGGCCTTTATTATGTTGAGATATAATCCCTCTATTTCCAGATTGCTGAACGTTTTTATCAGAAATGGGTGCTGAATTTTGTCGAATATTTTTTCAGTGTCTATTGATATGATCATATGATTTTTATCTTTCATTTTATTTATGTGGTGTATCACATTTATTGATTTGCGAATATTGTACCAGCCTTGCATCCCTGGGATGAATCCACTTGGTCATGGTGCATAATTTTTTTGATGTATTGCTGGATTCGATTTGCTAGTATTTTGTTCAGGATTTTGGCCTCTGTGTTAATCAGGGATATTGGCCTGTAGTTTGCTTTCTTTCTAGTGTCTTTTTCTGGTTTTGGAATTAGAATTATGCTGGCCTCATAGAACATGTTTGGAAGTCTTCCTTCTTCTTGAATTTTTTGAAATAGTTTGTGGAGAATGGGTGTTAGTTCTTTTTTAAATGTTCGGTAAAACTCCCCCGTGAAGCCATCTGGGCCTAGGCTTTTGTTTACTGGGAGAATCTTGATTACCTCTTCAATTTCCTTAGTTGTTATTGGTCTGTTCAAGTTTTCTATCTCTTTTTGGTTCAGTTTTGGGAGACTACGTGTTTCTAGAAATCTGTCCATTTCGCTTAGATTGTCAAATTTGTTGCCATATAATTGTTCATAGTAGTTGTTAATGATCTTTTGTATTTCTGTGGTGTCCGTTGTTACTTCTCTTTTGTTTTTGATTTTGTGTATTTGAGTTCTCTCTCTTTGTTTCTTGGTGAGTCTAGCTAAGGGTCCATCAATCTTGTTTATCCTTTTGAAAAACCAGCTCTTTGTTTCATTGATCCTTTGAATTGTTTTTTTGGTCTCCATGTCATTTATTTCCACTCTGATCTTTATTATTTCCTTCCTTCTACTTGCTCTGGGGTTTTCTTTTTGTTTGCTTTCTAGTTCTTTAAGTTGTGAGGTTAGATAGTCTATTAGAACTTTTTCTTGTTTCTTGAGGTAGGCCTGTAGTGCTATGAACTTCCTTCTCAGAACTGCTTTCGCTGCATCCCATAGATTTTGTGTTGTTGTGTGTTCATTTTCATTGGTTTCCAGGAAGTTTTTAATTTCTTCCTTGATATACATGGCAACCCATTTATTGTTCAATAACATGATATTTAGCCTCCATGTTTTTAAATGCCTTTGCATGTTTTGGTTGCAATTGATTTCTAGTTTCATGCCATTGTGACCTGTGAAGATGCTTGATATGATTTCAGTCTTTTTAAACTTGTAGATACTTAGTTTGTGCCCTAACATGTCTGTCTTTGAGAATGTCCCATGTGCACTTGAGAAGAATGTGAATTCTGTAGTTTTGGGGTGTAATTCTCTGTAGATATCTATTAAATCCATTTGATCTAGCACTTCATTTAGCGTCTGTGTTTCCTTGTGAATTTTTTGTCTAGATGATCTATCCCGTGACGACAGCGGGATGTTGAAGTCTACTGCTGTGATTGTATTGCTGTTGATTTCTCCTTTGAAGTCCTCTAGAAGATTGTTTTTTGTTTTTGGTTTTTTTTTTTGGTACATACCCCTAGCGGGAACTAAACCCAGGACTCTCTGGTCCGCAGGCTGATGCTCCAGTCACTGAGCCAAACCGGCTAGGACCCGAAGATTTTTAATATATGTTGGTGCTCCTATATTGGGTGTATATATGTTTACCAAGCTTATATCTTTCTGTTGGATAGATCCTTTCAATATTATATAGTGGCCTTCTTGTCTCTAGTTATGGTCTTCATTTCGAAATCTACTTTATCAGATTTGAGTATTGCTACCCCAGCTTTTTTTTGCTTACCGTTTGCTTGGAAGAGTTTTTTTTTAATCCCTTCCCTTTCAGCCTATGTGAGTCTTTTGTTGTGAGGTTGGTCTCTTGTAAACAGCATATAGATGAGTCATGCTTTCTTTTCCAGACAGCTACTCCATGTCTTTTTATCGGAGCATTCTAACCATTCACATTTAAGGTGATAATTAATATGTACTTATTTATTGCCATTTTTGTTTAGTGTGTTTATATTTTTCTTCCTATTCTACTAATTACAGCAGTTTTTTTAGCATATCTTGCAGTGTTGGTTTGGTGGTAATATATTCCCTTAGCCCTTTTTTGTCTTGGAAGCTCTTTATTTGACCTTCTATTTTGAATGATATCCTTGCTGAATAGAGTAGTCTTGGATTCATATCCTTGTTTTTCATGACCTTATGGGGTTTCTTTTATAGGTAACCTGTTGCTTATCTCTTGCTGCCTTTAGGATTCTTTGTCTTTAATTTTTGGCATTTTAATTACTATTTGTCTCGGTGTGGGCCTCTTTGGGTTCTGCTTAGTTGGGGCTCTCTGTGCTTCTTGAAATTGAATACCTTCTTTTTTCACCAAGTTAGGAAAGTTTTCTATCACTATTTCTGTCACCATTGCCCATTTTCTTCCCTTCAGGACTACTATGATGTGAATATTATTACGTTTCCAGTTGTCCCACAGTTCTCTTAAGCTATCTTCCTGTCTTTTAATTGTTTTGTTATCTTTTGGTTTTCTGATTGGTTGATATTTTTTCAACCCTCTCTTCTAATTCACTTATCCGGTTCTCAGCTTCCTCTACTCTGCATTTTAGACTTTCCAATGTGTTCTTTATTTCTGCTATGTCATTCTTCATTTCTACTTGGTTGGTTTTCAGTGTTTCTATATCTTTATTCATGGTGCTGATGTCCTTACTCATGCTTTTGAGCTTTCTCAAGATCATAGCTCTTAACTCTACCTCTGATAATTTGCTTAACTGCATTTCATTGATCTCATCTTCAATAGAGTTCTCTTGTTCTTTCATTTGGGATTTGTTTCTTTGTTTCACCATTTTGGCTATCTCAGTGGGTTTTAGAGCCTACCAAATTTTCCCTGTGGGTGTTGGTATTCTGCTATTTGTGGCTCCTACTGGGTTTGGATGAGCCTGGGTGGGCCCATGTTAAACACCACTGTCAAGTCTTACTTTCCTGGGTAGATTTGCAAGCCCAGGAATGGTTCAGTTATCCTCTAGCTTATTCCTGGAGGCTAGTAGTCTCAGTTACTCAGTACCTTGGAATGTAGCCCTGGTGTTCTGCATAAGAGGATTTCCAGAGGGTGGGATACATGCTGGTTGTTAATGAGCCTCAATTTTCATTTCTTTGCCTCACCTGGGAAACGCTGAATCTCGGAGTGGGGGGGAGGGGCTGCTGCTTTTCCCCACAGCTCTGGGAAGGAGCACAGTGGCCGCCGTCCTTTGCGGCCGCAACTCAGCAAAAACTCTGAGCGCCCTCCAAATCTCAGGTGTCCCCACAGAGTTCCATCCCAGCCTGCCCTCCCTCTGCCATAGCCCCCAGGTGAGTGGCTGTGGCTACTGTAGCACTCTGTCCCAGCTCTCTACGCTGTGGAATGGGCTTGATCTTTATTCCCCAAGAGCGCTGCTCACAGTTAAGACTACTGCTGTCCGTGGGCTCCTAGCCCGCCACCCTCTCGTGCTTCCGCAGGTCCTACCAGTGTCTCTGGTTATATGGTCCTGTGCTGCAGCTTTTCTGTTGCTTTTTTCTGAGGATTTGTCTTTATTTTAGTTGTAATTCCCGTTTGGTCCTCGGAGATCATCTGTGTAGCTTCCATTCACTCTGCCTCCATTTTCACAACCCTCAAACTCACAACCTTTCAATACATGGGATGGTGCTCTAATTGACTGAGCCACATTTACCAGGGCCCATTTTTTAAAAATATATCTGTACATCTTTTCAAAATGTGTAGTTTTGGGGAAGTAATAAAACATCTTTTCATAAAATTTTGTTACGTATTTTGTTATGTAATTGGAATGTTTTGTTATTGTGTTATTTTAAAATAGGAATGTTACGTCTTGTACTTGTCTCACGTAAATAATCTGCTATCAATTCTGGTTGGAAAGTTGTATTATTTTGTTTTATGAAGTAGACTGTATTGTGTAGAAGTTAAGAGTGATGACCCTGTCACCCTGACCAGGTGGCCCAGTTGGTCGGAGCATTTTCCTGTACACCGAAAGGTTGCAAGTTTGATTACAGTCAGGGCACATACCTGGGTTATGTGTTCAATCCCTAGTCAGGGTGCTGATGGGAGGCAACTGATCGATGCTTCTCTCTCTCTCCCCCCCTTCTTTTCTCTCTATGATCAATAAAAATATATTCTTGGATGAGCATTTAAAAAAAAAAAGAGTGATAACTCTGTAATCAGGTGGACATGGTTCATAATGTTTGAGTGTTGAAGCTCAAGTTGTTTTTTGGATCATTAAACAAATATTTATTGAGTACCTACTTTGTGCCAGATACTATTCTATGACTCTTAGGAGTATCAAAATGATAATATCTCTGCCCTAAAAGCCATACATTTCAGTAGAGCGGTCTGGAGTGGGGAAAGAAATTTTAAAAAAAGAAAAGTAAATTGTATAGTATGCTAGAAGGTGATAAATACTATGATGATAAAGCTGGAAAGGGAGGTTTAAGCGAGTTGGGTGGGGAGAGGAGCAGTTTTTAAAGTAGAGTAAATGTCAGAAGGCTTCACTGAGTCTGTGACATTAGATCAATGACCTAAAGGAGGTCTAGGGAGTATGGGGACAGTATCCTAGGCTCTAAGGAGGGAGCATGCTTATTTGGGGAATAGGAGGAAGGTTAGTGTAGCTAGAATAGACTAGGTAGCAGGAGTTGTGGTAGATGAGGCAGAGAGGTAAGACTTTATAGACCTTTGTAAAATGTTGGCTTTCACTCTGAGTACTCCTTTTCACTTAGAATATTTCATATTAGAGTGTTTAAAGGTTACATGATCTGGCTTATTTTTGAAAGAATGACAGGCTATTTGTTAGGATCAGACTGTAGGGAGGGGCAAGGATGGAAGCAGAGAGACCACTTAGGAAGCTAGTGCCGTAATCCAGGTGAAAAATAGTTGCTTGGGCCAAGGAAGTGCAGTCGACTTAGTGAAAAGCAGTTGAATGAGGAGGGTGAGAGACAGGGAAGAGTGAGGATGGCACTGAAGATTTTGGCAGCAGTTGGAAGGATACCGTAAGCAGAGAATTGAGAAGACCAAGGATGAAAGGGAAAAGGAAAGTTCTATTTGGGACATTAGAAGTTCAGGTTATTAGACATGCAGGTGGAGATGTTGAGGAGGCAGTTGGAATTCATAGGTAAAGTGTAGGCCAAAGAAATCAACTTGAGAGTTGTCAGGATATAGATGAAATTTAAAGCCATGAAAAGGAGACTGAGAAAGAGCGACCGCAAGTTAGAAATAAATGCCAGAGTGTGGTGTGTTGCAAGCCAGGTGAAGGTGGAGCTTTAGGGAACAGAGAATGACCAGCTATGTCAGTGCTGCTAATAGGAGAGTAAGGTGGGGACTGAGAATTGACATTTGGGTTTAGCAATGTGGAGGTTGTCACTTATCTTAACATAATTTAATAGTTTGGCGGGGCAAAAGCCTGATCAGTATGCAATGAAAGGGCAGTGGAAGAAGAGGAGCTGGAAAGAGAAAGTAGTCCTTTCAGGCGATGCCAAAAAGAGAAGCAGAGAAAGGGGCATTATGTGAAGAAGGAAATAGGATCAGAGGGTGTTGGTTTTGTTGTGTTTGTTTTGAGGTAGAAAAACTGTTTTTTTGTTTTGGTTTTGGAAATCGTCCAGTAGAGGGGAATAAAATTGATGATGCAGAGAGAGGACATTTTCTAGGTAGTATCCTTGACTAGGCAAGAAAGGTTGGAAGTTCATGTACAAATGACAGGAGAAGGTAAAGTGAAAGTTACCGATGCTAGTGGGTTGGTATGTGTGAAGGTGGAAGCTTATGGAAGTTCTCTTGTGATCATTTCTGCTTCCTTAGTACTAAGCGTGAGAATGGGAAAAGGAAGAGGAGTTTGTGATTTGAGCAGAGACGGAAACACCAGGACTAGAGAAGGATGTTTTTATGTTATTTCTAAAAACAGTTTCTTTAATAAGAAAAATAATCTCAAATATAATTATTTTAAATTAAGGATTTCATTTTCCAGTTGAAGTTCTACATATGCTGCACAGGTATCTTTTCCTATTGTATTGACTAATACATTAAGTGAATTTTTTATTAGTATATTTTGATGCATGTCAAATCATTTTCTAAAATTATGTTGCTTGCCTTGGCCGGTTTGGCTCAGCGGTTAGAGCGTCAGCCTGCGGTCCAGAGAGACCCAGGTTCGGTTCCCGCTAAGGGTGTGTATCTCGGTTGCAGTTTTTCCCCGGCCCTGGTTGGGTCATGTGGGTGGCGACAACTCGATGTGTTCATTTCACGTTGATGTTTCTCTCTCTCTCTCTTCCACTCTATCTGAACAAAATATCGAAAAATGTCCTCACGTGAGGATAAAAAAATTAAAATTATGTTGCTTATTGATTATACATTAACTGATCAAAATATATTGAATGATCTTCTATAGTATAGATTTTTGCAAAGAACAGTCATGATTATTTAATATTTATCTTATGTGTTTTTTACTCTATTATTCTACCCTTCTTTGTTCAGGGCTCTGTGTGACACCCCAGGTGTAGATCCAAAGCTTATTTCTAGAAGTTGGGTCTATAATCACTATAGATGGATTATATGGAAATTGGCTGCTATGGAATTTGCTTTTCCTAAGGAATTTGCTAATAGATGCCTAAACCCAGAAAGGGTGCTTCTTCAACTAAAATACAGGCAAGTTTAAAGCATTACGTATTGTAACCACATCTTGTGATATGGTTCAGACCTCTGTGCAGTCTGTGATTTCATGTCATAGAGGAACACAAGCCAACTGGCAGTAGCAGGTGCTGTCCCACACTGCCGTTCAGTTGTGTGGAGTAATTCTCATCCCCAGGTCCCACTTAAGGGAAATTGCACATTTATGCACCTCTTCCTTCCCTCTTCCTCCACCCCCTTCTTAACTTCTTGGAATATCAATTACCAATTTGATCCACTTTTCAAGGATTGCTAGTAAAGCATCTTTGCATTTGGGGGATTATAATATTTAATTCATATGCTAATGGCATAAAACTTAATATATTGCTAGCTACCTAACTGCAAATTCTTTTCTGTCTCAGTATTTCTTCAATAACGGTATTACATTTTTATTTTCAATTATTTGGTGACTATTTTTACATTGAAATTGTAGACTCACAATTCCTAAAATAATGCATTTTCCTTTTATTTTTAGATATGACATGGAAATTGATAGAAGTCAGAGATCTGCTATAAAAAAGATAATGGAAAGGGATGACACAGCTGCCAAAACACTTGTTCTCTGTGTTTCTGAAATACTTTCGCCAAGCACAAGTCTACCTGAAACTTCTAGCAGTAAAACCAGTAGTGTGGATACCAGCACGGCAGCCATTGTGGAACTGACAGATGGGTGGTACGCTGTGAAGGCCCAGCTGGACCCTCCGCTCTCAGCTCTGGTACAGAAAGGTAGACTGGCTGTTGGGCAGAAGATCATCACTCACGGAGCAGAACTGGTGGGCTCTCCTGATGCCTGTGCACCACTTGAAGCCCCAGAATCTCTTGTGTTAAAGGTAAGTTAAATTAATGCACTTCCTTAATAAAAATCAGTCACTGATTCAGTTAAATTCTAATACGGTTTTACATTAGAATTTTAAATATACTTATGCCTGTTAAGGATATTCTGTTTCTTGAAATGTACTGATACTCTCAGTATAAGTGGCATATTTCTCAGACACACTTCTCATAACATACCCCCGCCATTAAGTAGTGCGCGTCTATATAAGGCTTATAATCCCCCCCCCCCCCCCCCCGCGAAAAGCATTCACTGATGCAACCCTGTCTGCCCCCTATTCATGCCCCACAAAGGCAACCACTGCAGATCCCTTTGGCTGTTTCTTTGCTCATATGCTGTGTCTTCTTCTCTCCTTTAGTTTAGACATATTCTCTCCATATTCCTGCTTTGTTCTGAAGTGGTTATTTCTACATATGCTGCACAGGTATCTTCCTGGACAGGATTTTCACCTCTTTCTGTGTCAGTAGCCCTATCTTCTGGATTTCATATCTTTCTAGATTTATTCTTCAGTTTTAAGGATGTACAACCTCCAGAGGCTTCTTGAGAAAGGGAGCATGCACCATTTTTTAATCATTGTAAGGTTGGCCGAATATAGAATTAGAGGTTGAAATAATTTCTTCAGAATTTTGAAGATGGTTCTTCTGTTATCTTGCTTCTAGAGTAGCTTCTGCTACGTTCAGTTTTATTATGGGATTTGTTTCCAAGAGATTTTCAACATCATTTGTCTCCAGTATTCTGAAATTTTATAGTAATGTACTTTGATATCGGCCTTACTCTTTAATCATCGTTCTGGGTACACAGTGGCAATTAATCTATAAACATATATCCTTCATTGAGTTCTGAGACATCTTCTTGAAGTAGTTCTTGGATAATTTATTCCCTTCTACTCCATTTTTTTTTTTTTTAATCCTGATATTTAGGCTCTAGACCTCTTAGATTGGTCCTCTGATTTTCTTATTTTTTTCTCCTATCTTTCATATTGTTGTCTAGTTCTTAATTTTACCTTTTAATCCCTAAAGTGAATTTGTGCTTATTGGTATAATATTTAATTTTCAAGAGACCTTTATAATTCCCTAAATGTTTTTTTATGACATCTGGTTCTTGTCTCATAGATTCAGTGTCTTCTCTCTGAATGTATTGATTAATATCTTGATTTATTTTAGTTTTTTCTGCTCCCTGCATTTTTTCTACTATGAGAACCTCTTTTCTTGTTTGAGTCTCAGGTTGGATATTTTCCTCAACTGGTGGTTTTTAGCTGTTCTTTCCTCTTCAAGAGAGGGGCACTAATGAGATGATTAGAAGCTCTCTGTGAGGTGGGGCCTGTCAGCTTGTAGGGTAGTAAGGCAGGGATTAGATTGGTTTTTGTTAGGGGACCCTCAAATATCAGTAACTGTTCTGAGAGCTGAACAGAGTAATAAAATTAATGGGGATTCCTTTACAGCATAAGGATTTTCATTGCATTTTTGTTTTCAACATAGCATCTCACTTGCTGCTGCCTGGTCCAGAATCCAGGATGTGTGTGTTCAGCCTTTCCAAAAAGGAGGCTCTCCTGAGTTCTTTTTGAACCTATAGAAGGGAAGAACAGTCCTCTCATTGCTTGGTATTTGAGGTCTTAATTACCTTTATACAAAATCTCAACCATTCCTCCCATTTTCAGCTCCTGACTGCAGAGGTACCTGTTGCCTTCAATTTCTTTCAGTTAGTTTGTTTCATATTCGTAACAAGTTTGCTAGCTGAGTAACCTTGAGTAGGTTATATAATTTCCCTTATTCTTCAGTCTTGTCACCTGTAAAGGGGGAATAAGTCTTAGGGTTGTCATGAAGATTAAATGTTACGTATGTAAAGCACTAACACTCTGTGTTGGCACCACAGTAAGTGCCCTGTGAATGTTTGGTATTCTTGTTAACTGTAATTATTCTTGAGCTGCTTTGTTATTTACCGCTTGTCCAACAAATTTTTAACTTTCAAAATTTTGGTGATTATCTCATCTACTGTCCTCCTCAGTTCTCTTTGTCCTTGTAGATTTTTTTTCCCTAGGAAGCCTAGGTAAATAAGTATATTTTAATCCATCATGTTTTATTAATTTTCTAATACAGGCATACTTCAGAGGTGTTGTGGGTTCAATTCTAGACCACCTCAATAAAGCAAATATCTCAATAAAACAAGTCACATGAATATTTTGGTTTCCCAGTGCATATAAAAGCACAAGAAAAGATATTCAACCCCTTTCATCTCATGGCACACACAAACTAATTATTAAAATTCTGTGACACACCAAAAAATATATTACATTATTTGCCATTCTGACCAACAAAAAGGTATCATTGACACCAGACAGTTATTGTTGTGTTGGCTGTTTTCATTTTTTTATTGGCCAACCTAAGGGAAAAGAGGCCAGTGCTCCTGACTAAATAGGTAGTGCATGTTTTAACATTCTTGCAGCACAGCAGTGTGCCTCTTGGCGCCATGGCACACAGTTGAAAATTGCTGCTATAGTCTGTTAAGTGTGCAGTAGCATTATGTTTAACAAACAATGTGCATATCTTTTTTTTTTAAATCCTCACCTGAGGATATTTTTTCATTTATTTTCAGACAGAGTGGGAGAGAGAAAGAGAGAGAGAGAAACAACGATGTGAAAGAGACACATCGATTTGTTGCCTCCCGCACAACTCCGACCAGGACTGAGGACCTAACCACAACCAAGATATGTGCCCTTGACCAGAATCGAACCTGCGACTCTTTGGTCCATGGGCCTATGCTCTAACTGCTGAGCCAAACCAGCCAGTGCCAATGCGTATACTTTAATTAAAATTACTTCATTGCTTAAAAATACTGACTGTCATCTGAGCCTTCAGCAAGTCTCTTTGCTGATGGAGGGTCTTGCCTTGACATTGATGGCTGCTGACTGATCAGGATGGTGTTTGACAAAGGTCGGGTGGCTGTGACAATTTCTTAAAATAGGACAACAATGAAGTTTGCCACATGGGATGACTCTTTCTTTCACAAACGATTTCTCAAAGATCACTAATCACAGATCACCATAACATGTATAATATAAATGAAAAAGTCTGAAATATTGTGAGAATTACCAAAATGTGACACAGACACAAAGTGAGCAAATGCTGTTGGAAAAATGGCCCTGATAGACTTGCTCGGTGCAGGGTTGCCACCAACCTTCAGTTTGTAAAATACACAGTGTCTGTGAAGTGTAATGAAGTTCAGTGCAATGAAACAAGGTGTTTCTGTAGTCATATTTACATAACTTTAAGACTTTTGAGCAGTATGAACAATTTTTTTTTAAAAACCGCTTTATTGAGACATAACTATGCAATTTACTTACTAAAAGTGACAATTCCTTGGTTTTAGTCTAGTAACAGAGTTGTGCCATCATCACCACAATCAGTTTTAGAGCATTTTCATCACCAGCCTACTCTTCTGTTGGCAGCACCTGCCCTCTTCAGCTTTCAAGCACCCACAGGTCTTCCTCAACCTAAAAGAAGAAAAAGCCTCCCTTAACTCTGCTGTGCACTCTCTGGCCATTGTGCAATAGGTTTCCCTCACTCCATGATTAAATCTCTTTCTTTTAAAAAATTTTCTTAAAACTTTGAAATTATAGTTGACTTTTTTTTCTTTTTTTTTTATCCTCACCCGAGGACATTTTTCCATTTTTTGCACAGATAGAGTGGGAGGGAGAGAGAGGAAAAGAGAGAGAGAGAGAAACATCGACGTGAAAGAGACACATCGAGTGGCTGCCACCCGCACGACCAACCAGGGCCGGGGACAAACTGCAACCGAGGTACATGCCCTTAGCGGGAACCGAACCCGGGTCTCTCCGGACCGCAGGCCGATGCTCTAACCGCTGAGCCAAACCGGCCAAGGCTATAGTTGACTTTTAATATTGTATTTGTGTCAGGTATACAGTCAGTCATACTCTTCACAAAGTGATGTTATTTCCAGTACCCACCTGGCACCATGCATAGTTATTACAACATTATTGACTGTATTCCTTATGCTGTACTTTACATGTCCATAACTATTTTCTAACTACAAAATTCCTTTACCTTTTTCACCCATCCACCTAACCCCCTCCCTGCTGGTGATCATCAATTTGTTCTTTGTATCTATAAGTCTGTTTCTTGAACAAAATTTTAAGATACTATATTTTAAAAGTATTTTTACTTTCGTACAATTTTTCTGCTTATTCATTTTCTTATTTACCTTCATGACACTTTTTAAAGTGGACATTTTGTCCTGGCTGGTTTGACTCAGCGATTAGAGCATCGGCCTAAGGTCCAGAGAGGCCCGGATTTAGTTCCCGCTAAGGGCATGTACCTCGGTTGCAGTTTGTCCCCGGCCCTGGTTGGGTTGTGCGGGTGGCAGCCACTCGATGTGTCCCTTTCACATCGATGTTTCTCTCTCTCTCTTCCTCTCTCTCCCTCCCGCTCTATCTGAATAAAAAATGGGAAAATGTCCTCGAGTGAGGATTAAAAAAAAATTTAAAGTGGACATTTTTAAAGCAGTCCTAAAAGAATGAAAATGTTATGAAATTTGAAATAAAATTGAATATATTAATTTATAAATCGATGTATTCCTTAATTTGTCCAGATTTCTGCTAACAGTACCCGGCCTGCTTGCTGGTATACCAAGCTTGGATTCTTTCCGGACCCTAGACCTTTTCCTCTCCCCTTGTCATCACTTTTCAGTGATGGAGGAAATGTTGGTTGTGTTGATGTGGTCATTCAAAGGACATACCCTATGCAGGTATGACATATTCTTGAAACTTACTCTTTTCTTTTCTGAGACAGTTAATTTGAATGATTACTCTTTGCCATATATTTCTATTTGATGTATTATTACAGTGGATGGAGAAGACGTCGTCTGGATTATACATATTTCGCAATGAAAGAGAAGAAGAAAAGGAAGCAGCAAAATATGCGGAAACCCAACAAAGGAAACTAGAGGCCTTATTCACTAAGATTCAAGTGGAATTTGAAGAGCATGAAGGTAAATGAGTTGTATATTAAAAGTTTATTTATGTGAAAACAAGTTTTTTTTTTAATTAGAAGTTTTGGAGGCTTCTAATTTAAATTTTGTAATGAGGTGAATTGTCTTTAAGTAATAAATTTCTTTTTTCTAATTCTGAATTGAATTTTTTTCTGTTGCTTCTCATTTTATATTATTACATAAATATACAGATAAGCATTGAATTTACCCAAAATTACTACACTTCTTTCAACACACTGGAGCTTTTAGATACTTGTAATTGTCTTGGGCAATAATACATGACATACTCACAGCACTATTCAGAAATCTTAAGTAATCTCCCTCTTGAGGTTCAATCCTAAAATATTTAAAGTATCTTTTTAAAATTTAAATTTAAATTCGAGAAAGAATAGCAGAGATGGAAAGAGCTATCAAATTATTTTTCCCTAGACAAGTCCTGTGTGATATGTCACTTACATGTGAAGTATAAAAAAGGCAAACTTGTATTAGGAAGAGAGTATAATGGTGGTTACCAGGAGAGGAGATGAAGGGATAATACTGATGGTATTTAAGGTACAGACTTGTAATAAGCAGTAAGTAAGCCAGAGATCTAGTGCACAGTATAGTGAATATAAAGAACAATATCGTACTACAGTTATGCAATATGATAAATATTTGTACAAAGGCAGTCATATGAGAGTGTATAAGTGTGTCCAAATAACATGTTGTACACTTTAAATTTAGTGTTACATGTCAAATGCATTCAATAAAAAATAAGAAAAAGACTCAAAAAATTATTTTCCCCTAAGCCATTGTCATTCTATTTCTTCAGTGTCCTTATCTTCATCATATAACTTTTGCATTTCTTGTTATTGTTGGGCTTTACATTATTATACTTGGAGCCAGAACTTATTTTCCCTGTGGCATCCATTTTAATAGTAAAAATCATAGTTTTTGTTTTGTTTTTTTGCTTATAGGACATGAAATTTACCTTTTTATTGCTGAAAATTTTATGTTCTACTTTTCTTCATGATTTTCTATATTATTTAACTTCATGTTCTGTATAAACCTGCAAAAAAAATTAGACTCAAATTTTGATTTGCTTAAACATATTACTAGCTTATGTTGTTTTCATGATTAAGTCAGTCATGAAATTGTAATTTACAAATTAATCAGCCCTGGCTGGTTTGGCTCAGCAGTTAGAGCATCAGCCCTCAGACCAAAGAGTCTTGGGGTCGATTCCCAGTCAAGGGCATGTACTTGGGTTGCATTTCGATCCCTGGCCCCAGTTGAGGTCATGCAAGAGGCAACCCATTGATGTTTTTCTCTCTCTGTCTCCCTCCCTCTCTTCCACTCTCTCTAAAAACCTATAGAAAAATGTCCTCGGGTGAGGATTAACCAAAAAACCCCAAAACAAATTGGTCAAGTAAAGTCTTTGACAATTTTTTAAACCATGAATACAATAGCTTCACATTTTCCTAGAAAAGTTTTAGCAGATAAATGGTTTTATATTTTTTTAATCTCACTTCTTTATGTGTTTAATCTCACTTCTTGGTTGTCTTGTTTTCAGTGTTGTTAACTTTGTGGTTTAGCTAATTAGTTATGCTTTTTTTTTTCCTAGAAAATATAACAAAACATTGTACACCGTCATGTGCACTAACCAGGCAGCAAGTCCATGCTCTGCAGGATGGTGCAGAGCTCTATGAAGCAGTAAGGACCGCGCCAGACCCCAGTTCCCTTGAGGTGAGAGAGGAAGAGGGCATTCAGTAAGCCTTGAGGTGAAAGGTGTGGGCACTCTCTGGCCATAATGGCAAAGCAGTGTGTTGAAATGCTGTTTCTCAAAGGGGACGTATATATTTTTGGGGTCTGCAGTGATAAGCCAAACAACAGTGGCACATTTTTTATTCTGTACAAAATAGAAGGTAGGAACATTAGATAATTTTATATATTAAATAAATGTAGCTTAAAATGCAGGCAAAACTTGTTTACTTTTCTCTGGTCCGTGGGCCAACGCTCTAACTGCTGAGCCAAACTGGCCAAGGGCTGTTTACTTTTAAGATAGAACAAGTGTCTTCAAAGCAGTATCTTAGTTTCCCTGTCCTCAGCTCTTTCTCAGGTCCTACCTGGAGTCTGTCTCATAATTCTCTACTTCAAGGGGACTGAAATGGACAAGTGCAAAAGAACTAAACTGTGTGAGACAGCATAGGCTTAAGAATCATGGCTCTGCTATTTATTAGCCAAGCAAATTGGACATAAAATAGCTATAAAAAGGGCATAAAATAAGTTGTTTTAGGGTCAAATGAGATAATATATGTGAAAATGTAGTTATAAAGTTTTTTTATAAATGTTAGTTGCTGTTGTTAGAACATCATTTTATATATTAAGGTAAGCTATCTCCTAAATGTTTAGACACCCGGGTATCTAATTAATACAAGGATTAGCTTGCTAGACAGGGAGGAGGTGAGAAATTTTAAGAAAACTATTGTTTGTTTATTGATTAATCTCATTTATTTGGTGACAGTAAATCTTGTATATAGCCTTAACTTTCTTAAATAACAAGTCTACAAAATAAACAATACTCCCCAAGGAGAGTAAGCAGTGCTATTCTGAATAGAATTCCCTCATATTCCCAAATGGTACAACTCGAATTCTCCTGGTGAAAAGTGAATCCGGTTTGAAAGCCTGTGTGTATACTTGCTACAGGCCTGTAAATTAAGGCTTTATTTTGCTTTCCTGAAACATTATTTGCCTCTGTTACTTATATTATTACATGTGTTGAAGCTTATGCCTTTTCTGAGTCATCAGGATGGTGGGGTTTTTTTGTATTTTGTTAATCTTTACCTGAGGATACTTTTCCATTGATTTTTTTTTTTTAGAGAGAGAGATTTGGGGTGGCGGGGGAGAGAAACATCGAGGTGAGAGAGACATATCAATGTGAGAGAGACACATTGATTGGTTGCCTCTTGCACGACCCCGACCAGGGCCAGGGATTGAACCTGCAACCCAAGTACGTGCCCTTGACCAGGAATCAAACCCAAGATTCTTTGGTCCATAGGCTGACGCTCTAACTGCTGAGCCAAATTGGCCATGGCATGAAGATAGTTTTAATTTCATCCACAGAATTTAATGAAATATTTATTAATCTGGTATCCTTTTATAGAATTTATTTATAAAAAGGATACCAGATTAATAAGCAGAATGAGAGTTGGAGAACTAAGTTCTAGACCTGATCCTTCCACTTTTTAGCTGGACAAGCTATCTCTTTGGCTTTCTTTCTACCTTCTATCAAGAGAAGGCCTGAGAGGGGCTGATCTCCAAGGTTCTGAGTTTATGTGATTCTGAGGCTTCACTCAGATAAAGTTACCACTAGAATTCTTGGAGGGAAAAATAACCATCGATTTCTAAAATACCCTGTCAAAAGGATTTGTTTTCAGTGACAATGCTAATGTTATGGAACTTTGGAAATCACGTATTTCTTTTTAATTCATGTTTAAACATTGTCTACATTTTTAGCCCTTTTCAGGGTACAGAGTTCAAATATCCCTTCTTCATGTAGATGAAGAGATTAAAATTTGTAAGGCAACAGCAGTCTAGTGTGTTATATGTCAAATTAAATTTCCTATTTTATTTTTTGTTTACTCATTCGTTCAAATGAGATTGAGTGCATTCAGGGTGGTATGGCTGTAGCTATTCATTCATTCGTTCATTGATTCTTGTTACAGTGGGTGAGATTCCCAAGAAGTATAGAAGTTTGATGAATTGATTGGGAGAAAAGTGTAGAAGCAGTGAGAAGTGCTTGCAGCATGTGTCTGTTTTGTTTTTTAATTGAGTGTTAGAGAGAGAGAGATCAGTTTGTTGTTCCCCTTATTTATGCATTCATTGGTTAATTCTTGTATGTGCCCTGACCAGAGGTCGATCCCACAACCTCGGCATATTGGGACGACACTCTAACCGAGCTACCAGCCAGAGCTAGCACGTGTCTGTTTAAATTGTATCTACTGTTCCAGAGAGTTCATGAAATTATATTACAGGGGCTAAGAATGAGGGCTCTTGAGCTAACCCTACCCATGTGCCTCTGCAGTTATTTATTCTCTCTGCACCTCAGGTCCATCATCTACAACATGGAAACAATAACAGTACCTACCTCATAGGGTTATTGTACTCCTTAAATGAATTAACACATCTATCACACATAGATCCATTTCTCAAAGAGAGTGAGCTTTCACATGTTAGCCATTTATAATGTCATCAATGTTGATGGATATGATTATTAGAGTATATTTATAAGTAGGGGTGGTTTTGGCCCTAGGGAAATTTGTCACAAAGATTAGTAAACAGCCCTGGCTGGTTTGGCTCAGTGGTTAGAGTGTCAGCCTATGGTCCAGAGAGACCCCGGGTTCGGTTCCCACTAAGGGCATGTACCTCGGTTGCAGTTTGTCCCCAGCCCTGGTTGGTTGTACAGGTGGCAGAGCCACTCGATGTGTCCCTTTCACGTAGATGTTTCTCTCTCTCTTCCTCTCTCTCCCTCCCACTCTATATCTGAATAAAAAATGGAAAAAAATGTCCTCAGGTGAGGATAAAAAAAAAAAAAGATTAGTAAACAGTTTAAGACATCAGAACATATTTGTTATGTGATAAGCTGTGTACACTAATCTCCAAGTTTATATTGTCACACCCTTAAAGTGAACTCGCTCAACTCTGTTGTATTTTACCCCCATTTAAAGGGATTCATTTATGCCCTGGATGGTTTGGCTTAGCGGTATAGCGTCGGCCCGCCGGCCAGTGAGTTTCAGGTTCAATTCCTACCAAGGGCACGCACCTTGGTTGGGTTCGTCTCCCGCCCTGGTCAGGGTCGTGCGGGAGGCAACCAGTCAATGTGTCCCTCTCATGTTGATGTTTCTCTCTCCCCCTCCCATTCTATCTGAAGATAAATAGAAAAATATTCTCAGGTGAAGATTAAAAAAGAATGAATAAATAAAAAATAAAGGGATTCATTTAAAATAGATGAGGTATTTTGTTTACTTTTTATTCCAACCTTATCTGCTTTCATATGTTAAATAATCACAGGGTTATTTTAGTGAAGAGCAGTTAAGAGCCTTGAATAATCACAGGCAGATGTTGAATGAGAAGAAGCAAGCACAGATCCAGTTGGAATTCCGGAAGGCTCTGCAGTCTGCTGAGAAAGAGGAGCAAGTGTTATCGAGGGACGTTACAACTGTATGGAAGTTGCGTATCATAAGCTATGAGAAAAAAGAAAAAGATTCAGGTCAGTATGTAAATTTTTTGTTTTTATCAGTTTTAAAGTATTATATTAATAAAATTATTTCAAGTGCTAGATAAAGTGTAAAATTAGTGCATATCAGAGGAGTAAAAATGGTCTGTTAGTGTCCACAAAATGATGATAGAATCCTCAGATCTTAGTTGTTATCAGTATTCTTTTTTTTAAGGTATAAAAAATTATTTTTAATTTAGTATAAATAAATGTTTAACAAAGTTACATATGCCCCAAAGCTTTTATACATTTCTCTACCTGACAGTGATCTCCAAGGGAGCCAATGAGGCTCCAGACGTGGCTTCCACTCACTTGGAAACCAATATAACCCCCCCCCCCATCACTCCCGAAAATCAGGAAAGGAAACTGCGGGAAAAAATGCCCAGCCAGCAGCTTTGCAATTCCTGGTGGAACTGGGTTCTGGGGCGGATCAGTAAAGGGTGGGAGTGCTCAGAGTGAGGAGCTGTGGTCCCCAAACTCATAGACTGAAACCACTGATGGTCTTCCAGCTCCTCTCCCTTCCATTCTCTGTTTTCTCCCTTCTTTTTTGTCATTCTCTGCTCTTTCCTGTCTCTCTCTCTTTTTGGCTGTTTTCTCCAGCCTCACACCTCTTTTGTTTTCATGTCCTTCAAAATGGCCCCCAAGAGACAGCTGTGATTTTCATTGTTTTGTAACTGCTGAAAGTTAGAAAATACCAAAATCAAAGAGATGCTGTTTAGCATGTGGAGGTGAACATTTTCATTTTTTTTATCCTCACCCAAGGACACTTTTTCCTTTTTTTGTTCAGATAGAGTGGGAGGGAGAGAGAGACGGAGAGAGAGAGAGAGAGAGAGAGAAACATTGAAGTGAAAGGGACACATCGAGTGGCTGCCTCCTGCACGACCAACCAGGGCTGGGGACAAACTGCAACCTAGGTACGCGCCCTTAGCGGGAACCGAACCCAGGTCTCTCTGGACCGCAGGCTGACGCTGTAACTACTGAGCAAAATTGGCCAGGACATGGTGAACATTTTCATCGGCTTTATGGTCCTTTAGAACTTGTGGCCAAATTTTTTTACCAAGTAGAAGAGAAGGAGCCTGTGTCCACCTGGTCCTATCCTAAGGTGGCCTCTGGATTGGAGCAGAGTTGGGCAGGACAAAGGGGCACTGTGGGTCTCACCTTTGCCCCCAAAGGATCCCAGGGCGCTGGTCTCCATAGATGCTGGAATCTGGCCCAGATCCAGTTTTGGGCCGAGCTTGGAACCAAAAAAAGATTTCCTGGAGTCAAGTTACCAAATTTAGTGTGACAGTCACTTGTAGTGTCCAATGAAGACTAAGGGCTAGCAATTCTAAATAAAGTGTTCTCCTCATTGGTTGGTCAGGAAGAGACCAAATCAATTTAGGGATTCCCCCAGTCCACTTGCTTGGATCACTGGCTTTTCCTGCCATGGGGTAAAATTTTTTATCTCACAGTTCTGTAGATCAGAAGTCTGGAAGGCACTGGCTGGGTTCTCTTCTTAGTGTTTCATGAGGCTGCAGTCCAGGTGTCAGCTGACTGCGTTTTTATCTCATGTCCAGGTTCCTCTTCCAAGTTCACTACAGTTCTTGGCAGAATGCATTCCCAGTTTCTTGTGCTGCCTGTCACCAGAAGCCACTCTGCTTCTAGAGGCCTCCTGCATTCTTTCTCATGTGGCCTTCTCCATCGTCAGACCAGTAATAGTGCACCATGTCCTTCTTGTGCTTGTCTCTGATATCTTCTCCTTCAGTATTCTTTTTTTTTTTTAATCCTCACCTGAGGACATTTTTGTATTCAACTTCATTTAGAGCAGGAGGGAGAGAGAGAAACATCGATGTGAGAGACACATCGACTGGCTGCCACCCACACAACCCCAATTGGGGCCGGGGAGAAACTGCAAACAAGGTACGTGCCCTTAGCGGGAACCTAACCTGGGCCTCTCTGGTCTGCAGGCCGATGCTCTAACCACTGAGCAAAACCAGCCAGGGCTTCAGTATTCATTTTTAAAGAAGAATTTTAAAGATTATCAGTTTTTCCAATGTGTCTTTTTTCTCTTTATCTGAATAGTTATATTAAGTATCTGGCGTCCATCATCAGATTTATATTCCCTGCTAACAGAGGGAAAGAGATACAAAATCTATCATCTTGCAACATCAAAATCTAAAAATAAATCTGGAAGAGCTAACATACAGTTAACAGCAACCAAACACACTCAGTTTCAACAAATACCAGTAAGTACTTCTCATTGTAATTTTTTAGTTTTGATAAATGCATATGAATTTATAGAATCTATACATGCTGCTTTTTTTTTTTTTTTTTTTTTTTTTTAGGCTTCAGATGAAATCCTGTATCAAGTTTATCAACCAAGGGAGCCCCTTCCCTTCAACCAGTTATTGAATCCAGACTTCCAACCACATTGTTCTGAGGTGGACCTAATAGGATTCGTAGTTTATGTTGTGAAAAAAATAGGTAATGTATAGCATATTTAGTTGTAGCTTTTTATTGATGCTTTTGAAAAACATTATCTTTTAAAATTTGTCTTAGGATTAATTGGTACAAATCAGCAAATTTGGTAACCAGTTAGGCACGGTTTTAACCTCAATTCTTAATGAAAAACAATTCTACAGTATTACAAGGAAAGAACTTACATCCCATTGTGTGCTACTTAATTTTAAAGAAATTGCTAGGAAGCACTACAACATTTTAGTGATTACTGCTACACAAATAATTAGTTTCCCTATGCAGTTAACTGAGCATTCAAGCCTCTGCCTCCAGCTTTGGTTTGGGGTTTCTTTTGTCCCTTTGCAGTATCTCTCATTATCCCTTATGATATCATTGTTCTAAAGCCTACATTTTAAAATATAGCTTATCCAACTTTTTTTATTGTTAATGTTGGTTTGCATGGCACATATCTTTTTTCATTCCTTTATTTTTAACCTACTGATGTCTTTATAATTCAGAGTGTGTTTTTGGTAGACAGCATAGTTGGGTCTTACTTTCTTATCCAATCTGACAGTCTCTATCTTTAATTTGGTCATCTTTAATGTGATTATTGATAAGGTTGGATTAAAATATACCACCTTGTTGGCCGTTTTCTATTTGTCCCATCCATTTCTCATGTTAGAGGGCAATTCTCGTGATATTTCTGTGTATGTGGTAGCAGCCATTGTCTCAGACTATCTTTTCAAGAATGTTTGTATAGCAAAGAGGCCTGCAAGGACAGAGGGCAGATTTCTTTCCTGCAAAGGAAGTCTGATCTCTCTCTGTGAGTTTTTTTTCTGTTTGTTCTTGGTTTTGGGGATTTCACATATAAGTGAGATAATAAAGTAATGGTCTTTCTCTCTCTGACTTATTTCACTTGGCATAATGCCTTCAGGGTTCATCTATGTTGTTACAAATGACAGGATTTCCTTTTTATGGGTGAATAGTATTTCATTGTATGTACCACATCTTTTTTTTTTTTTAATCTGTTCACCTATCCACAGACACTCAGGTTGTTTCCCTGTCTTGGCTAATGTGAATAATGCTGCAGTGGACATAGGGGTGCAGATATATCTTTAGCATAGTGATTTTGGTTCCTTTGGGTATATACCCAGAAGTGGAAATGGTAGATCATCTGATGTTTCTATTTTTAACTCTTTGAGGAATAAATCATTTTAAATAACAAAGAAATACCTTTGGAAGGTCAGCTTCAGTGTTTACAATTCCCAACATCTCAGCCTGGAGCTATTCTCTTATTTCTAAGTACTATGAAGTGTCGAAGACCAGGTAAGGTCTTCGTTTACGCACAGAGGCTTCTATTTATTGAAGATTTTGTGCCAGGCACCCCAGTCTCCTCCACTCACAGTCTGTCCCCCATTCCACTTCAGCTTTGTTGACATCTTCCTTGCTGTTCTTGAGCCCACTGAGCTCACTTTCATCACAGAGCCTTTACACTCAGAAGCTTTCCCCCAACAGCCCATGGCTGGCTCCTTTGGCTCCTTCAATCTCGGGTCAAATGCAACCTTCTAAGACGCCTTTCCCTGACTGCCATTTGTAAAAGAGCAGTACTCCTTTCACTCCACAACCTAGCTTTAAATTCTTCATAGCACTCAGCAGCGCCTGACGACGTGTGTGTGTGTGTGTGTGTGTGTAGTGAATTCCTTGCTTTTCTACTACCCTGTCATGGTTTCTCCTTTCTCTGCTCTTTGGCTAAGGTTTATTGTCCATCTCCTTTTCGAGAAGGCCTCATGCACCATATTCCATGAATTCCTTATATTTTGTCATGTGTACCTATTGCCTTGTGAGACTGTGTCTTGGTTAGGCATAATATTATGGGATTGCGCTTTCTTTCCTTCCCTCAGAACTTTGTAGAAATTACTCTTTTGGCATTGAACAGTCTGGGACTGGCATAATGTTCCCCCCATTTAGGTGATAGTCTTTTTACGTCTGGATAGCTGGAGAATATTTTGTTTTGTAGTCCAAAACTTGACTGTGCTTTGGCTTAGTGAAAGGAAGATCTATACAGTTCTCCGGGGTGCGGGGTGCTCTTTTGATCTGCAGACTCTGTGCGTCTTTATTTCATGGAGATTCTGAAATTCCTTTGAACATTATCTACTCTTCCATTTGTTAGTATTTCTACTTCAAGGAAATTAGTTACTGTTGTGTTGCATAATTTTTGTTTTATCTATTCTCTGATTGCTTCTGGGGTTTTTTTGTTTTTTGTTTTCATCTCATTCACGATTATTATATTCAGACTTATTTTTGTAATTTTATTTTCTGCAATATGTTTTATTTCTTGCTATTTCTAATGCATGTATCTGACCCATTATGATCATATATTGGTGGTCTCAATTTGTTTCTTTGGTCCTGCACTCCCCTTTTCGTCTTACAGGGCTTCTTATCCCATATTCTAGCTTTTATTTTATTGAATATATGTTCTTATTAAGTTCAATAGCATGAATTCAGTTTTGAAGAAGTGAGAATCTCTTCTTTTCCTTCAGTTTTGTTTTCTTACGGGTTGTGCTCTTTGCTGTGTTCTTTTCTCCCTTTTCTGATAGGTTCCATTTGGTTAGTTGTGTGTTGATGCTTTGTGGGGTTTCTTTGACTGGAGTACGTTAATATGCCACATTGTTTTCATAGCATTTCATTTCCTCTTGATCAGACTTGGTGACTTTCCCCACACATTCCACACATTCTGTTGTAAATGCTGAGTGAGTAGCAATGAACAAAACAAGCAAAAATCTCTGCCCTCGTGGAGCTTACATTATGGTGTGGTGGGAGGGATCACAAATAAAATAAACAGGTAGCATTTCTACTTTTCTTAGTAAGTGTTAAGAAAAAAATTAGGTAGGGAATGACAGACAGGTAGTGTCAGGGGGCAGGAAAGAGAAATGTAGCTCTAGATAAGAAGGTGAGGAAAGACCTCACTGCAAAGTTGACATTTGGGTGAGACGAAGAAACAGAGGGAGGGGGGCATGTGGACATCTGAAGGAGAAGCAGTCCAGGCAGAAGAAATGGTCATGATACACTGTGGACTGATAGCAGAGGCCAGGGAGTGAGTATTCACAGCTGGGTAGAGGCACCTGCGGGACCAGACAGCGTGCTGTTTCTGAAAGTGGTGGAGGAGTGACACCACCTGACTAGGTTTGCAGGGATCACTCGGCTGCTGTATTGAGAACAGATGGTAGGTGGCCTTAGCGTACAAACGGGAACCAGCTGGAGGCTGTTGAAGAATTTTGGCAAGAGGTGATAACAGTTTGGACCAGACAAAAGCAATGGGAGTGGTCAGAAGTAGTCTGCCTGGTTGTATTTTGAAAGTAGAGGAACACTGTGGGGTTGAAGAGAGGAGTCAGTGCCAAGGTGTTGGTCTAAGCACCTGGACAAACGGAGCTGCCATTCACTGAGAGGGAAAAACTGCCAGGAGAAACAGGTCTCTGGGGAAGGGCAGGAGCTGTTTGGAGGTTACATTTTAGGAGCTCATTCTAGATAGTTATACTTGCCAGCTGGATACAGGAGTCAGTTCAGGGGAATGGTCTTGGCTGAAGCTATAAATTGGGATGTCAACATCCAGGTGGTGTTTAAAGCCATGAAACTGGCCGAGGTCACTGTGGGTATGAGAGGAGATTAAGAAGTGACTTGGGCACTCGGATATTTGGGAGGACATTTGGAAGAAGGCAGTATTGTTTTGAATGTAATTAGAGGTAAATTCTAAAATCAGAAGATTGAACATGCTTGGGAAACATAATTTCTCTAAAAGCAATATTTAAGATTAAAATCTATTAAATCAGTCTTCTGATAAAATTGAAAAGTGAAAGGTTAACAGTCATTTGCAACAGGATAAACAAATCATTCTCTGAGAATGGCAGTTCTTTTCATTCCTGTTATTTATGGGGGAAATGGAATTCTCAAGGCAACAGAACAAGAAACTATAAATAGTAGTAAGAGTGAATGTTTGGTCCTAGATTTTCCTAGCTTCATTCCTATCCCAGCTTATCCAGTTGTCCCTTTCCACCACCTGTGGGGTCTTGAGCTGGTCCTTTAAAAGTTCCCTCTAGGAGCAGCCAGGCCGGACCTTTCTTAGCGTGCCCGTGCGGAAACGCAGCTGCGGGTGGAGGGTTCCGAGGCCTCCGAGGCTGCGCATCGGCCGGGCAACGTTGCCAGCTTTTCCTGGAGGAATGGGAGCCGAGCTCTCCGCTGTGCTCTCAGCCACATGGGCTGGCTCACTCCCATCCGCCCCTCGTTCTGCCAGGGTGGCGTTTAAGTCCCCACCGGCCTCTTCTGGGCCCCAGCTCAGCTTAGGTGAAGGCCCACCGCCTCTTTAGTCGTCCCCACCCTCGCAGGAGCCAGGGCCACGCTTTTCAGAACCTGCACGCTCATGTGGCCACGCTCTTCAGATAGAACCTGCATGCTCATGTGGCCATGCTCTTCAGATAGAACCTGCACGCTCCCCGTGGCCACGCTCTTCAGATAGAACCTGCACGCTTCCCGTGGCCACGCTCTTCAGATAGCACCTGCACGCTTCCCGTGGCCACGCTCTTCAGATAGAACCTGCACGCTTCCCGTGGCCACGCTCTTCAGATAGAACCTGCACGCTCCCTGTGGCCACGCTCTTCAGATAGAACCTGCACGCTCCCTGTGGCCACGCTCTTCAGATAGAACCTGCACGCTCCCTGTAGCCACGCTTTTCAGATAGAACCTGCACGCTTCCCGTGGCCACGCTCTTCAGATAGAACCTGCACGCTCCCTGTGGCCACGCTCTTCAGATAGAACCTGCACGCTCCCTGTGGCCACGCTCTTCAGATAGAACCGGCAATCTCTCCATGGCCACGCTTTTCAGATAGAACCCGCACGCTCCCCGTGGCCACGCTCATCAGATAGAACCGGCAATCTCCCCGTGGCCACGCTTTTCAGAACCTGCACGCTCATGTGGCCACACTTTTCAGAACACATTTTGGGCACTGAAAATTTTTTAACATTTTATTTTGAACTAATTTTAGGCATTCAGAAATAGGAATATATCCTAAGAAGCCTGAAACACCAATCAGAAAGAATATATGTACCCCTATGTACATAGCAACACTATTTACAATTACTAAGATCTGGAAACAGCCCAAGTGTCCATCAGTAGATGAGTGGATAAAAAAAAAGCTGTGGTACATGTACACAATGGAATACTATGCAGCTATAAGAAAGAGAGATCTCTTATCCTTTGAAATAATATGGAGGGACCTGGAGAGTATTATGCTAGGCGAAATAAGCCAGTCAGAGAAAGACAAATACCACATGATCTCACTTACTTGTGGAATATAATGAACAGAAAAAGCTGATGAACAAAATAGACCCAGAGACATAGAAAGGAATGTGGTTCAGACTGACACACTTCAGAGGAGGGGAATGGGGGGAAGGATAAGCCAAAGAACTTATATGCATGTAGGTGGAACCAATGGACATAGAGAACAGTGCTGGGGGTGGGGAGCAGGATGGGGAAGAGGGTGACTGGGAGGGGGGGGACATCTGTAACAAAATATAAATTAATTAATAAAAAATAGTTTCCAAATATCCCTCAGCCAGCTTCCCCTAATGTTAACATCTTGTATAATCATATTTCGGTTATTACAGTCAGAAAGTGAACATTGGTACAGTATTATTGCCTAAACTTTAGATTTATTTGAATTTGAAGTTTTTTATGTACTCTATTTTCCATTTTCTATTCCAGGATTCCACTTTCTATTAGTCATTATTTTGCCTTAGGTTTCTCCAGTCTTTAACACTTCCTCATTATCTTGACACCTTGAATGGACTGATCAGTTATTTTGTAGCATTTCCTTCAGTATGGGTTTTCTCATGGTTAGAGTAAGTTACACATTTTTGGCAAAGTTACCACAGAAATGATTTTGTCTTTACATTGTATCAGGGGTCAGTGATGTTGCTCTCTCTTATTGCTGGTAATGGCAACAACCTTAGTCACTTGGTTCAGGTGGTATCTGCTGGTTTTCTTAACTGCAAATAACTGACTTTCCCTTTGTAGTTAATAACTATCTTGGAGGAGCTCTGGCCAGTTTGGCTTAACGGTTAGAGCATCGGCCCACGGACCAAAGAGTTGTGGGTTCGATTCCAGCCAAGGGTGTGTACCTCAGTTGCGGTTTGTCCCTGGCCCTGGTCGGGGTCCTATAGGAGGAACCAGTCAATGTGTTTTTCTCACGTTGTTTTTCTCTTTCTCCCTGCTCCCCCCGCCCACTGCCACTCCATCTGAAGATATTTGGAAAAATATCCTTGGTTGAGGATTTTTTATATATATATACATATATATATATATATACACACACACACACACACACACACACACACACACACACACACATACACACATCATACGTGTGTGTGTGTGTGTATGTCATATGAGGAGATTCATATTCTACTTCACTGAAAACTTTCACCCATTCATTTAGCATCCATTTTTGTTTGCAACAGTTATTACTGTGGTATTTGCTTTAATGGTAGTTTTCTTTTTTCCATCTACTTTCATTGGAATTCTACTGTGAGGAATAGCTACCCTTTTTCCCCACATTTATTTATTTGATTTATATCAGTATGGACTTATGAATAGTTATTTTATTCTCTGGGTTAAAATACAATACCTTTGTTTATTCTCCTGTTTCAGTTTGGGCCATTAGGAACTTTTTTGGGTTGACTCCATATTTTTAGCACTTCCTTCCTTTGTTAGCATTTCAAGGTGTTCCAGGCTCATAAGTTCGCTGCCACAGTTTTGGAATCAACTACAGTGAGTCTTCACTTAACGTTATTGGTAGGTTCTGCAACTTTAAGCAGTGACATATAGCAAAACCAGTTTTACTGCTGGCTAGTTGATACAAACAAAGGTTAAGTTCCTACAGCATCTCATCAACATTATAATGAAACAACATTGAACAAAATGATGTTATTCAAGGACCTGCTTGTTGTACCTCTCCAATGAACCCTGGGTCCTTTTTCTTTCTTCCTTCCTTCCTCCCTTTCTTTTTCCTTCTTGGAGAAAATGGTATTTAGAACCAAGATCTGATTGCTAGGTGTGCTCCTTACTACAGGAGCATCACTGCTTGTAGGCCCTTTCAGACATAAAGAACTATGACATATGTTTGTGTTCCACTTGGATTCCCTCATATCTGGTTCATTCTCTTTGGGGGATATATGAAGAATACGTGGAATATCATTGCTTTTTTCAGAGTCAGAACTTCACAGAAAGACAGACTCAGAGAAGTGTCCCTCCTTCCTCATCCCTGCTAGGTCTTTTTTCCCCACCCATACCCAGTCCCTGTAGTTTCTGATGTATCCTTCCTATATGTTTTATACAAATGGACAGATACAAGTATATTAGCTTGTATCTCCTTCTTTCTTATAGGAGATATCTCCAGTCTTTCTTTATAGCGCTAGTCTTTCTTTTGTGCTTTTATTTTTCTCCTGACGGTATGTTTGGAAATCACTGATTGAGATCTTCCTCCTCATGTTGTCAGCTGCATAGTACTCCATTATAAGGGTGTGCCGTGTTTTACCCAACTACTCTCTTAGGCATGAGCTAAGATAGGTTGCTGCCCTTACCAGTGTGACCCAGTGGTTAGAGTGTCAGCCCATGAACCCAAATGGTCTCAGGTTCAATTCCCAGTCAAGGGCATGTACCTGGGTTGCGGGTTTGATTCCCAGCCCCGGTCATGGTCATGTGGGAGACAACTAGTCGATGTGTCTCTTTCATGTCCATGTTTCTCTCTCCCTTCCTCCCTCCCTTCCACTCTTTCTAAAAAACTCAATGGAAAAAATGTCCTCAGGTGAGGATTAACAAACAAACAAACAAAAGATAGGTTGTTTTAAGTGCTTTATAATTACAAATAGTGCTTCAGTGAGTAACCTTATACATGTGTTTTCATGAACCTTTTTCATGTGTATGTGCTATCACTAGAAGTATATCTTCAGAGGAGAGAACTAGAAGTGGGATTGCCGAGCGAAAGGTACGTATATGTCGCTTTGCTAGGTATTACCAATTTTTCTCCAGAGGGTTGCACACATTTGTATTCCCACCAGCAGTGTACAAGCAGGCCTGCCTTCCATGGCCTCAGGGATAGAACGTGTTGTCACTCTGACATTAAAATTTTAGCAGTATAAACAATAGGTCATTTTGGAAATCCTGAGCTTTCTCTAACTGTAGTTAGAGGTTCCTTGCATTTTAAATTTATCTAACACATATATAATGAAATGGGGTTGTTTGTTCTCATTTTAGGTCTTGCTCCTTTGGTCTATTTGTCAGATGAACACCATAACTTACTAGCAATCAAGTTTTGGATAGATCTTAATGAAGACATCATTAAACCTCACATGTTAATTGCTGCAAGCAACCTCCAGTGGCGACCAGAATCCAAATCAGGAATTCCTACTTTATTTGCTGGAGATTTTTCCATGTTTTCTGCCAGGCCAAAGGAGAGCCATTTTCAAGAGACATTCTACAAAATGAAAAATATCATTGAGGTAAAAGCAGTTTTGAGCATTAACACACTTTTTGGTATTTTCCTATTTTGAGAGTCAAGTATCAAAGGAATGGCAGCTTTTATGAAAAGTAGATGTTGAGACACAGTGTCAGGTGAGGTTTTCAGCATATGTTAATTGCTCGTGAACCTGAGAAGGTGGGAACGACAGCTACCAAGAATAAGAGGATGATTTGAGGGTAACTGAGTTAGGAGAGCTGGTGAGAAGGATGTTCAAGCTACAGACCATGTAGGCAAACTGGAAATTGGTGAGAGTGATATGTAGTTCATAGTAGCTGGTAGTGTAATTAGTTAACAATATGCAGACTCCAAATTTACATTTTAAACTCCATATCTATTATTTTATACAATTCATACCTATCTTTGTTTTTAAATAATCCCAAGTAGGAGAATGCTAAAATTATTTTCCTTGGAACTTACGCATTTTTGCTGAAATCTATTTATACAGCATATAGTAATATTAGCTACAGTTTATTGAGTGCTCACTGTGTGTCAGGCCTTGTTCTAAGCCTAACCTGATGAGGTAGGGAACTACTTTTCCATTTTTTTCAATGAGAAACAGGTTTAGTCACATAGCAAAGTTGGTAGAACCAGGATTCATACTTAAACCCACCTATTAACTACTATGCAATGCTGCCTCCCAATAAAATTTTGTATTTTATAAATTCCTAACTATTAAATACTGTACAAAAGATAAGTCTCTTCTTAGTTCTGTAGTTTAATATTTGAAATGTGTTATTCAAAATTTATATGTCACATTTTAAAAGCATTAGAGTATCTAGCTGGATATAGGAAGTTTGTGTAATATTTACCTAAAGACTCAATATACACAGTGAAGAATAACACCTGATTTATCTGGTTTCTAAATTGGTGGTGGGGTGGGGACGGGGGTTAGGAACTCCATCATTATTTGGCTCCCGTACAAAGAATTTATGATTTACATCCCAGCTTTCTCTGAGGCCATTCAAAGGCAGTTCAGAACACCTAACTTTTATTTACATAGCATTTGAAAGTTTTACAAAATACTTTCATGAATTATGTTAAACCATATGAATTTGCTGGTATTTGACCATTTGTGACTTCTGAACCATCTTATTTTAGTTATTCCTTGGAACAGACATGAAGCCGTATTCTTATTACTCCTAATCTGAGGACTACTCTGTAGAGGTTGGATGATTTACAGCTATTAGTAGTAAACAGAGACAGAACTTGAGTCCAGTCTTCCAACTCCAAATCCAGATCATAGTCTACCTTGCTAATGAAACTGGATGGCCGAGAACGTCTCTTATATCACCCTCCTTCCCAGATGCCTACAGACACTCTCCCTCCCCCGCTCCAACAGCTGCGCTCTCCACTCTCCTGAATCACTGATGTTGGTTCTGCATTTTTACATTAGCGGAGTTTGACAGTTACTGTCAAAATTGGGGTGTGTCATTCTTTTTTTCCAGCCTGAATATTTCAGTTCTAGTTTTAAAGGTAAGATTTCCTAAAAACACGAATATGTAGGTTTGCATTTTATAAAACAGCTTTTCCAATTTATTTTCTTAGGATATTGGTATGTTTTGCAATGATGCAGAGAACAAACTTATGCATATACTTAATGCAAATGATCCCAAGTGGTCCACCCCAGTTAAAGACTGCAAGTCAGAGCCACACATTGTGCAGACAGCCCTCGGTGCAGGAAATAAGCTTCTGGTAAGTTAATGTAAATTTAAGGAATTTTATAAATATATATGAAGGCAACAGTATATTCTGGTATACAACTAGTGAACGTGGTAAAATGTAATTAAATTTAATTAGAAAATGTGATTGTTATATGACTTTTATAGGTATAGGTTATCTGGAAATTATATCTTGTTTATTGAAGCCAGAATGTAACACTCTTTGGGGCAAATTTTACAAACAGGTACTTTCATTTGTATTATTTCAAGTTCATGCGATAGAAAATAGTTTTTTGCCAGTATCTTTGTGTTAGGAGGACTATTCTATATAATTAGGGCGGTTTCTAAGCTCAGTTTATTTAACTCTTTAAATTACAATAAATGCAAATCAAGCTAAAGCATAATATAGCTAATGACTAATTCTTATGTAGCTAACACTTGGTAAGTGTATCTGTATTAACTCATTACTTTCACAGCAACCCTCTGAGATAAAAATTATGGTCACCATTTTACAGATGAGGAAGCTATGGCACAGAGAGGTTGAGCAATTGCCTAAAGTTACAAAGCCAGAAAAGTAGGCATTAGAACCCAGTTGGTCTGTGTTCTTAAAATGGTTAATGCTAAAAAAGAAAAGAGTAAAACAGAAGTTATGTCCCCTACTTTTTTGTCTTTTACTATGATTAGTCTTCATCCATCTTCTCATGTCATTTTTATAGCCTCTTCTGCTAAATTATTTCCTTCTGAGGCAATAATAATATGAATGTCTCATGAAATCATTTGCTCTATTAGCCATTACAGGAGTTAAAATGTGTGTGGTATTTGTATGTTTAAATATTTTTAATGAAAAGCGAATTTGATTTTGTTTTATATGTGAACATATAATTATATATGCCACTTTTTCATTTGTTTTGTATTAGCTGTCTTCTCCCAATAGTGAGATGAACTATCAAAGTCCTTTATCATTTTGTAAGCCAAAAGGGAAGTCTGTTCCCACACCTGCATCACCCCAAATGACTTCAAAGGCTTATAAAGGGGAGAAAGAGGTTGATGACCCAAAAAACTGCAAAAAGAGACGAGCCTTGGACTCCTTGAGTAGACTACCTTTACCTCCACCTGTTAGTCCCATTTGTACATTTGTTTCTCCAGCTGCACAGAAGGCATTTCAGCCGCCACGGAGTTGTGGCACCAAACATGAAACACCTATAAAGAAAAAAGAATTGAGTTCTCCTCAGATGAGTCCTCTTAAAAAATGTAATGACATTTCTCTTTTGGAAAACGATTCAATAGCTGACGAAGAACTTGCATTGATAAATACCCAGGCCCTTTTGTCTGGTTCAGCAGGAGAAAACCAGTTTGTGCCCATGGGTGAATCCACTAGGACTGCTCCCACCTGCTCAAGACACTGTCTCAAAGGGAAAAGGCACCATTTTACTCCTGTGGTCAGAGAACAGGAAAATTCCTGCGTCAGTGCTGGGGAAACAGGAGACTCTGCACAGGACACAAGTGCAATACAAGATACATCTAAGAGACTGCAAAGGCGACAGAAACGAAAATGACCAAATTAGTTACTGACTCTTAACCTTTCCTGTTTGTAGCACACATGCAGTTTCAAACTGCACACCCATGTTTGCAAAATGAGAAGAGAAATGGTTCCGAATCTACCTGAGTGCTTGTATATCATAGGAATGTTCTTTGCCTGCTTCTACATTGATTAAAGATCTTAAAACTGACTATATGTTTATTAACTAATCAAGAAAAAAAATCTCCTTTAAATCTTTATGACAGGATTTACTCACTACAAGTATTTTACAAATGAACTACACATACCCTTTTCTTTTAGATTGTGTCCTTAATTAAATGAAACCAGATTTCTCAGTACAGTTATTTTGACTCGCGTAATTCCTTTTAGTTTAGTTCCTATTTTACTGGTTTCTTTTTTTTAGAGGTAACCCACTATGAATCACTTTTCTTTAATGCATGTGTTGGTTCTACTATAGTTCTGTTCTGATAAAAAATCGGGCTAAGAGATGGCTGGTGCTTTCTTTTGACCAATTGTTCATGCTTAAGTCATTATAACTACAAGAAAAATAGAACACTCAGTATAGTTAATTCCTTTTTATAATACCATTGTTATCTCTGAAATTAAATTATTTCAATTAAAAATTCAAATACTTTATAAGTCAGAAGCAGCCTTCATAGTGTTAATTGTGCCTTTCAAATTGGCCCCAATTCTGCCTGCTTTGTTTTAGTGCTGTTACAGGACGCGCTAGGGCTCCCTGGACCCCTCGTTTTCTCTGAACACCCCTTTCCAGGAAGAAGGTAACAGCTCAATTCAAGATAATATTCTCATTTGTTATTTTCTTAATATTTAATAGAAAAGAGAAAAGGCAGTTCTTACTACAGTTCTTACTATAAGCTAATAACATAGAGAAGCTCTTAAATCAGGTCTTTCAATGTCTTAAATGTATATCTAATATATATATATATTTTGAATTACAGTTTACATACACTATTATTCTGTATTTAGGTGTATAGCATAGGGGGTAATGTTTTCAATCTAATTATAAACACAATTCAAAGCCAAGGATAAATCCTTTTATGAAGCACTTTGTTTCTTTCTGTAACTATGATCCATGATTTTTTCTCCTCTAAAAGTTATTAACATAACAATAGTCCATTCCACTAGTTTTTTAAACTTATCCTTATTGTTGAATGTATTACAGATGTCCCTCTTTTCCCTCCCTTGACTCCCTCCTTCCCAATCCTGCCCCCCTCCTGCTTTCCCCGCACTATTGTCTGTGGGTATTGGTTATGTATATATGCATATAAGTTCTTTGGTTTCTCTCTTCCCACCATACTTCCCACCTTCCCTTTGAGGTTCATCAGTCTAACAACCAATTTGTACTTCTTAATCTCTTAATCTTTTTCACCCATTTTGCAACCAACAAAAAGTTCTCTGTATCTATGAATCTGTTTCTGTCCTGCTTGCTCATTTTGTTTGCATATTCAATTGTTGACACTTATGTATTTATTGCCATTTTATTGTTCATATTTTTTTATCTTCTTTAAGAAGACCCGTCAACATTTCATATAATACTGGTTTGGTGGTGATGAACTCCCTTAGCTCTTTCTTACCTGGGAAACCCATTGATTCTAAATGATAGTTTTGCAGGATAGAGTAATCATGGTCGTAGATCCTTGCTTTTCATCACTTTAAATATTTCTTGCCACTGCCTCCTGGCCTACAAAGTTTCTTTTGAGAAATCAACTGATAGCCTATGGGAGCTCCATTGTAGGTAACTAACTGCTTTTCTCTTGCTGCTTTTAAGATTCTCTCTTTGTCTTTAACCTTTGGCATTCTGATGATGATGTGTCTTGGTGTGGACCTCTTTGTGTTCATCTTGTTTGGGATTCTCTGTGCTTCCTGGACTTGTATGTCTGTTTCCTTCACCAAGTTAGGGAAGTTTTCTGTCATTATTTTTTCAAATAGATTTTCAATTTCTTGCCATCTCTCTTCCCCTTCTGGCATTCCCATGATGTGAATGTTGGTATGCTTGAAGTTCTCCCACAGGCTCCTTATACTATTCTCATTTTTTTGGATTCGGTTTTTTTTTTTTTTTTTTTTTTGCTGTTCTGATCGGGTGTGTTTTGCTTCCTTATATTCCAAATTGATGGTTTGCTTCTTGGCTTCACATACTCTACTATTGATTCCCTGTAAATTATCCTTTTATTTCAGTTAGTGCATCCTTCATTTCTGATTGGTCCTTTATTATGCTTTTGAGGCCCTCACTAAGTTCATTGAGCATCCTTATAAGAGTGTTTTGAACTCTGCATCTGTTAGATTGCTTATCTCCATTTCATTTAGTTCTTTTCCTGGAGTTTTGTTCTGTTCGTTCATTTGGGACATGTTTGTTTCCTCATTTTGACTGCCTCCCTGTGTTTGTTTCTGTGTATTAGGTAGGGTTGCTGTGTCTCCTAGGCTTCCTAGGATGGCCTGTTGTAGTAGGTGTCCTTTAGGGTCCAGTGGTACAGCCTCCCTGATCACCCATCTGGGCCCTCGAGGTGCACCCCTTGTGTGGACTTTACACCCTTCTGTTGTAATTGAGTCTTAATCACTGTTGACACGTCAATGGGAGGGTTTTACTCAGGCTGATCAGCTGCAAGGATCAGCCACTAACCACTAACCCCTGACTACCTTGGGTGAGCTGTGCAGGGGCCCACCACACAAAGCAAGACTTACTTTAACAGTGCTCTGGTACTGAGTCGACTCATTGAGTATGTCACTTGTGGAGGTGGTTTGGTGGTGGTGCTTTGATGTGTGAAGCTGTCCACTGGGTGTACTGACTCTGGGGCAAGTTCAGCCACTGCCTGTGTTCTACCCGGGGCCACCAGGCATAAGCTACAAAGCGATCTGCCAATGGCTGCTACTTGTCTGGGCTTGGAGGTGCCCAGGCGAAGCCAAGCTGTGAACCAAGGCTGGCTGCTTCTAGTGCCAGGCCTGGGGCCACTTAGTGAGAGCTATGGAGCACACTGTGGCCAGATGCTGCTTGCTTGAGAGAATTTAGGAGAATCTTAAGCAGGAACCAAAACAGGCCAATCCTATGGTAATGCCACTGGAAACAGTTTGGGTGGGACAGGGCCTCAGGGAATCACTACGGTGGGACAAACAGTGTGAGTCAGGTGACTGGAGTCCCAGATATGGCACCCACCTGCCAGCCTGCCAGCCCCGTGGGGGACGGGCTCACCAAAGGAACAACAGCCTCCGCCAGCACATCTGTCCAGGAAATAGCTGCCTCTCCAGTCCTTGCCCCAGTGCCAAACAACTCCGTTCTTCCCTGTATGTCTCTGGTGCCTTTCAAGCTGCCTCCCCTCCGCGCTGGAGCTCAAAAGGAGCAAGTTCAAGTAAGTCCATTCATGAGCCTTTTAAGAGGAGCTGCCTGGGGCTCCAGCAGCCTCAGCCTCCCTCAACCTCAGTTCCCATGGTTTTTACAGCCGGAAGTTATGGGGACTTCTCTTTTTGGCACTGGAACCCTGAGCTGGGTGTCTGGTGTGGGATGGGGACCCCTCAGTCCTCAGGGAGGACCTTCCCAGTCTAGGTATCCTCCTGATTTTTATCTACTACACGTGGGTGTGGGACCAGCCTGCCCACGCCTCCGCCCTCCTACCAGTCTTGATGTGGCTGCTGCTTTAATTTCATAGTTGTAGGACTTCCATTCAGCTTGATTTCAAGTGGTTCTGAAGTATGGTTGTTCTCTAGTTTGGTTGTAATTCTGATGTGGTTGTGCGAGACCACATTTAACTATGCCACCGTCTTGACCAAAAGTTACTCCACTAGTCTTTTTAATTTGTGTTCTGCCCATCTTATTAATGCGATGCAAGTTTTGTTCATAAAACAATTTGGTCTAATCATTTTCCTAGTGACCCATTCTAGAACGGGGAATAAAACTGTTCCTGAGTCTCAGGAACAGAAAGAATTATAAGAATTTAACCTATTTTTTTATCTGTTACCTCCTCCACTAGTCATTACCATGTAGACTACCCATCAGAGAGAGATTTAATGCACACCCTCTTTTTCATAAGTTGTAAATATATACTAGGCTATCCGAGCAAAATATGAAGCTTGAGGATATTATCCCCCCAAAAGTGACTACTTAATGATTACAAAGTCAACAGTGTACACTACATAAGGGAGAAATGGTAAAAGCAAGTTGTGTTACCTACTCGGCACTCAGGGAGAGCCCCTTGTGCGTATAAAGCACTATACCTGCTCAATGAACGATGCAAATGTTAACACACAAAATAATACTTGTCAATGTTGAGGATTCTAAAAAATATATAGATCAGGGAGAGAAAAAAAAACATCACTTCTAGCTGGGATATATAAAGTTGATGGCATTTGTTTTTATGCTTCCATACCAAGTATTTTAAACATCATATGGGGGGAAAGAGGCAAATAGACCAGGATATTACTCTTCTGGGCTCTCTAGAAGCTCTGGATCTATAACCTGCGGCCACTTCTCCATAGTGGTCACTCTGCCTCAGTGGTCCAAAAGCCCTAAGCAGAGAGCCAGACATAAATCAGGAGGGTTTGAATTCTGACCCTTTTTGGATTCTTTGGAATCAAAGGAAGGTAATACCAGTTTGGACTCTGACACTCCTCCCCTCTACTAGCCTAAGGAGTCAAGCCCTCCAGAATGAGTGAATTCTGCAGTAATCATATTGACTAAGACACTCAGGATTACCTGGGCCTGGATAGCAGTATTATGTGGATTATAATGATTATTAGTGGATTATTGTGGGTCATGCTTAGACACAGAATTTAGCAAAACTATAATTCCTTAGATTTACTCAAATTTACCAAATAATTAGTTTTGTCAGCCAAACTTTGTTACTCAAAGGAGATACCCATTGTTAAAATGTTAATGAAGAATTACAGCCCTGGCTAGTTTTTCTCAGTGGTTAGAGTGTTAGCCCTCAGACCAAAGAGCTGCAGGTTCGATTTCCAGTCAAGAGCACACACATCAGTTATGGGTTCAATTGGGGTTGTGTGGGAGAAAATGTGTCTCTCTCGCCCCCCTTCTTCCTTCCCTACCTCCCCCTACCTCCATCCCACTCTATCTAAAGATCAATGGGAAAATATCCTCTGGTGAGAATAAACAAACAAAAAGAGAATTACAGATGCACTGCTGGTAGTCAAAATGTTGAGTAGATTTCAATAGAGTTAGATAATGGAATGTCAGAGTAAATTTGGCTTCCTAAAGTGCATAGGTAATTTAAGCAAGTAAAAAATAAGGTTAATTTGTCTTTTATATCCTATTTATTAAAGAAGACTGGAAAATAAGTTTATAATATAGAAAAATTATTTCTTAATATGGCAGAATTCTGGGATTTAGGTAATTAAATTTTTTATATTGTTGAACAAAAAACAGCTTCAATGACAAATCCATATAAAGCAATACCATATACTATAATTTTTAATAACCATAAAAGCACCATTATATAAGACACTTAAAATAATACTTCACAGAACATTAGCGAGAAGCTGTTGGCCGACAAGAAATAAAGCACACATCCTACATGGTCTTATCTATCAAGGTCTGACACAAAATTAATCTGATTCCAACCTGTTGAGAGTCCGTTTGGATGCACAGATCCAGCACGGGTATGAGGGACATCCAGAGTTGTGGCAGAACGTCACTGTCGTAAGTACTGTCACAAAACACTGAGCTGCTCATCTGATAGTGAGCATGACTTTCACATATCCATCTATGGCCTATGTCCTGGGGTGCTTAATTCCTTGTACTCCCAAACATCAGGGCTGCCAACTAATTACATTTATAAGCAAAATTTTAAAAGTCGCTTAATGATTTGTCTCAAAAATTGATGTTTTATAAAGGAGGCTTGTTTTATGTATACTATTAGCACAATAGCCAAAAGCTATTCAGGTTTAATCCTGTTCAATAGAGTGGTAGTTAAAACATAAAACTATAAATAGTGACCAAGTAATGACACCGATTTTCCTCAGGAGCTTGTATAGCTATTAAGAAGGATTCGACAGACATTTTTAACAGCGATACGTCACTAGAATAAAGGAATAATTTCCCCAAGTGTCTACTTTGAAGGACACTATTCCCTTAGATATATACTTTTTAGCATATTCATTTTAAAGGAAAATCAATATCATTGCAGCCACACATCTCACATTTTTTGATACACAGATTTAAAAAGTAGCAATGGCACTAAAACCTTTCCTGCCTCTCAATCCCCCCACCTTTCCAACTTGGCTGCTGGAGATGAATTCCTGAAAAAATAGATTACTTCAGACAAAGTGGTACTGAAGCTTATATATACTATAAACATTTTATTTTATTTATGAACCTATGTGACTAACTGATTACACTCTTGGGTACGTTTCTCAGGTTTCAGCTTCAAATTAATTCTTTCCCTAGAGAGGGTGACGTGGTTTAACCCAAGCTGCAGAACTCCCAGCACGAGACCACGCATAGAGGACCACTTAACAAATGCCTGTGGAAGATGACTACGATGACGTCTGCTCAGAAACGTTCAGGCTCCACTATTTACACTGGAATTCGAGCTCTGACTAAAACTGAACATAGAATAAATACCAAAAATTGAAGTAAAATCTGATTTAGGAAAACTCTGAATGCCTGTGAGATCAGCCTCTAATATCCGTTGTGACAACGCCCCCTTCTGTTAAAGGAGCTCTGGTGTGTGAAGCCCCCTGGAGCCCTGCGGCTTGGGAACTCGGCGTAGGCATTCCAGTATCCTGACCCGCTGGAAGGCGACGCACCGCTCCTGTCCTGGCTTCTGTTCACTCTGCTTGGTTTTTCTGCGTGAAGCACGCTATGAAAGGTAACACCGTGCTCATACCGTTCTTTCATTCGGTGTATTTTTTCTCTTGGGACTCCATGAATGTTTCTTCTACATGGAAAAACACAAACATTTAGTTAAGGCCATATATCAACAAGAGTTCCTTGTACTTTACGAGTCCTGTATTATTACACAGGGATGCACTCTGTTCTCAGGATTTAACTGACAGGAGCATAGCATCTTGTTATGCAGCCCTCTTTCAGGCCCCCTCCTGTTTTCATGCTGCCCTGCGCACCCCTAAACCACCCTGAGGTTTGCAGAGAGCTAATGCATCAGAAATGCTTTGTTTCTGGAAATCTCGATTCTGTGCTTCAATTCACAAAAGAACACCAGGAGATCTTTTTATTATAGATGTGCCTGTTAAGCATGAATATATCTATAGTCAATTTCTGTCGGTCAGACCCAGACACTTCAAGATGCTTATTAAAACAATCTTAAATTGTAGTGGGTGTGAGAATTAGCTGGGGTTATAGGTCAGAAGATAATTCCCAGAGATTTCAACTATGGAAAGGGCACCACGAGCTAGGATTTTTTCTTTTTTTTTTTTTGGTACGTGCTCCTAGTGGGAACCGAACCCAGGACTCTGGTCCACAGGCCAATGCTCCAACTGCTGAGCCAAACTGGCCAGGGCTGAGCTAGGATTTTTAACATTCAGTTCAGGTGGTTCTGATTCACTATAATTCCTTTTAACCATAAGATGAACTAGCCTTATTCCTAAATAGTAAATTCTGTTCTCACTGGTTACTTTAAATCATTCACATTATCAAATAACATAGATAATGAATATCAGAACCCATGCATTAAGTCAACAAATTAGTATTATTTAGATATTTGATGCTTTATAAATTAGAAGCAGCATCTGGACCACAAATGACTGTTCAGCATCTAAAGACATTTGTTTAGCCTAAATGCAAAACACCACTGGCATGTGCAGTCCCATGCAGAAGAAAGTGCTTTCAAATGTTCGTTAATGAAGAAGCATTTTAGTCGAATGTTAAAGGTATCCTTTTAAAGGACTGAGTACAAGCCAAGATTTAGCATTTAGCATTATATTACAAAACTGACCCAAAACTAAAGTCTTCACATTAATAATTCCCAAGTTATCAATTTCTAAGAATTACCATTTCTGGCCTGAAAACTACCATGTCCATTTCCAGCCTGAAAAGATTCTTTTGTTCGGTCTGAAATACCTGAAAACAGCAGGACACGTAGTGAGGAGCTAGAAAACAAAGGAGTACCTGGCTAACTCTTGCACGTTGAATTTCCAGCGAGTCTCAGGTTCTCGGAATATAACTTCATAGTTATTTTCAAGTGCCTGATTTTTCAAAAGTACATAAAACATTGAACACACGGTATGTATGCATGGGAATGTTCATACTGGCATTTAACAGTCACTACACATCTTTTCTAAAATTCCTTTTGTTACACCAGTAAGCCAGTGCCTAAGTTTATTTTTAAAAAATAAGTTGGTTCATGGCCATACTAAGCCATTCTCAGATTATATTACTGTTCCCAATGATAAATTTTGGTCCATTTTATCTACTACGTAGGAAAATTATAGAGGTTCTTTGTTTTGGACATTTTTTAAAATAGATAGCTGGACTAGCTTAAAACATCCTGCCCATAGGAATGTGCAATGACCTCAATGGCTTCTCAGAGTCTCTTATCATAGATTTATGTCTGTCAAATGCCTTGTCCATTCCTCATGCCCTGGTTTAGAAAATGGCAGTGCCATAGGAACAGAGCCTATAAAATAAGTGATTCCCCCAGGCTTTACACACTCTGCTCTCCGGAAGCAGCTCTCCCTACTGTGCAGTACAGTGTGGCTTGGTGCACTGTGCCCATTTCCTTGAGTTTAGAAAACTGTTTCAGTTCCCACATAAACACCCAAATATTCTTTGCATGCATAAATTGCCTACTAGATTTTTATCTCAAATTGAACTTTCAATAATAAAAGTTCAATGAAAAGAGCTAAGTAAAAAGATTTCCTCTTGCCTGGCTGGTGTGGCTCAGTGGTTGAGCATTGACCCCTGCACCAAGAGGTCACCAGTTTGATTCCCAGTCAGGGCACATGCCCAGGTTGTGGGCCAAATCCCCAGTAGGGGGCATGCAGGAGGTAGCCAGTCGATGTTCTCTCTCATAGATGTTTCTCTCTTTCTCTCCCTCTTCCTCCCTCCCTCTCTAAAATCAATAAAGAAAAACAATTAAAAAAAAAAAAGATTTCCTCTTCATTCTTCTAATTAGGGAAGGAGTCAAGCATCATATTTGGAAAATATCTAATTTCTGGGTCATAGTAATAATAGCTGTGGATGGCTGGAAAAGACTGAACATATCCAGAAAATAAAAAGTAACATGGCTTCCCCTAAGTTACTCACAGTCCCCCCTAACTCTTGGTTTTGGGTTGTGCCTTAACTTGACTCTTCACATCCCTGTTCATTTCTCTCCCAAGTAGACTCTCCATCAATGAACTGAAGTGACCACAAGGTTAATACTCATTCTCCTGCACTCACCAAAGTCCCACCCTCTGGGCCTAAGTGAAACTGATGAGAATATACCTAGAGAAAAGCACACCTGTATGTAAGCTATTTTGCCCAAAATGTGAAAAGAAGCCTAAAACTAGACTGTCACAACTCCAGTTTGGGAGCTCGTCGTGTGACCAAAACAGAAACTCACTGTCTTCTTCCTGCCCCAGTTGTTGTGTCTGGATCTTGTCTCCTTCCGACATGCACTAGGGAATGAAAATTCACTAGCATAAAAGATGAAACATGTCTGAAAACAGATCAGACATTTCAAAATTAAAGAAAGATGTGCACATTGTATTCATCTTACTGTTTATTCTGATAATACTGAGCTGAGTGGTTTTTATATGTGTATGCTAGTATCTTAATAGTGTCACAGTGTTCATCTTAAATCTGTTTTTAAACTAAAAACTCTGTTGCCCTTAAACTCCCTTGCAGCAATACTATCTAGTACTGAACTCCCCAGCTGGCAAAGAACAAACTGTCCTCTAACAGAATCTACAGCTCTGCTAGTCCAATTTCTCCGCAAGTTGCAGTGGGTGCTCCATGTGGACCTTCCCTTAGGAAAACAACTGAGACAGAAAAGCTATCAAAATTTCTGACCAAGGACTATTTAAAACTCGTACCCTGAGGTGATAATGGTATGCCAGCAAATTTGACCATTAAATAGTAGAGAAACAGAAAAATAACACCTCTTTACCTGCTCTGTGAGAGACTGTTAATAAGTATGAGACTGTGGAAGATCAGAAAATTAAGAAAGAACAGAAGTTTTGACTTTCTCACAAAATGCCCGTAACTGAAAATTCAGAATGATACTTCTTCCTACCATGACTGCATAGGGCTTCATTTCCCAGGCGTGGAGGTTGGTATTATCAATAATTATGGGGGATATGCCATTCCTCATTGCTTTTCTTGCTGCAACACAATGTTATACAACAGTGAACAACATGCAACAGTCAGAAGGGTGAGCGTACCCATATCTTGTCATTTTTATTACAGGATGTCCTCATCACACAACGTTAATGCCACCTATTTCAGGACCCGTTATCAATCATTTTCTTTTTCCTGGAATCAAGGGAGGTTTGGCATTCTGTTTGAAGTGGGGGGAGGGGAATGGCAGAACTTTTTATTAAACTCCTTCAATAAAATGTATTCATTCTGCAGCAGCTACAATCTAGATTCACAATAGGATTTCCCAGGAGTTTGGAAAGGAATAGGTCACCTCTTTTCTGGTTCCATTCATGAGCCTCCTCTAGGAAGTCTGGATTGAACTCATAGGCACCATCTTCCGTGAAGAAAAAGTCATCCGTGCTGAAAATCAGGGCCCTGGGAAAGTCGTGTTGCAGTTGTCTGGAAAGTAGGGGAAGGAGATTGTTGTATGACTGTGTACTGAAATAGAAAATCTCCTGTCTCTAACATTTGGCAGTTTGTCATTATGAGACCACCAGGTTCTGAGTTGCTGAAATGCAATTTAAAAACAGAGATGCTTATTATCTCCAGAAGGCATCGATAGCTCCTCACAAGGAGGCAGGAGTGGGCTGAGAGGCAACTGTGTGAGTTGCCCAACTAGTAGTTTCTGAGATGGGTCCTTAGAAGAGCTCCAGGAGATGGGTCCCAAGACAGGTGAGTTTAGGGTGAAGAGAAGGGCACCACGCTTGCCAAAGGAATGGCAGCAGGGCCTGGGGCCCATAAGGAAAGACTCATCACGCCTTCAGCTTCCACTTTCCCCTAGTCAGTCCTGGTTGCTGCAGAAATTAGTGCCAGTGCCTTCTTAGTTTCCGATGAGATAAGGTAGAGGAAAACACTTTGCAAGGCACTTTACAACTGCAAAGTACTGGTATTTTATTAATAGTAGTAACAAACATGAGGTTAAGTTACTAACCAGACTGTTGTAAAACACATTGGGGTGCACACAATCACTTGTTCCAAGTGAATACAAGGGAGATGGAAGACCAAAATAAAATGAGTAAACATTCCAGGCACACTAAACAAACATCTCTGTCAAAAATTCTGGAAGGCTTGATGGCATTTTTAAAAAAGGCAGCATTGATAGCAGCAAAAGTAATTTCAAACAAAATATATTATCTTTCTTGATGGGTTGTGGTGGTAAACAGGGAAATTCAGTGGATATGGTCTTAAATTTTGATTGAAACAGGAATCTGGCTGTCTTTCTTGATAGTCTTGTGGGAAAAGGTGGACCAGAAGATAATGTATTTTAGTACTTAAAGACTATTAGATAATTATCCAACTCATTAAACATGTATTGAGCACTTGGCCTGTGCCACGTACTATGTGAAGTCTTAAGGTACAAAAATAAAGTAACTGCTTTCAAGGAGTTCACAGCCCAGCCAAGGAGCCAGACCCTGCCCACTGGCCTGACGCACAGCACAAAGAGCTGGACACAAACCCTACCAGCACTTAGGGTCAGGAGCAGGTTCTGACAGGCAAGCATTGTCGAGGAGACCTTGAGGGATGAGGAAAATGTTGTCTCTTAGAGAAGGAACCGAGAGGAGGAAACTCCTGCTACAGGGCAGTTATGAGCACGAGACATAGAGAAAAAAAGGAACAAAGACACTGATTAAAGTGCAAATTGTATTTGAAACACTCAGTTCTAAGTGCTACACTTAGAGGTTAAAGAGGAAGTTGGCAAGCTGGAGTATGTCCAGAGAGGAAGTGGCCTGAAAACCATGGGAACGTCAAATAAGCCAAGATCACAAAGGAGTTTTGGGGTGCTGAAGCTAAGAACAGCTGATGGCAGTGGAACGTAATGGCGACCCCCAGACCCTGGGAAGTGTGTGTGGGAAGGGATGAGCTGGTTCTGTGGGCCTCATGCAGTCGGGTGCTGGCTGCTCACCAGGTGTCGTCCACATGCTCTGTTGTCCTCACCTGGGCTCGCCCAGGCCTCTTGGCTCATTCCAAGAGGGCAAGAGTGGGAGCTGCCAGGTGCCCACCACATGCTATCCATCAAAGCAAGTCACTGCCAACCCACACTGAAGGACAGGAGGCCAAGACGGGGAAAGCAGCAAGAAGAGGCAGCCATCTCACATCAACCACAGATACTGCAAGTGATGTGAAAGAGAAGTACAGAGGATAGAATGGAAAAAATTTGTATTGTTTCCATATAAATGTCTTTTATTTTACTTTAAACGTACTCAAACTGAAAATCCCAAATCATAAGTCCTAACTATAACCTTTGATGCAAACAGTTGTTACAAAGACACCACACAAACCGTGACAGCACTGAGTGCACGTCTTAATGTGTGAGCACTGGACAGTTTCTAAGTTATTTTCATCAGCGTTATCTCTTTAACCTGTATTTGGTTGCCACTCCCCTTAAGTCTCATTTATTCTTCTTTTCCCTCCTTTTTATTTCCAAGTAAACTTTTTCCCCCACAAAGTTTTAATTTAGAAAATGTTCAAACCTATAGAAATGAGTTGAAATAATAATACAATGAACACTACTTACCTTTATCTACAGTCACCGGTTGTTAACATTTTGCCTCTCATGTTTTTTTTTTTTAATTTTTTCTATTACAGTTTACATTTAGTACTATTTTGTATTAGTTTCAGATGGTTAGATAATCATGTACTTTAGTACCCAACTGGTCCCATATATAGTTATCACAATATTATTTACTACATTTCCTATGATGTACTTTACATCCCCATAACTATTTTGTAACTACCAATCTGTACTTCTCAAACCCTTCACTTTTTTCACCCAGTCTCCCAACACTCCTCCCCTCTGGCAACCATGAGTCTATTTCTGTTTGTTCATTCTGTCGCAAATGGCAAAATTTTGTTCTTCTTTATGGCTGCGTTCTATTCCATTGTGCATATGTACCACCACTTTTTATCCACTTGTCTATTGATGGGCATTTGGGTTGCTTCCATAGCTTGGCTATTGGCAGTAACGCTGCAGTGAACATAGGGGTGCATATATTCTTTCAAATTACTGCTTCTTCAGATACATTCCCAGAAATGGAATCGCTGGGTCAAATGGAAATTCCATTTTTAATTTTTGAGGGAACTCCATACTGTTTTCCACAGTGGCTACACCAATCTGCATTCCCACCAACAGTGCACAAGGGATCCCTTTTCTCCATATCCTCAACATTTGTTATTTGTTGATTTATTGATTTTAGCCATTTGACAGATGTGAGGTAATACTGTGGTTTTACCTTGCATTTCTCTGATGATCAGTGACATTGAGCACCTTTTCTTTTTTATTATCTTTATTTTAAGTATTGCAGATTTCCTCCCTTTTCCCATTTACACCCTCCTTCCCACTCTTTTCCCCAACTACCTGCCTTCACTGCACTATTGTTTGTGTCCATTGGTTGTGCATATATGCATATAAGTTCTTTGGTTTATCTTTTCCACCCCTCTCACCCCCATCACTCTGAGGTTTTTCAGTCTGTTCCCTACTTCTGTGTCTCTGGATCTATTTTGTTCGTCAGCTTATTTTGTTCATTATATACCACAAATAAGTAAGATCATATGATACTTGTCTTTCTCTGACTGGCTTATTTCACTTAGTATAATACTTTACAGGTCCCTCCATGTCATCTCAAAGGGTAAGAGATCTTTCTTTCTTACAGATGCACAGTATTCCACTGTGTATATGTACCACAGCTTTTTTATCCACTCATCTACTGATGGGCACTTCGGCTGTTTCCAAATCTTAGCTACTGTAAATAGCGCTGCTATGAACATAGGGGTACATATATTCTTTCTGATTGGTGTTTCAGGCTCCTTAGGATATATTCTTAGAAGTGGAATCACTGGGTCAAATAGCAGTTCTATTTTTAATTTTTGAAGAAACACCATATTATTTTCCAGAGTGGTGGCACCACTCTATATTCCCACCAGCAATGTGCTAGAGTCCCCTTTTCTCCACACCCTCGTCAGCACTTGTTAGATGATTTGATGATGGCAGCCATTCTGGCAGGTGTGAGGTGATACCTCATAGTCATTTTAGTTTGCATCTCACTGATGATTAGTGACACTGAGCATTTTTTCATATGTCTCTTGGACATCTGTGTGTCCTCTTTGGAGAAGTATCTATTCAGTTCCCCTGCCCATTTTGTAATTGAGTTGTCTTTCTTTTGTTGAGTTGTATGAGTATTGTATAGATTTGGGGAATTAACCCATTATTAGATGTATAATTGCCACATATGTTCTCCCAGAAAGTGAGTTCCCTTTTCATTTTGAAGCTGGTTTCTTTTGCTGTGCAGAAGCTTTTTAGTTTGATATAGTCCCATTTATTATTATTTTTTCTTTGTTTCCTTTGCCCTAGGTGATGTATCAGTGAAGATTCTGCTATATGTGATGTCTGAGGTTTTGCTGCCTAAATTTTCTTCTAGGATTTTTATAGTTTCAACAACTTATATTTAAGTATTTTATCCATCTTAAGTTTATTCTTGTGTATGTGTAAGTTGCTGGTCTAGTTTCATTTGTTTGCATGTACCTATCCAATTTTCCCAACACCATTTATTGAAGAGACTATCTTTATTGTATGCTCTTGCCTCCTTTGTAAAATATTAAGGGAGCATAATGTCTTGGGTCAATGTCTGAGTTCTCTGTTCTGTTTCTTTGATCTCTATGCCTGTTCTTGTGCCAGTACCGGGCTGTTTTGATTACAGTGGCTTTGTAGTATAACCTGAGATCCAGTATTGTGATCCCTCCAACTTTGTTCTTCTTTTTCAAGATTATTCTGGGTATTTTTTGGTTCTATATAAACATTGGACTTTTTGTTCTAGCTCTGTGAAATAAGCCATTTGTATCTTAATAGGGATTGTATTGAATCTATAGATTGCTTTGGGTAGTATGGACATTTTAATGATGTTAATTCTTCCAATCCATGAACATGGTATATGCTTCCACATTTCTATATCTTCCTCTATTTCTTTTTTCAATGTCCTGTAGTTTTCCAAAAACAGGTCTTTTACCTCCTTGGATAAGTTTATTCCTAGGTATCTTAATTTTTTTGTTGTTGTTGCAATGGTAAATGGGATTGTTTTTTTAGTTTCTTTTTCTGAATGCTCATTATTGGTATAATGCTCATTATTGGTATAAAAATGTCATCCATTTCTGGATGTTAATTTTGTATCCTGCTAGTTTGCCAAATTCATTTATTAAATCTAGTAGATTTTTGGTGGAGTCTTTAGGGTCTTCTATGTACAATATCATGTCGTCTGCGAATATAATGACAGTTTCACTTCCTCCTTTCCAACTTGGATGTCTTTTATTTTGTCTTCTTGTCTGATCAGTAAGGCGAAAACTTCCAGTACTATGTTGAATTAGAGTGGCAAAAGTGGACATCCCTGTCTTGTTCCTGTTCTTATGGG